AAACGCGCTTATACATATAAATCATGTAGATCTTCCTATCAAGCTACTCGTTTAATCAACTATGACGTAATTACCTTTAAAAACTCTGCCTTAAATACTGAGCCTTAGAGTTCGGATTGTACCGGTAACCCTCAATACGCTCCCTCAATGCGAACTCGCATAAATACCGAGTGCAGCCGTCAAGTCCTTGTGACGAGGTCCCGGAAGTGCCTTCGTCACGATGTCTGCGAGCATGATGGGAGTCTCACAATACTCAAGGTCCACTTCCCACCTACTAGCCTACCGAGTGGCCACCTAATAGCCTACCGAGTGAGTATAGCCAATCGAGGCAACCCAAGATCGACCTCCTTCGAGGCCCATATCTGATCTCCACCAAGTCCTCCGAAGAGTGCAACCCGCCAGTAAACGGGTAGACAAGGCGAGAGAAGGTCCATAAGCGACATCAGGGTACCCCCCTACGACAGTCGGCAGTCCGGCACAGGGAGTTACTTGGGGTTTCATTACGCAGTTATGAGAACCCACTCCAACACAATGGTGCGCGTGCACGAATCTTCGAAAGACGCGGGATATCACCGCGAGTCCCAAGAACTCGAAGATGCTCAAGAAAATGTTGAGGAAAAGACAGAAGAGTCACTGGAAGACCGATCAACAGTGACTACAGACGGAAACAACAAAGGACCGAAAGATCAACCGCACCTTTGGAGGGGTCCGGTCAATATGGTCAAGGTTGAACTTATTAAAGAGAAACCAAATACCCTCCCCTATGTCGTCGTCGGGAAACTTGTCTTGGGTCATGACACTTAATCATGCCCCAGAGGATAATCAGTCGAAGGTGAAAACGGATAGACTATTGTCCCAACAAACAACAAACTACAAAACTACAACAATTACGGTCGCCATGTTCAAGCCAACCAAGCTCCGGATGAAGGTACCAGGTGACACCAAGTCGATAGGCCCCACGACCTCAGGACCTTTGACATGGTCGGATGCTGACTTGACCATGGCCTAGCATTGACTCAAGCTTGGCGCGTTCTTAGAGAGCGACCCCGTCACCAAAGCCCTCGAGATCCGACTGCTGGGTCAGCTAAGTGGACCTGCGTCGACCCTGTCCAAGCTGCGGACGGTGACAGACGCGATCACCGAGCTCGTGTCCCTTCTTCACGAGGCGGGTATGGTCGCAGGCAGGTTCGAGCCAGACGACTTGTTTTCCCTTGGGTTGAAAAATATTAAGACCACGTTAGAGATTCTTCACAAACGTTTGGGTATCCTTGTGGGAATAACCCCAGTACTACTCGACTTACCTCCTGCAAGCGCCGCGAAAGCACCGTCTGAAGACAGCCAGATGACCCTCCAAGACATCGAGGTCCACCCTCAAAAGCAATAGTCGACGAGGACCCATGGTCGATGCGAGGTCTACCACCGCCCACCTTGCCCCATGGCCCCCAAGTCCCTGCAAGGCAATCGTCGCGAGGGTCGTCCGGCGCTAGTCACGTGAGCCGAATGGCACTAGGACCGACTGGCATGGCACTGCTTCAGGCCCGAGAGGAAGACGAAGGAGACGAGCAGCGAGCTTACGTAACAGCAAAGCGTGTACAGCCAATGGAAAGTCGGGCTTCTGATAGGTTGAATGTTTCAACCAATCAGAAATGAGCCATGACTAGTACCAAATTTTGCTCCGTCACGTGACGAAGCTGCCCGAGGAGGAGCGCCTACCAACCCGGTAGGTAATTTACAAACATACTTTGACGCGGCGATGGCAAAATTTGGTGCCTCGACCTCAGCCTCAATCAAACCATCCACTGGTTCCCACAAGAACGCCAAGTACCGTAGACACACATTGATGGAAGTGCGGCCAGAGGTCGACAGAGAGATGACAATAGCGTGACGATGTGCCAGTGACGCTATGCGGATGACATTTTGAAGCGCTTTGGGATGAAAGACTGCAAGGCTGCAATAAGGCCAGCTGATATGAGCACTCGACTGACTCGAAGCGATGCATTGACCAAGGTAAGCGCTTCATTTTGAGAAGCTGTGCTCAAGCCCGAAGCGTTGTTCCAGAAAGAAAAAGGATTTATTATGTAAATTAAAAAACCTTAGCGTAAAATTTCTTAACCTAAAAAACATATAAGAAACCACTGTAATTTTGCTAAACTGGAATTTCAATTCAGTCTCACACTGATTCCAACGCATCTGCATCGTCGTCCTCTTCTTCCTCGTCCTCTATATCTTTGTCCTCTTCCTCGTCAGATTCGTCCACGTCTGATTCGTCCTTGTCACGATTGTCATTATTCTAGTACACAAGCAATACATTTAATAAGGTTGCGAGTCTACACATTGAAGGCCAAGATCAAAAAAACGTACATTCGTCACAAAGTACTTGACAGGGTTCTTCCACAACTCTTCTTTCATGATCTTTGCTAAGCCCTGGTCACCATCTGTCGAGACAATCCACTGAAAAACACGCAGTACGAACATTTGATTAGGCGTAAGCCCGATCCAGCTAGCACAATCCCATCATACCTGGAAAAAAAGTTTTCCATCGCATATGTCCTATAAGCCCTCTCCATCCAGGTGATTTTCGACGCGGTGACTCTCACCTCTTCCTCTAATAAATCGAATTGCTTCCACAGTATCGTAGGAGAGAAATATGGGTTCTCATGGAAAATCTAGCAGCGGCCATATATTAGTACTTTTCTAGACTATCCAAAAGAGACACAGGTTCTCACCAGCTGTATTCTAAAGCTACCGATGTTATCAACAAAGATGTCGAACGTCTGCAAATATTCCATGAGCATTTTCCCGTCATTTTTGTTGAGGTATCTGCCCACCACCGGGTGCCTCAGAAACTGCACAAGCAAAGCAGCACATGAGTAAGCGCGTAATGGTCAAGCAACTCAAAGCTCATTTAGCCGATAAACAGCACGTACTACTTGTTTCCAGAAGTGGGGAATCTCAGACAGCAACTCATTGCGCTTGACATACACATCACGCGTTTTGACTATGTACTTGGTCTCAACGGCCAGGACCTCCTCAACCTTTTCAATGCTCAACTGCTCGAGCTCTTCTTCAATCTTTTGCACATTTTCAACTATCTCCTTTCTTTTTTCCCTTTCCAGCTCCTTCTCTCTTTCCAATCCGTTTTCATCACGCTTGTTGTCACCGGTGCACAGGCGCTTGGGGGATGGAGATCTTGTCATGACTGTTGCTGTTACGAAGAAAAAATGCAAAAAATGAATTGTCCATTTATTTGTCTCGTCTCAAGTTTTTTCCTAAACTGAATTCCAGGAATAGTCTATTTGGTCCATTTCAGTCAATTCAAACCGTTGTCAAGTTGCACCAGTGTAAGACACTAAGAAAGTTACCGTCACATGTTCATTTGGATGCAAAAAAACATCGCCCCAGGCTAGGTTAGTGAAGTGCAGAAGGCAACGCCTTCGGTGCCGAGCGCAGATTTTATCGTCTCAGCATTGCGCATCTCAGTCACAATTTCGTACAAATCTAAGAAATACAAAGCAGTTCGTCGTAATGAAAAGTACAATCTTGTGCATTTCTTGATGACAAGCTGACACGCTTCTGCCATTGTTCTCCCACAAGGAATCACTTCCATGTTTCAGACGCTTTTGTGGTGTACTATACGCCTAAAGTCTTAGACATGGTCGCATATCGGCCGAATACAGCACGCGAATAGCTATAGTTCTTGCCCTCCGTCTTAAACCAGCTTGTCTACAACTATATGAGTCCCACGTGTGCATACATCTTTATTGGCTGATAATATCTAAGCTTGTGGCAATCGACTTGGTCGAGGATGTACCCATCTTGATCAAGTACGTCGTTTAAAGATCAATTAGAAGTGCAAAGGGTCTGCTTAAATTTGACTGATTGACACTTAAATTCCCTATTTAGTCTTAGAATTTCCATGCGTCTGTTGTTTATAGTAAGCAGCCTCCTTACTCTATCATCAGCAGCTTCGACTTGTGACGAGAGAAAGCTGAAGCAAAATGCTATACAATTGCTGGAAGCACATATGGACATGGAATTCGGTGGAGTTGGGGCCGGCACGAGCGATATAGTAGGGTTTCAATATATGGTAAAACGTCAGCAATGATCTGTAGCTTCAAGTGTAGTGAACCTTCCTAACGTTTGATATTAATAACGGCATAGAAACCTGGAGAAGCTCTTCTTGCAGCACAAGCTCTTGCTCACGAGGACTTTCATCAGGCAGCGATACAGGTTCAGCGCATCCTCGAGTATCAGAAGCCTGATGGATTATTACCGCATTTAGTCTATGGTCCAACCGTACCATCTAATTTACGATGGATACCCAGTAATCGAACTTTCCACCCAGGACCTGCGTTTTGGAAGAATTCGTCGCTGACGGAGCACCAAGAGAAGGAGGTAGTATTCGACACCTCGACGATCTCGGCCCCTCCGGTAGCAGCAGACGTAGCATGGGAAATCTTTCGTTTAGCGCCGTATGACTCGGTGCTGGGTGTAAAGACGACTGCTGTTCAGTTCTTATGCCAAATCTACCAGCCACTACAAAGATTGCAGAAGCATTTGTTCTATTCACGCCGAAGTTCTGCTTCTAGCGGTTTGTTAACTGCACATGTACGTTGTAAAGATAAAACGGTTATGTGTCCTAATGTAGGGCTGTGTAAGACGCTTAAGTACAAGCTAACACAATCTGTGGCTAACGATTGTATTGCAGCATCCTTGGGAAACGTTTTCGTCGCTATCACCGCACTGGAAAGGATTTCTTACTACCTTGAAGAAGGCGCCGGACTACGAGGCTGTTGTCAGCTCGATTCCTGAGGAAGCCCGGAACCGATTTGCAGCCGGTGCAAGTACTTTGTTTTCGGCACAGGACGCAGTAGATAACATGTATGAACCCATGATATATCTCGCTTCGCAAACGTACCGCAGAGGACTAAGCAGTGATATTTACAGTCATGTTTCGACCGTGGTGGAGCCTATTGCATATTCTGCTGCTAGTGGTGAGACTGTTCGATTCGGTGTTGAAGACGTGGAATTTAATGCCTTGATGCTGCGTTCATCATTGGGTCTTGAAAATATCGGGCGTGTGCTGGCGGACCACTCGTCGGTGTGCAACGGATTCACCTTGTCAAAAAGCGATCTTTTGAAGGATGTGATTAAGCTTCGCGCAATGAGTAAAGGGCTAAAGGAGGCTCTTGTTGGCAGCAACACCACTCATGGTCTATGGAATACATCCGTTAACTTTTTCGCCGATTCTAGCCGTGTGTCATTGACCGCAACTTACTCCTTACGCGGATTTCTACCTGGATATGCTGTGGAATTGGATGATGAGAAGAAGATGCGCTCAATGGAGCATTTTCTTTCGAAACCCAGCTCGTTTTCTTTCTTTTGTGCTCAATTCCCGGTTGTGTTTTTTGCCTGCTCCGAAGAGGACTTGACCACAGTTGCTGGGTCGATCGACGGCCGTTTAGCACCTACAACGTGGATCCTGTACAACTACTATGTACTACGGGGGTTTGTTCGAGTACGCTTGCATGATTAGTTCTGGTCTTTGGACAGCTAATCTTATTTTACTAACACCATTGTAATGATGACCAGAACAAGTTCCCAGGACTAGCTGATTACATTCGTAACAAGACGAGAGACATGATATGCGAGGCAACTGTACCTACTCGACCATATTTTTCATGGTTTCGAATGTCGTTAGCAATGGAAAAACCTACGCCAGCAGCTCTAGCAGCAGTCTACGACTCCCATAATGGTGCACCGGTTGAAGTGTTCGACGATGCTTATTTGGGCTCAACGCTAGCTGCCGCTGCCTTTCTAAATATTCTGCTTCCTGCAGGTACGCGTGTCAAGCTTATTTTCACAACATTAGCAACTAACTCATTCTGTCGCAACAGTGACGCCACCACCAAGTCCAGACACACCGCCTGTTGATCATCGTATTCTTTCTGTTATCATGTGCGTTGAATTAGTGGTTGCTTTTGGGGTCGCTATGAGCTGTTTTCTATTTTCTGTTTACTTCGTGGCAAACCGGCCTCGTGAAACACGGTTATCTATTGGGTCCACGGCTCACCGACGGTCATCTACTGAGGCTGCAAGAAGAAACTGCTCTCAAGACAGATCGAATCGCCACCGAGATGACTTGGAGGACCGTAAACGATCGAGTCCAAATGGGTTATTGTCGGCAGAAAATAACTCACCTTACAGCGACTGCTCTCCGAGACCCGGACGTGTTCCAAATGATCTGGAAGAGGCGTTGCTTTCTGGGGCCGGCGAACACTACGGATCTTTTGATGAGGCTGAGCAGCCACAAAGTCTATCTAACTTCGCCTGGAAAGCTGCAAAAAGAGTATTAGCATCTATCAGCCCCTGGTGATTTTGTAGTCGTTTTTTCTTGCAATTGAAATACAGCTAAGCGCATGATGCGATGATGACAAGATGGATATTGAACAGCAAATGACTAAAAATTCTGATTATAGTGTGCCTACAGCAAGTCTTTTTTCCATTTCGCCACAAGTTGAGTTGCCGCCTTCGCTACCGAAGGTGCTGTATGTTTACGCAATTTGTTAATAGTTCGCCCAACGCCAGTGCTCTTGAGGATATCAACAGTGAGCATCATATCTGATAGGGTGCTTAACACATGTGTTGCAAGTGCGGCTGAAACGCCATTCACGTTGCCATTCTGATCTAGTAAGCTCTGCAAAAAGCCAATGCGTGTTGCTAGGTCTTCGTTTTCAGATGGACCAGCTGCTGTTGCTGCGGCTACCTCAGGATCAACATGTGCATCTTTAGTATTGCTTGCACTGCTCTTGTTGCTCCCCGCAAAGAAATTCTGCTGAATTAACAACGAAGCCAAAACGTAAGAACTCAGGTAACAGATTTCATGGTACAAGCATCATCACTCACATCAACGCCCCCAATATCCGCATTCAAATAGTGCTCTAAAATCGGAATAGCCTCTGGGAAGGCAGGCGCAAATCCCGCTCGCCGAGGCTCGCACAGTGCCCACAGCGCTTGCATAGTAGAGAAATATCGCTGATTGGCATCGTTTTGTGCCGACTCAGTCACCCAAGACCCATCTTCGCGTTGAGTGAGCAACAAGAAAGCTAGTCCTCGACGCATTTGAACAAGATCACTTGAACCTTCAAAGCAACGTAAAGCCTACGTTCGAGTTTCGTTTGTCAGTGAGGGACAAGCTATAACAAGCACTGTTCTCTTACCCGTAATGTCTCACCAAGCAAAGCCACGTCTTGTTGCGCAAGGTGATATGCAACATGATGGTGCAAGAAGAAGTATTCATGAGGAAGAAGTTCCTGTTCGCATGTGAACGAACATTGGTATTAGAATCGTGGATAAAAGCTCAGACAATAAGTTCTTTACCGTCTCGCAGCGCAACCTTCCATGGTTCGTTAGCACAAACACCAGCGTAGTGACAAAGTGGACTTGGTCTTCGTACTCTGCGGGTGAAAGATCACTAGGGCCCTTGTATGGATACACCAACAACAAGTGTTGAAGCAACTGCGGCAAAGTGAATCCAATCAAGACCCCCAGCCCGTGTGACTGCTGCCACAGAACCAGCGCTCTTGTCAGTCGCTCATATATCGAGGCTCCACTCTCGTCAGTCGACGGTGGTGGACCCTCTGCGGGGTTCCATCCCAATAGATCCTGCAACATCAACAACAATGTTGGTTGAATTAGTTCAGTGTCGGTCATTCATACCATGTGGCCTTCAACTTTCTCACCTTAGGGCCATAGACAGCAGGTGATCGGTCAAAAAAAGTTCAATAGCTCAACACGTCTTGCATGAGAGATTCCTAGTCTCTCGACTACGTAAACAGCTCGAATAGCGTTCACGAGCTGCGTAGGCGTAGGAATAGAGCCTGGTATCCAATCTACATGTCGGTCTTCCTTCAGCCACAACGCACCCATAAGTCGAGCATAGAGTGTTGCTAATCGCAACACTTCACCCTCTTCTACTGCCTGCAGGTCATAAAGTGACTGTATAGCGTGTAATCCCCAGTCTGGAAAGGTCACAGGAGATTCACGCATCATCAGGTAGACTCGCGAGAGACCTTTGACAATGCTCTCTCGTCTCATATCGATCTTCCAAGGTTCCATCACGACTCTTTTGGCCATTTTCTTTGACTTAAACTTGCGTAATTCTTGATGCATAAGTCGCTTCAGTACATCTTTATGGGTCGCAAGACTCACACGCACTTGTTTTTCCACTGCTTGGCGCACCATTTTTGTTGTCAATTTAGCCACATCACTCGATGCAATGACACTGGCAATTGACGTTGAAATTTTTGCTTCTAACTCCTTGGAAATCGTGCGTGGATTGGCAATAAGAGATGAGCCTGAAGACGTCATTTTCGTATACATACCCCCCTGCCATGATGAGTTGTTTGTATGCTAATTATTATATTTACGATGTGATTGAATTAAAATGTAGTCTTTTGCCAGTAAAAGTATACTTTTACGTGCTTAAAACCAGGCTAAAACTCGTGTGGCTCTCCATGTCACATAATATTCCAATATGCTGCTGACCCGTGCAGTTCGATCATCAGCGCGATCGCGTGCCATAAGCCGCCGCTTTATTGGCGGGTTTGTAGCCGATGCATCGTTGCCTAATGTATCTGATAAAGTGTGCGTTTCTATCTGTCGGTCTCTCTCTCTCCGTATTGTTTCTCATTACATCTCATACTTGTTATGGTTATTTTGATGCTCTTGACAGGGTGAATGTAGTTCTAGTAGACTACGACGGTAATCGCCACATGATCAAGGGACGTGCTGGTCAGACACTGCGTCAGGCCTGTGAGATGAATAATGTAGGCTTTGTCAAGGATGATGCCATGGGTGGAGGTGGTATGTACGATGCTCGACGTGCCGATTTCTACACCGAGTCGCTGTTTGGCGAGGGCACAACGTCTCCACAGTCGCACGTTGTGGTTTCTAACGAGTGGATTTCTAAGCTTCCACCCGCAAATGATCAGGAGCGTCATATCATCGACACGTACGTTCCCGTAGAGGACCGCTCTGCCAACTCTCGTCTGGGCACGGCGATTGTGTTAGAGAAGGAGCTGGATGGCATGGTAGTGGCTGTTCCTGAAGCGCCACCCGTTGAGGAATATGAGTACGATCATGAGTATGAAGAGGATGATTACGAGTCGTACGATGACGAGCAGCATGCGTAAGGAGGAAGACCTGTCAAAGCATGAGTCAAAGAAAATGGTGTTCTCCGTTCAAAAGAACTCTTGGTCTATGGAGTTGACAGCTGGCCCGATGACGATCGATGGTGTTGACGTCAAGCCCCACGGTATTGCCAAACAAACGAAGAAGAATACAAGGAAATAAGAGCATTTGACTCGTTCGCTCTGTCTAATCTCTCAGTCTTGGTTTTCTTCTGCGCAGCTTTTTCTTTTTTGATTACCTAGCTTCGCGGCTCACTTTATCTCGGCAACTTTCTTTTACAGTGCGGAGGTCGTCGAGAACGTCAAATTTTTTGATCTCTTCTCGAGCAGTCGAAATACTCATTGTCAGTGTGCTCCGGACTAATTCCTGCACCATCGTATTCATCTTCGTTGTCGAAGTAAGTTGCTTGATCAACGCTGTTTACGGTTCGGCTAGTGCATCAAGACGAAATATACAGATACATTGTAGCGCACCTTTACGAAACGCTGGTGGCCACCACTAGGCAGTCTAACATTGGCGATACTAGATTCAAGAACTTCCTTCCGCTCGCACAAAGTCCGTAATGACGACGATAAAAGTAGACATTAGCTAGCAATCCTCAGACAATGTGCTCATCTAGCGAATGACTTGGCAACGGCACCTTGTGCATGGCTGTATTGCAGCCATGAGTATTCTGTGTAAGATGCAGTCCCGTCACCGAGCGAAAACACCTGCTGAACTTTTGATACGAGTCACTTGTTCAAAAACTGTTTATATTCAGCATTCGCCAGAGATTTTATGCATGACTCTACACTTTTTTACCAAGTGAGCAATGGACCACTGTCCTTACGCACCTACTCGCCGCAAAGCTGCCATGCGGACTTTCTTGCGTCTGTCAGCTTGCGTAGATGGCTCCGGCGATGATGCTTCCTCAATGCCACCAACAATTTGACCAGACCCTGATATCAAGCTCCTCTTAGCTTTCGTTGAAATCACAACAAAGGCTAGCAACGCACCTGCAAATGGAGTATAGACACTATCGGAGCGTCTCGAAGCAGCGTTCATGATCCGCGACGGCGTATTGGGAACGCCCACTGGTGCTTGATCCATCAAGTCCGCCGGCATGAGACAGCTAAGAAATGATCCAAAGTAGGCCGCTCGGTTCACATAAGCAGGTATTGATTTATTCAACAGCACTTGACACAGTGCATCTGCGTACGTATTGCAGTTTCTATCGAGTCATCCGTCCATTACAAGTTGTCGTGTTATTGTCTTTCCTCTCAATCTCGTATTCACAACATGCTATTATTTGTATATCACATTACTTGGTAAATAAATTGTAAGCTTCTCCTTCAAAGTCCGAGCTTAAAGAATACGCCAGTTGATGGGCTTCTTGAAAACTCCCTTCGAAAATGCCCATAGCAATTGATCCACGAAACTTGGCACCTACAACGGTAACACATGAGCGCATAAAGTCGATATTACGATATCCAAGCTCTACAATATCGTACCAGGTGCTTGTCGAGGTCTTGAAGAGAAGATACCGGCACCACTCGCATACGAAAACTCTTCACCGGCGATTTCAACGCCACTATGGAAAATACCTAGACCCAGTGCTATGGAGAATATTAACATGTTGGTTAATAATAGAGAGAAAGATGGTGAGACAAGTGGAGATGGAGTTACGTACGTGCGATATACTCGTTGGCCTCAACAAGGTCGTAAATATTAAGTGTCACGGCAGTGCGGGGGGTCATTGCGACCGTCGAGCAAAGCAGAGAAGAAGTGAAATGTGAAATATCATGTTAGATATTGCAAATGTTACGATAGAAGCTTCAACAAATTGAAACATGAATTTATGCAATTGGTCGCCAATAGTAAATACCACGAAAAGCCAAATTCACTCGTTGACTGAATCATACGACATGCGTCGTGACAAAACTGTCTTGATGCAGGTGCATTTAATCGACTATTGCAAGGCGATCATGCACGCAAAACACTAGGTATGATTTGTAGCAGAAACTCGACTCACGCGTTCATCGTATCTAGTGTTCAGCGCTTGGGACGAGTTCGTAGCTATCAAAATCACATCGTTTTTCGATATAGAAATGGTAAACTAGTCACCACGTGACATGCAGTAGTTTTCTCTGCAGTGACAAAGTGCTGGAATGTCACTGAAAGCATCAAGCAGGACACAGCAGAATAGGTACAAATTATGGGATCCAGTGGATGATGTTGTCAACTCTTGCTACCTCACGGCAGTGTCATGATGGAGCAGACCTACGCGGCTTGTCCTGAGTCTAGAAGTATGTTTTAGTCATCTTTTCCTTGGACACATTGTCTTATTGGCAATATGAAAGTCGCCAGTCTATGAAAAGCAGAGCGATTGGAAGTAAAGTAGGCCACATGATGCTCACCCAGTTTCGCGTCTTCCGATATTTCTGCGGTATTAACGACGACGCGCTCACCTAAACTCTTTACAGAAAGAACTGCATCCACGATACCGCGTACGCTCGTTGAACAATTCTGGACTTGTTTCTTTATAGTTGCAGGCGAGATGCTGTGCATTATTCAATGGACCAGTATTTGCGCTGTTTGTTGCGCGTGAGTGCGGTAAATCAACGAAATACGATCATTCTGTCCGTGCTGTCGCCAAGATACTTTTGTAGCCGTAACGACTCGTTGTCAATTGCCGCGCAAGCGAAGTGCGTGTTGATGACAATATACTAGTTAATTGACTTGTTGCCGTTTAATGTCAGCTTTGACGGCCTTCTTGCATTCCGCAACTGCTTCCAACTCTCTATCGATCGCAGCAAGTTGAATCGGATTCCTCTGACTTCTTTGCTCTCGGCGTAATTTACGCTCCCTCTCACGTAGTGACACCAACAATACGAAATCCGATGAAGTAAAGGAGCTGGGAGCCTCGTTAGCTACATCCATGTGAGCAGACACCTCAGACGTCTCATGAAAGTTTGAGCCTCCAACATACAGGCTACCCGTGCACAACAGTACCAGCCACAGGCCAGTAGCATGGTATGCTCGGAACGACAGCAGGTGCATCTTTAGCGTTGACTTCCATTGCTTCACTACGCTGCTCTGTTGGTTTGAGCAGGACTCGCACTGCGGGTAAAAGCGGAAGGTCGTTTTCCAGCGCAGTATTCTTCGAAAGAGGTGCTCATCTCTGCGCTTGGCCACCCTACATGTCAGCCAACAAGAAGGCAATAACAGTCAAGATCGGCACAAGAAGCTACACAACCTCAGCCGCTGCCCTACAGTTTCGGCGGCATGTGGTCTGCATGATATCGTACGCCGCGTTTGATTCCGCACGTATGACATCCATAAAGCCGTCCAAACTCTTGGATGATTCCTCTTTCTACACTAGTGGCATATTCAACAGTTGCCGGGAGCGATGCCTTCTTGAGGTGATAAGCTCCAAGATTGGCGAAAGGAGAGGGCGCCAGGGCACTCATACGTCCTCCCAGTAACTTGAAACACAGCAACCCCATTACCATATAGACCGGATACGGAGCTTGTGGAAGATCTTCCCATCGCTCTTTTACCTTGGACTGCACCTGTTTCCACGCCTTTGGCGGCTGGAGGTTCTTAGCGCCGAGCACGAGCCAGCTCCAGCTTCGGTGTTCATTAGCTTGACGGCTCTGTGCCGCTAGTTCTTGATAGATTTCCCTCGGGATGAAAGCAAAGTGCAACGCCAGGACAGAGGACGACGCGACGGCAGCAGCACCAAGTGCTTGAGGTAGTAAGAATCCCGAAGCTGAGCCGATCCGGAGAAGGTTCTGGACCACTTGCGCTGCTGAGACGCCACCTAGAAACAAGGCACCGCCTGTTGTGGCATCTACTATGTGAGCCGTTAATGCCTCGTAGACAGATACTGAGCGATTGCTGCTGAATTGGCGACGCAATTGCTGCACAGTCCTATGAATCCACGAGTTTTCGTCCGTCATTTAGTAAATATGACCAATTGTTGTAAGATATGAACCGAATGAATAGAATTCACGAGCTGAACGTTGCTTCCTTCTAACCTCAAGTCTATTTAAGCTCTCTCGTGCTAAGAGGAATCACTTGATGAGAAGGGGTGACCTGCTATTGCGTCTTCTAGTGTTTTCAATTAATAAAGAGACAAAGCATGCGAGGAGGTACCGATCGACGCATAGAATTTCATTCTTTGGCTTGAATCACTATGTTTCTCATTGTGGTTGGTTCTCGTGATAGATGACACTGATTCATGTCTATGAAGGATCAGTTCTTACGAATTGAAATACTTATCATCACAATTCTCTACGTCTGACCTGAGCAATTGTCTGCAAAGCCTTTCCATATCCTCATGTTCATTACGCTTACTACCGAATTGACATGGTTTCAAACATGTCTACCTCGTGATTGTTACTTCCAGACTCGAGTAATCTCCTTGTTGAAAGAACAGCAATAAAGGTCGACGTGCATACCATATTCGAGACAAGGAGACAGACAGAGAAGCAAAAAACAAGTGCGGCTATTGTCAATGGATTTTCGTGCGAGTCTTTTTGTGACTGACTTGCCATTTTGCCCAGCAGCATTATATGTTGTTTACTATTTGGGAGACATTATCGTCTGTCACAATATCTTAAGACTGATGCGTAAGATACAGTTCCATGTAACGCATGTAGCACACGAAAACTGCCTTTTATATTGCAGAAAACGGCATTGATCCGAGTCATTCCGGCGTCGTGCGAGAAGAAATATCTTCTAGTTTTATCAGAAAATGACGTTTTATGATGTTGCTCCTTGCAAGCTAACATGTTGCGCTTCTGTTGCTCCTTGCAAGCTAACATGTTGCGCTTCTGTTGCTCTTTCTAAAAGTCAATAGTTGTGTTGCTCTATTTCCATCGTTGTGGCTTTTCACACTTTGTGACTTGCATGTTACAGCGACTGACTGACTGACCTTGCTTTAGCTCTTGATTAAGTAATATCCGGTGGTTGAATGACCAACCAACTTCTAGACGGTGACGTAATTGGATCACTCCCGACCGCCAAAATGGAGCTAGATGCAGCGCTGGATCAAACGCTGGAGCTACTACGTGGGGCACTTAAGGTGGCACGCGGCATAGCATTCGACTGTGCGTTGCACAATAAGGCGGTGCAAGTGGCTGTACTGGCTGCACAAGTACAGAAGAACTGCACTGATACTAGTGGTAGCAAAAAGTTTGATGTATTGCAGCCGAGCCATGATGCCAGTGAGGACTGGACCAACAAGAAGCAGCAGGATGTGGCACCGCAGCCCTCGGTCTGGTCCGGGTTTTACAATAAGACACTGCGCGAGCGCTCGGACGTTCTAGCGCTCATGTATCCGCAACTCAAGAGCCTTAAAATGCAACAGGGTTTGGCTGGTGCAGATGCGTCTGCTGACATTTTACCTCTATCGGATCCGGCAATTAAACTCGGTGAGTTGCCACTGCGCACGGCAAACCTCATGATCGAAAATTGCATCGGCGTGCTTGGCATTCCGCTTGGGTGAGTTGGTGTGTATGCTATATGATCAAACATGTATCAGTGTCTAATGTGTGTGTCACGTGTTTTTTGCACAGCCTCGGTCTCAACTTCGTCATTGATGGTAGAAGTCTGTCTGTGCCCATGGCCGTGGAGGAACCTTCCGTGGTGGCCGCGGCCTCTAGCGCGGCAAAGCTTGTGGCTGCTGCGGGTGGGGGCTTCCACACGTCGGCATCCGGCAACGTCATGACGTCCCAGATCCAGCTTGTGGGCACCAAGGATATCCCGGCAGCAATTGCAGCAGTCGAATGCAACCGTGAGCGACTGCTGTCAATTGCTAACACAAATCTTTGCCCCAACATGAAGAAGCGTGGTGGCGGTGCCATCGACATTTACTGCCGCGTAGTTAGCCAGGCTACGCGGACTGCTGCCACTGCTGCGGGTGGCAGTGCTTGGTACACCCCGTGCGAGGATGAGCTCGTGATACACGCATCGAAGCTACGGACCCAATTTCTAGTCGTGCACATCGATGTGGATGTGTGTGAGGCCATGGGTGCCAATATTGTTAACACAGTTGCTGAGGGACTGTCTGAAGAAGTGTCAAAGATCACGCAAAGTCGTGTAGGCTTACGGATTCTTACCAATCTATGTATGCAGCGTCGTGCTCGGGCTGAGTTTGAAATTCCCCTGAAAAAACTCGGCTGGAAGGGAGTCGACGGTGAAGATGTGGCGGACCGTATTATCGAGGCTTACAATTTCGCTGCTATTGATCCATTTCGCGCAGTGACCAACAACAAGGGAATAATGAATGGTGTCGATGCGGTAGCCGTGGCCACCGGCCAGGATTGGCGTGCCATCGAGTCGGCTGCGCATTGCTATGCCAGTCGTTCGGGGCAATATACGTCGCTGTCGCGTTATGAGATCGGTCTTGCCCGCGATGGCTCCCGAATGCATGTGCTACGTGGCAGTTTGGAACTACCTATCGCAGTTGGATCAAAAGGTGGTGCGCTGATGACCCATCCTGGTTACGCTGCTACTCTTGCGATTCTACAACAGCCAACGGCTCGAAAGTTAAGCGGCATTCTCGTGAGTGTTGGGCTCGCTCAAAACTTTGCAGCAATTCGCGCTATCGCAGTGACAGGTATTCAGAAGGGTCACATGGCTCTCCACGCACGAAATATTGCTGTCGCTGCTGGATCACCGAGTGAACTTGTGTCGGAGGTATGCAGCTACATGTTGCTGCGAAAGTCTATTAACGTGGAGACGGCGAAAGAGTACTTACACGCTCATGCGGTGTTCTATGAGATTTTGAGCAGCTCGCCACCAACTACTCCAGTTTCTGTGACGGTGCCGTCCATGTTCTACGTAGAAGTTCCTATTCCGGAGCTAAAGAGCACGATTAGCCTCAACCTTGCTTTTGAAGCTATTAACAAGAACCCGCAGTACATCGCTATCATGGCGCCAAATGCTGCTAATAGGGGCGACAAAGCGCTGACGACACTGCAGCAACAGTTGCTGGGCGATAAAGGCTACAATCAGCTGGAGCAGATGTTCATGTTCTTGGCCTCCATGCGTTCTATCATTACATCCGCGTCAATCAGAGAGAGTGATCTGCTAGGATCCCGCTCAAACATCGGGTTGCAGAACAAACTGCAGTTGCTGTCCATTCTCATCAATATCATCGCATACCGACTCATGGAGGTGCGCCCGCAAAAAAGTGCGCACGTTCATGCGTAAGCTTCTAGAGGCAAGTAGCGGATCTGCAAACGGGACCAATGATGGCGAGATGCACGAGTTGGATGCCAAGTTCTTCCACGATTTGATTGTAGAGAATGCGGAGCCTGGTGATGAGATTCTTTCAACCGGTTTATCGCTATTTCTCGCTCTGTGGCAGGTACTACACTACCACATTGAACAGGAGGTGCCGCTTAAGCTGCTCCAAGCCCGTCTAGTAAAGGAGCAGTGGGAATTGCTGAACGATATAGTTAAAAGCTACGAGTTGGGAACATTTTCCGACGACAACTTTAATTCGAGGTCCGCTACGAATCAGCCCCTCGAGGAGACATTTCTTGCATATGTGGCAGTACAAGCCACGCGCTGGCAAGCGACATTACTTTTGCTGATTGACTCGCTGGCATTGCCCTCAGAACTGGTGACACCTGAGCGATTGAATTTCCTTACCCGCATTGGCGAGTACATGGAATGGGAAGGCTCGATTGCACACGACTTAGCACGATACCAGCGCGACGCTACCGAACGTGTGCCTAACGCGTTCCTCTTTTGGCTTTCGCAACGAGGAATCCCTCACTCTGAGGGCAAGCAATATGAACGTGAATTCCGCAACGTTGCCGACGCTTTAGCTATTGTCAAGTGGGACGAGCTGCTGGAAGAAGCACGGCGGCATTCATGCGCTGCAGCGACCTTTTCATTGCCAGCAGTGAAACGTGTCATTGGCCTCATCCACGAGATCTATGGTGATCGTAGCCGTGGCATCCGGAAGGACTCGTTTTAGAACAGGATGATGGTTATGCTTTTGGAACATTGTTTCTAGCTGCATTTAACGACCACAACTGCCACTGCAATGAATAAATGATAAACGTGTCTACATCAGAAACACAGCAACTTTGAACATTGTGCTTGGGCTTGCGACACAATCTCGCGCGAGTTGAATAGTCTGGATTTTACAATGCATTTGTTGCTGGACAGTAAGTCAAAAGACAAGTTCTTCCAGATTCAGGACATTCCTGCTTTCATCACCTCGTCAACTTCTTCTTGCAATACCACATAGGCCATAGCATAGTCGCCATCGTGTGAGATTGAAACATGCGGTTCCTGTCATACAGAAGCATCGGACAGTACGAATGAGTGATCAGAGAATAGACGTTATTCGAGGTTAATGAAGCAGTAAAATGCTTTTGAAAACAATCTCTCACCACTAATCGTAATCGCTTTGCAAGAGTCTGCGTCTCACCCGAGAATTGAAGACGCAGAGCCTTCGAGTCATTTGTTACAGGTAGAGATGTACAGATGGTCGAGGTCTCGAGACCTCTTTGAACCGTGTAAATCTCTGGGAATCGAACACGGTAGCACTGAAAGGCTTTGAACGTTGCCTCCTTTACCGCCCATCTGGAAGCTAGAAACGTTGCACGCTTTGTACTTGGACGGGCATAGAACTCAGTAATTTCACTCGGATGGAGCGTACGTACGAGTAAGCGCTTCCCAAAGCGTTGAAAGCTGCGCTCGAATCGCGACACTAGCGTTACATCTACACCAATGCCATACACCCGACGACCCATGCTCTACTATAATCAACTTGATATCGAATGGCTGATATTAATCGTTGCAAAGAAAGTAGCATGGAGAGTTAGTACTTACTACTTTGTCAAAAGGACTTGACTTGATGATACTCAGCAGCTGTCAAGAAGCTTTGAATATGTGTCGATTATGATCAAACGAATCAAGTCACGTTTGATACTAGCAAGCACACGATTGGTTGATGTAGATGCAGCAGGTATGTCGGTCTTTTTTGCAGATAGCGCTAAATGTAGTGCATTGTGATGTGCAAGGGCGATGATAGAAGGCTGGGTTCTAGCTCGGTGTATGCATTGTGAATGGAGAGTATCCCCAGACCGGTTGTCATTGCTTTGTATTCCACGTTGCGATTCGTGAAGAGGCTACTGTGGCCTTATGTAGGAGTGACGACAATAAAGAATGGGGTGTGGGAAGCTTGTCAATGCCCCCCACACGGATGCATGGACGAGTACGATCGACCACGACCACGCAATCTAAATTGATTGCTGCACGCACCGTCGCCGCGTATTCTATAGCTCTAGCACTGTGACTGTTCAACTTTGGTCAAAGACAACGTGTCCAAGCTAGAAGTAGGAAAAACCATGTGACGCTCATGGCTTTCGATGAAGCTGAGCTGCAGCACGGTCATCTCGATCGCGTGTTGTTTGCTGACGCACTTGTCTCCCCTACGAATCTTAAGATATAGTTACACCACCACGTCCCTCCGTTAGACTAAACAACTAAAACAATAGAAACTAGTCGCTCGCTTCCTCCTCATTGCTTCATGCCATTGATGAAAGACCTGACTAAAACAATTGAACAAGGACGTTGTTATGCGCTTACCATAGCTCGGAATATATCTTGCTTAGCTTTAGCTTTTGCTACTAGAATACAGCAATGAATGACTACTGCAATATCTACTTTAATCTGATTAGTTGCAACTTGCAGTAGAATCCGGCAACATGCACAAGAATGGTAAAACTATAGCTCCAGACTGTCAGTCAGTTGAAAATGAAGAAAGACCTTGTTCGCTTCATTATTTGGTTTGGTTTCATTGCGTCGTTGGACATGAAAGATGTTGAACCAAGTATAGAAAACTCATATCATCCACTCGTTCGTATCTGGCTACACTTTGAATCTTCACAGATCGATCGATAGATACAAGGTCGTCAAAAGGATGAGTCTATTTTAAGAATCAGATTGTAATAGATCTAGATATTATAAGGCACATAAGATCTCTCTCTCTCTCTCTTACTTTCTACATATTAAAACCTTTTTTTTACTTCCAGAGTTTGAATGAAATCCATGAAAATTGCATTGCAACTTACTTTGTGTGTTTGATTTGACGACCCTTTCGAATTTGATCGTTGAAATTCATAGAGGACAAACAACCCGTGGGTTCAAACCTGATATTTTTCCATCGAATGCAGCCGTGAAAAAATGGCATTTTCGGAATCCTAATTGCAAAGATAAATCGATCCTTACTTGTAATGACTATAGTATCAAGTAAGAAGAAGACACTCGTATTAATGCTATGTGTAGTACTATTTACTACCTTTAACATAGTACAGACTTTAGCCTTTCGTACGTATCCACGTCGTAGTCTAGCGGGTATTCATCATACAATCAAGTACGCTCCAAAAGTGGTTGAGCAACCAGTGGACAAGAACGCATTGGATTCATATGATTCATATGATTCATATGATTTACGTGACTCGGATGAAGCTAGTATCGAGTTAAAGGATTCCGAGGAAATTGAGATGGAGAGTTCCAAAGATTTGAATCTAGATGTCGATGGTTCAGTTGATGCAAAAGTGATGCTAGAAGATGGTGAAGACATGGAATATAGCGCTGATGGTAACCAGGAAGTGGACATTACGTCCTTAACGAACGTCGACTTTTCTGCCGAAGCCACTCTTGACTGTAATGAAAAGCTGAATTCACTTCTTGATTTTGAAAGTGGCTCGTTGGACATTATGTTAGACGATGATGAGAGCTATACCCAGGATCTGGAGTTAGAAGATGACGAGGACGTTGATGAAATCATTGAAATACCCGAGGGAGCCAAGTTGATACGCTTGCGGGTGCACAAGGGCAATGTGGACCTCGATATCATCAAAAGTGACAAGATGGACGTCACGGAGACGAATAACAAGGAGCAGCCTAACGAGGCACAGAAGAAGAAGAAGACCGAGAAGACACACAAGGAAGAGGAACCACACAAGGAGAAGGTGGAGGCCGTTTCTACGGAATCCAAGGAGCAGTCCGTGTCTTATGCTGCCAAGGCCAAGGACTGGCTTCATATTGATGTCACCAAGTCCGCCTACATTGGCAGCATCATCGGTGCAGCGGTGGGCATCGTCGGCGTGGTTGGCGTGGCCATTGCCAAGAAGCGTGCTTCGGCAAAGTCCGAAGCGACCCTGTCCGAGAACGTGGCTACTGATGTTGCAGCTGGTGATAATGCGGACGACGACAACGCCATGTCCGAATCACTATCTGAGTCGGAAAGCGACGAGGATGTCGAAGCCGGCGTGACGGTGGTCGCAGAGGAGGACGCCGTGGAGGAGAAGAAGAAGAGCGTCGTGGAAGGTTCGGTATAAGTTGAATTTGGGCCTTGTAAGCGCAACAGACGGGATGTCATTCAAAGCGAATAGTTTATTCTGTGTCGTCTTTGAACATGCGGCCGTTTCGTCGAAAGATCGCGATTTTGCATCTAATGGTGTATATGTTTTCAACACAAACGTTTATCTTAGTGCATATATCGTTCATCAAGCACAATAGCACCACATCAAGGTCGGCAATCTTTGACAGCAAGTTCGAATGCTCCCCACCTGATCCGTGTTTTCTTGCTGGCATGTGAGTCATGCAGACGTGTGAGAGCATGTGAACGTAGTTGCAGTACAACAGGTGCTTCGATTGCTGTCACTCTACCTCGTCACTTTTTGTCTTTTCTGATACTGAATTGCCATGTTTCTTGCGCTTCTCACGCTTCCGACGCTTTCGATTGTCTTTTTGACTGACAGAAGACAGCACCTTGCGTTTCTTGACAGTATGCAACATCTTTGCTTTTGCACTGGAAGCAGGTGATGTAGCGGTATCTTGAACACTTGCAGCAGTCGATGTTCTCTCATTTGCTGCACTCGATTCGCCACCAACACTGTCAGACCGTTCAAAATACGCCACGAAAAAACCATTTGTCGAATCCTCAAGGCCGTTCGCACGAACAAGTGCCATGGCTTGTTCAGTAGATAAGCCTGCGACCGCAAGACCGCGACGTGGCCACGACAATAGAGCTGGTTTCAGCACAAAAGGACGCGCTGCAGTAGTGTTTTCCTCGGATTTTAATGCTGCCGCAACAACTTCCTCGTCCTCCTGTTGGAAAATAGAGCACGTTGAATATACCACACGCTCCACCTGCGGAAATGAAAAAGCCTTACGTAACGCTTCGAGCTGAAAGTCTGCAAGAGCCTGAAGACGCTTGGCAGTCTCTTGTTCATACTCTGCGCCATCATTGGGTTCCAGCACCGTATCACGCGCACTTGCGATATCTAGCAAGTGATCCAGACGGTTTGTCATCCCCGAACCAGAGCACGATGGGTCCAACAAAATACTTCGCACATTGCGATACTTTTCATCGTCGACGCAAACCTCCAGGAAGCTCTGCAGCTCAGCATGCACCAAAGCAGCAGCTCCTGCAAGCTGTATACGTCGCTTCAGCAGTGCAAGTCGCTTGGGCGATCGGTCAAAAGCAAACACTCGTCGCTTTCGGGTAGCACCATCCTCTTCATTTCCATCTTGTTGCTGTAGTAGCATGGCCAAGTGACTAGTCTTATTTCCAGGTGCGGCACACGCGTCGATCACGTCACCCTGTTTGTCCGTCGCATCAGCATACTCTCCATGTAGTACAAAAGCCGGAAAGCAGCTGGCTTTGTCCTGTAGCACAAGCTTTCCATTCGTAACCATCCCGTGCTCATGAAGTTCCGTACCCGACGGCAACACGAGCAGATCTCGCACATCTTGGTCTTGTTTGGCGTCGTACTCGCGCATAAATGCCTCAATCTCTTCCATAGAAGCTAGCAACGTATTGAAACGAACGTAACGAGGCATTGCAAGGTGCTGCTTCTTTCGATTTTCAAGTGGCAAAAGCGCCTCGTTGGACGCTACTTTACGTTTAATCTTGAGTCTCGCCAGTGCCGCTCGGAACGCCGTCTGATACTGCATAAACGTCTTCTTCACGTATCCACCACCTTGTATCTTTTGTCTACCAAATAGAAGGTCATAGAGAGCTACAAAAACAAGTGCAGGCGGTGGCTTTTTAACGTCCTTGGACATCTTGAGCGCTTTGTGGCACTCGGGTACAGCCATGAGCAGTTCACGCAACAGTGGCTTGTAACGTAACGTCTCGCACACGAGTGCAAAGGAGCTTCGTTTATGTACTGTAGATTCTGCATATGCCATTGTCTTGAGTCCAGCCTGACGTTGCTCTAATTTATACAATAGTGTCGCTGCTTCCTTGTAGAGCTCACTCATGGTGACATGAATCAATCAATTGACTGGCGTTTGAGTTAGAAATGGTTTTTATATAGAATTAGAAATAAAGATTAGTTTTTCCTAGAATTAGAAATAAAAATTGGTTTTTCTGAAAATTGTGCAATTTGCGGATAAATACTCTATAGCATAATTCGTGCCGTAAACGGAGCAATAAATCAGATGAGCCTCTTATCTATCTAAAAGCTCAATAGAGATAGAGATCAATATAAAGTCCTTTAAGTCATTTTCTTGTTATCTATAATGCTCTCAAGGCTTACTACGAAACGCCCCCCTCATTGGGGATCAATGCATATCGACAAGAACTCGACTACTTATGACAATGATACCACTACAGCACTTGTCCTATCATTATCTTCAGGGGATTCAATCAATCAACAGATCACAACACTAGAACATGCTATTGCACATACGATAATACCAAGTAAAACTTTACAACATCGACGACGGCGACGTTCCCGACGACTGTCGAAGAATTGCCGCACATTGAAGAAATTTGGTCCCATGCATTCTTCTTTTCGACGTATTCAGAACTTGAAAATTGATGTGAACCAGACAAAGCGACGGCGAGAAAGTTTAGCAACACAAGAGGTCCATTTGATGCATCAACAGATTCGAGCGCTGGAAAGACGACAGACGCTACTTTCGGCGTTGCATCTTGCACGACGGACAAATAACTTGCAAATTGCATCCAATAAAGTACGTGCGTACTACCAGAATTTCACGTATGGATACGACCTAACTCGCAGTAACGCGTGGGAACTAGAGGCGCAATTACGAAGTATGATGCTGCCGGATGTAGTCATCAGCGTTTTGTAATCTGGATGCATTTCTGATGCAATGGCACAACTACACCCGCTATCATGCCGAGTTTAAGCTGTGCTGCGAGCAGATCCAACCACTGGAGAGCGAGGACCCGGATGTGTATCTTATCCAATGTGTTGGACACTCTACTTTACGAATCTCACGCGACACTGTCCGATACTTTTTCCAGCCGTTGCTTGCTGATGAAGAGATGGTCCAATGTCTCATTGGCAAGACGTATTCTTTTCCTTTTGCATCGCGATTCTACTTCAACTCGACTGGTCAAGTGTTTAAGATGGATCCACGAGCTGAGTTAGCATCAGGCCTCTTGAATCTCGTGGTAGATCCGTTTATGACTGTACGGATCCTTGCTGCCTCTCAACTCTCGGCAGATGGTTGCTTGCATGCCTACGCGAAAAATGATGGTACCGTTGGATCTGCCATGAGTAGTATGTAATAAGCGGTAGAAAAAACAAACAACATAAGACACAAGAGCTTGCAATATGATGTAGCAACAGCAGTGCTGTTCTACAGAAATAGTAGCCACATCTCCATCTCTAAATGTCATAGAGTTGCTACAATTGCTAAAAAGCGACTTCAAAACACCTTTTTCGAGGTTTCGCTGAGTTTTAGCAGACATTTTAAAGCTGCTTTTCGTAATCGTCAGATAATGCATTGCCAATTAATTGTAAGTTTGTATTTTATTTTCGTCGTCGGACTCAGATACGACACACCAAGTAAAACACCGTCTTACGGTTACTTCACCTCCTAACGCTTACTTTATGGACTAAAAATTGGGTCATCGTTCTACCAAAAAAGTTGTTATGCTGTTGGAAAAGCCCGAAGACGTAAAACATGAAAATTCCTCCGGAACTGGTACGTTTGTAATCGTGTCCTCACTCTTGTTACTTCATATAGATCCTCACGATATTGGTGTTACTTAATAACCTCTCCACTCGATTACTAGTATGTGCCATTTATGGGGTCGATGCTCATCCAAAGCTCCAATTATTTGCAACTGCTGGAGGAGACAATAGCGTCAAGATTTGGTCCTTAGAAATACAAAAGAAGACGGAGGAAGGAATTGCTTCCTTTGAGTTATTAGTGACTCTATCAAATCATCAACAGGCTGTCAATTGCGTCCGATGGGCAGGTCATGGGCGTTATTTAGCCTCAGGTTCAGATGATCAATTGATTTTACTGTACGAATTACAGACGGGAACGCTAGCTCCGGTTCCATTTGGCTCGAATGCACGACCTAATAAACAGAATTGGGTTCATTGTGCTACACTTGAGCGACATACAATGGGTAAGGAGAGAGAGAGAGATGGTCGTTGATATCTATCTACTAGTGCTGAGGTTTATACTTTTGTGTGTGTGTGTTGATTGTAGATGTTGCGGACATTGCGTGGTCACCGGATGATCGGATGTTAGCAACTTGTAGCATTGATAATACTATTTTGATCTGGAATGTGAGTGTGGGAGGAATTAGTGAAGTCATGACACAGCCACTACAAACGCTTACAGGACATAATGGCTGGGTTAAAGGTGTTGCATGGGATCCCGTTGGCAAGGTTGGTGGTGGTGGTGTTATGGGAAAAAGAATAGCTGAATGTTATTGTTGTTTGTGTTGATAAATGTTTATTGCTGGTTGCTTTGTATCTTGTAGTATCTGTCGAGTGCTGGCGAAGACAAGACTGTCCGAATGTGGAAAGTCGCTGATTGGCAGGAGTCTGATGTTGTGAAAGAGCCCTTTGAAGGATGTGCGTCCACATCGCACTTCCGTCGATTGTCATGGTCTCCTGACGGTTCAGTTCTCTGTGCTACACACGCTTTTAGCTCCAAGAAAAATATCGCGGCACTATTGAACCGCGGATCCTGGACAAACGATCTTAAATTTGTCGGCCACCAGGGTGTCGTAACTAGTGCTCGATTCAATCCTAAACTGCTTGGTACGTCAGAATGAGCTGACAGAAAAGCGTAATTGCGCTTCATGCTGAACACTTCGGTTCGTGTGTTTGGTTCGCAGTGACTACAGCAGACCCCGACAAGGAATTTGCATGCTGTGCTGTGGGTGGTGAAGATGCGACTGTAAGCATCTGGCTAGCTCACTTAGCACGCCCACTGGCTGTTATTAAGGATTGTTTTGACTCATCCGTAACGGACTTATCGTGGTCGAGTTCCCAGTCGCTGCTTCTCGCCTGCTCGCTTGATGGCACGGTGTGCTGCTTCCAGTTTGATGCAGATGAGATTGGCACTCCTATATCGGATGCTCAGCAAAGCAAACTCCTTCAAGCAAAGGTTTGTTGGTTTTTGCTATTCTGCATCTTGAAGGCTTATGTAAGCTTACACGCATGAGTGTTTGGGTATTGTGTGCAGTATGGATCTCGAGCCGGTATTACGCTCGCATCGACATTGGTTGAAGGTCCAATTCAGCTTCAGGTAATGCTTGCTGGATGCAATTGCCGGTTGTAATATGACGATGTAAGTTGGTCACAGAAGTTATGTTGCTGAAAGTGTAGCTCGAAGAAAAGTCGACAACTTTACCACGATTAGCTGTCAGTCAGCCTTTTGGCGGTAACGCTGCTACCGTAGCAAACCACACAACCAACACTCTTATCCCAAAGAGGAAAAGGGCAGACAGCCAGGCAACCATCACACCGCAAAGCAAACCACCCAGTGGAGCGAGCAACGGAGACAAAAAGCGGATTGCTCCAGTGCTACTTCCGACGAACGTCCATCACTCAGCCAATAATCCAGCATCATCGCAGAATAGTATCCGCAACATCTTGGGTCCGACAGTCGTTTCACCCAGCAGTGTGACGGCACCGGACGTCACACTGCTGGACACTCGCATGACCACAACGAGTAAGAAGGAGGTTAGTGCTGTTCGTGAGACCAACATATCTCCTATACTTGAGTCAAGCACTGCGCTGAGTCATAGCGAGACGATTGGGTTGACCCTCAATGAGAAACCTGTTGGCTTGACGACAAATGACGCACCGCCTAAACCGATGAAGGTAGAAGAGAAGAAAAACGGAGTTGATGGTACTTCATTGAAGAGAAAACGAGAAAGTGAGCGGCCTATAACTCAAGCCACCGCCGTACTAGCAAATTCAAGAGAAGTTGTTGCTCGAGCATCAAAACTACTGAACGAAAGGTTTGTTCATCGAGTCCGCATTATGAATGATATTACTGACTGGTAGTGCTTTGAACTTTGGTACTGATAGGATTAGTGCTGGCATGACCAAGGGAGTTCAGTTGTTACCTGAATTTCCAGTTCGGCTGCTGTTCTCAGTGGAAATAGACATGAAGACACAATCCAGCACTTTAGACTCAATATTGAATGACAACACAAGAAGCAGGTTGGTGTCATCTAAAGTAGTGATAGAAGTTGTTGTTCACAATTTGAAAAAACTTCAGTCAGAGGAAATCATAGGCAAGTTGCGACTTGGCTTGTTGATTTTCATGGGAATGATTGCTGACACTCTTGAGTTGATGCAACGCTGCAGAGTTAGGTTCACTGTATTCAACGATAAAGTGTTCTGAGGGAAGCGAGTTGAAGTGGATTGATCGTGTCCCTGGCCGAGCCGTTTGCGTAGTTGGAAACGCTAGGTATTGTGCAGTTGGTGTACACAACGGCGACCTATTTATTCTTAGTAGCAATGGACGGCGTTTGTTTCCATGTATCGGTATGTAATGCGAGCCTACTCACATTTGGATTGCGCGTCGACTGACATTCGACTCGCTCCTTTTGGTAGCCTTGGGCAGTGCTATATCAGTGATGGAGTGCAGTAAGAGCGAGTCACCTTATTTGCTGGTGATATTGGGGACAGGCGATTTGAAAGTTTGGGATTTTGCTCAACGCAAGCTCATACTCTCAAGCTCTATTGAGGCAATTACAACTGTAAGTACTACAATGTGCCTTTGTTGCAGTGATGCTTTGTTTCGTGACTTTGCTGCTACGTCGTGGATCGCAGATTACACCAGAAGAAGATCGGAAGCTAACTCTTCTTCGGTGCCAAGTTACGAAGAAGGGGATGCCGCTTATAACTTTTGCCGAGTCAAACTCCGAAACGAAAGGCAATTCTAGTCTGCTGTCGTACACATTCGACTCAGCTATGTCCTCCTGGTATGACTCTTGCTGATGATACTACATGAACGTGAGCCGCGTAACGCGGATGGAAGCGCGGGATAGTAACTCACTTGTGTGCTGTTTGGTACATGAAGGATGCGCGTGGCGGACGACAGCTTTGTGTACTCGGATTTTGCATCCGCGCTTTCAACAGATGCAGTGACAGTCAAGAGCGTTCCTGTACGGGTGTACATTTACTCTTGTCGTTGCTGGCTAGATGCTAATAGTATTTTGCATTGCGTACACTAGATTGGTCCATTGCGGCAGCTCCAAAATGCCTCTGGCTACGGTCGATCTCAGAGAGGCATTGCTTCAGCTATGCTGTCTGGAATGTCAGATCCACTGATGCAGCGCAATTTGACGCGCTCGCATCTTGAGCACCAGGCTGCCGCTGCAATTGTGCTGAAAAGCTCGACTGAATATTGTTATTGGTATGTTTTACAACTTGACCATAGCAATCGGATTGCTACTGATGCTACACTTCCTCTTCACTTTTAACAACAGGATACAGACGTACGCGAGGTTTCTGACAAACGATGAAGACGTAACACGCCTGGATGAACTCTGTGCTGAGATGATGGGCCCCTTCCATGCGTAAGTTTATCGTTACCAGCTAACGTTATTGAAAGCGAATCTTGACGCGTACTATCTGTCTCGTGCAGATCGTCAACTAGAAGCTCAGTCAGTGACAAGAAGTCTGCTCGACGTGGAAACGAGAGTAATGAATGGGATCCGATGGTTCTGGTACGCAACGATGTGCCATGGCCACTTTGCCATTTTGTGCTTTATATCGGGACTAACACCTTTGATGGATTAATGACAGGACCTTGTGAAACGTGACGTCTTGAAGATCCACATCTTGCCAACGATTGCAATGAACCGTGCATTGCAGCGCATTGTGACAAAGTACCAGTTGATGCTGAGCGAGATTGACTCACGCGAGAAGGACGATGAAGACGACAATGACTCGTAGTCTACGACGTCTAGTAGCTCGGATCTATATTGAGAGAGCAATCCAATGAATGGACGACGTTAATACGGCTCTACATTGATAGTATCATCCAGCAATACTGCACGATGTCAAACTTGATACTAACAGGTGGTTTACGATATAGAGATAATAATGCCAAGTCTGACAAGTTTACAACTTGAAGTCAGTCAATGATATCGAATATACTTTTATAAGTAGCAACTAATGTCGAGAAGGAAGATATGAAGAAAGATTGTAGAAAAGTAGTCGGCTGAAGCGTTTTTTTATTCGAATAATTTAAAGTTCAGTGCAAAAGGAAGATTGCAAACAAACAAAAAGAGGAGAAAGGAACTGTAAAGTAAGACAAATGCCATCTATCAGAGCCAGAGAAAGCGGTGATGAAATTACTACACAAGGCAGCCGTACTCGGGAGAAATGTGGCGGAAAATGTCGTCCTCGAGGCTATCAAGTCCACCCGATATGGTCGTATCTGATGTTCCGTCCAAGGATGTGGACGTACTGGTCGCCGCAGTTTGAGTTTTTCGCATGGCCATGGTTGGTGATGGTTGCAATGGGAAAAAGTCGTACGAGATGGCATCAAGAGAGTAACCACAGGACGGATGGTCATTGTCTCCGTAAGGGTCCATATTGGACGTACTGAGCTCGCCAAAGGGGTCATACAATGTGTCAAAGACAAAGCCCGTCTGCATGGAGGTCATCCCGGTATTGTACTGTGCACGGTTGTAGCCACTTGCTGCGTGCATAGCCATAGGATTGCTCAAGAACATATTGTCACGGTGTGGTGACGAGGCAGAGCTCGAAGATGGTGAGTCCGTAAAGAGGTGCTTGCGTGTCTTGTTCCTGTGAACAAAATGCTCGACGCTTGGTCGTGGACTCCTTGAGCTGCATGAATCCTCGTCCGAGTCGTGATCGTCAGGAGTATTGCTTCCATCAGCATCACCTTGGAAGAAATAGGCAGGCAACATCTGGCCATTTGGATCAATACCGTAGGTCTCGGGCGACAAAAGGCGCTTCAATTGACTCCGGTATCCTGCAAACTGTCGTATCTGCTTGTCCGAAAGCTGTGGACCCGAACCATCCTGGGCCTGCCGTTGACATTGTTCGAGTTCTTGTAATGATCGCTTGAGACTACGTACTTTACGGTAAGGCCAGTGGCGGATTCCAATGGCTCGGCATCGCTTCTTAAAGGCTGTGGCACGCACTCCAAATTTCTCAGCTGCTACTTTAAGTGGTAGATGGAAATGGCGACTAAGCGCTGTAAAGTTGCACGTGGCCACGGGTAATGGAGATGCAGGACCTTCAGAGGCAACTGGTGAATCACAAGCTACGCGTTTGTTAAAGTTATGTACAGCCACTTGCATTCGCAATGACTGTTGCGCTTTATCAGCCGTAGGGGACTGGAAATTAAAGTGCATTCCTCGTGTATCAGCAGTAGCCGTAGGTGTCGCAGGCAATTCCATTTCCATCTTGGATGTTACTTTTGTGTGTGTGTGATTAATAATAATGACAAAAGTTACTTCAGACAAAAATAAAACAACGACTCAAGCGACTAGTGTAGCTCGAGGTAAATCTAGGAATGAAGCGAAAGACGCTTGCATGTTTCGGTTTAGAAACCGAAGTTTTCAAAGACGGAAACGGCGCCAGATTTCTATTTCTAAATAGGATCTTCCACGTCAGCTGCCCATCACCTTACGTCCTTTCAGGATCGCAATTGAATTACCAAATGTTGCTACTTTATTGAAGCAATAGGAAGTTCAAGTCACGTTTCATATAAGGCACAGGTTTACTCGTTGTTTGAGATTTTATCCATGTATTGGATCGCTTCGTTTCTAGCTCCTAGTCAACTACGAGATATAATATTGCAGCACCGAGACCAGACACTAAACAACCGCAACATGTACGATTAATCTGATACGTATTGATCTGACTACTCGAGCAAATGATTGCTGCCTCACTTGACTACTTTGACGGAAAAAACTTTCAAGCATTCAAGCACGTACTCAAATAGTACATGGCATTTTTGAGATCTTTACTAGAAAGTGCAAATAAACTTGTATTGTGACAACTTCATGTAATTTATGATTTGAAACCGATATCCAACGCATATCTTTTTGGATAACGACGATTATTAGTCAATTAGATGCATCGGAAATTATCCATATATTTTATGTTTGCAGTGCTAATCAACAAAGTAACACTAATGACTGCATGTTCTCGACGTTACCAATACAAATAGCCGTTATCGTGCGTGCTTGCGCTTACTGTTGCGTTCTTTTTTGCGCCGGATTCAGTAATAACGGCTGTTTTTTTGGGAGCAGTCTAGACTATCTGTGTGGTACACATCGATAGAAACATGGAAAGTTTGCAGCGATATAAATCATGCAGGACGTGTCTTTCTAAAAAGGAATCACGCAATCTTGTCTTCGTTTGATTATGATAATTACCCCCCCCCTTCTCTGCTCTTGACTTCATGATTTATTTGCTACCTCGACCCTCTCAATAGGAATACTGCTGCTCAGTAAATGCCTCTTCCAATGACGCCCACATTAATTGACTCGCGTTGACTGAAAAGTAATCCAACGTATCGGCATTCCACATGCCTACGCCTCGCAATCCGAGCTCACGAACAAGTGCATACTTTGCTGTCAAGCTGCGCGGGTTATCAAACCAAATTTGTGACCGTTGCCCCTCCGGTGAAAACCAAACAAATGGGGTCTGAGTCAAGGGGTCCCATTGCTCGACGAGGCCGTTGCTCTTCACCATTTGTTGGATATCACCGTAGTCGACTTGTCGACCGGCCGCGTCACTGCAAGGGGCACCGAAGAAAGGCACCGGTTGAATTTGACACCACGAAGTGTCGTCAGTTGCACCTGTTGCCTGGTCCAGGCACCGGTAGAGATAACCGTACCATGGTACCCCAAGCACCAGCTTGTCCGGTATGACGTCGTACGCAAGTAGAAACTCTTGCAACCCTTGTTTGACGAGTGCCAATGGCGAATTGGCGCCAGCAATGCACGCATCATACACTTGACTACGCATATCATACGACATGACGAACAAGAAATCCGCGGCAATACTGAGCTCGTGCCATGGATAATAGCGACCATCCACACCACGAGGGGCCCACGGAACGTCAAACGTGATCTGCAGATCAAGTATTGCGAATATTCATGAGGGTCAGCAGAGTGAGCTAAAACAAGAATCCCAAGCTAGCAGCAAACCTGTGCATTCTTTGTGAGTACGTGCCGCTCTAGCTCGCTGCGGAGCTCTTGCACAAGTAATCCAAGGCAATGCGAAGTAGCGCCGTGCATGGGCTTCTCAGTGTCAATATTGACCCCGTCAGCGTAGTTCTCTACAATCTTAGAGTACGTTGCCTGACGAAAAAAATATAGTACAAAAACATTTGGTAAATGCCTTAAGCTAATAGCTTCTATCAGTTGAATTGATGTCTTCGTCTCCTTACCTTGATCCAGGCTTGTCGTGTTGTACTGTTACACAATTGATCCACGTCATCAAAATTATGTTTCACGACCACTTTCACGCCCTTGCTGTGTGCATGACAGAGTAATTGCTTGTCCTCGTTCCAAGCGACCGTCGTGAGCTGACAATATAATTCCATGATACAGTAAACATCAATCGTAGCGTCACAAGCGGGATCAATGGAACTGCACGTACTTTTTCCCAGTCGTAGAGTTTCCAGCGGTCCGTCGTTGTCACGGAGAAGGCAAAAACCTCCTTTCGATACTTTTTGCCAGTAAAATCCACTGGAAGACATAGCGACGAGGAACTGAGCTCATCACTGCTACTTGGACACGGACAGTTACGCAGACGCGTGTAGTCCTCATCATTCAAATCATTCAGCGATGGTATACTATCAGTCTGAGCCGGTAGAGTTTTACAGACGTATTGTTTGATTAAGAGCAATAGTAGTAACACATGAAGCGGCCATGGTGAGGGGGGGACACATGAAGTAGCTTTGTATTCTTAATGAGAAAATAGATATGCACAGTTGAAGGGGATTGTAAACTGAACATATGATATGAGGTCCTTAAGTTCGCTTTACTCTGTTACTTACGCCTGTAAAAGACAGCGAGAAGCAAAAATCATTGACCAAGGAATGGGTAGTGCAGGTAAAAGTACTGGGAGAAGAACGACTGCCATGGAAGTTGCGTCTTGAGTTATCTCTTTGGTGCAATCTTACGTAGCTCAATAAAAGGTCAGGAACACAAGCGTCAGTCATGTTTGTCAGTGTCACAATTCATGATACGCTAGTGTCGCTCTTTTTTGAATTCGTCAATGGAGCCTTCAAGAAAGTTCCTGATGTCCTAGGCTTGCTCTAACTAATTGAAGCCGTCCTTTGTTTGCAAGAGCATATTGGCAACGACAGAGGTTTTTGGTCGTGAGTGAACGCAAGCAGCAGATACATTTCTGACAGGTACAAGGCGCTGAATGCCGTCGATAGAGAGGCAGTCATTATAATGATCAATGACACTCACGTTAGGCGATAATGAGGTGGTGTGAGATAAAATGGTAGCAATTGTAGCTGCAGGTTTGGTTGACAGTGCTTGCGGTTTGACAGATAGACTGGACGTAATAGGTGTCACAGGGACTTGGGACCACCATCATCGGCAACTGCGCTACTATCAGATCAAGTTATCTTGTCTGCGTCACACACTTCATTCATATCTCAACTGCTCGGCTGCTTGGTATCTCACCTCCATACTTACTGTTTGCTTCGCTTCGCTCTAACTACGTGCCCATTGCTCGTGCCACGGCAATTGTTTCTGTATCACATTACCATGCTTCATAAAGTGTGGTTGTTAACCGCTTCCACTTACAAACCGACAAGTCGCCAAGCAGCTACTTGCAAGGTCGCGTTTTCATGTCAGACCAAAGAAAATGCTTAACGGGACTCTGGCAATCTCGGCGCTACCGAACAGACAAGCTTTTGCGATGACAGCCAGCGAGTAACGTGCACTCACGTCGGTCAAGTACGCACGGAATCTTTAATCAGCAGGACAAGTCAGACCAAAAACCATTCGCACCATAGATCGTCAATTACAGCAACAAACCTGGTAAATTGGGCCAAAACACTGGATGCAACCGGAACGAGCTCAAAAATGGTGTTTTGACTGTCACATCGCTTGCTGGTTTTCCACAACACGAGTGCTCGCTGAAGCTTAAGCCGGTGCTGGGTCTCTAACTGTGGCGATTGATGACCCACACCAACACTTTCGATTACAATACAATCAGCTGCTGAATCCTGGCTTGCTTGAAGTTGCATTCCGACAACGAAGAGGCGCGGATGCCACACACGATGCAAAAGCGAAGCGAGTGGAAGGGAACTCAATGCCACGACTGGCACCCATAGCAACAACGACGCAAGTAGGATACTGCCTCGCACGCCTGCAAAGAATACAAAGAACACTAAATTGGTCGTCACGAGGAAAACCAAAATGGTGAAGAGTAGAGTGCCTAGCAGGAGCTGTCCGACATCGTATTCACACGTGTCCACACGGTGACGCAACACATTGATCTTTTTGCCCAAAAAAAGCTTTGACAGTGATGAAAACAACCCAAATTGCAGGCGGTTCAGTTTGGCAAAATAGAGATAGATCCAATGCGAGTGCCAAGTAGTCAGGCTTAGCAGATCGAGCACTAGCGTCAACTGCAGTGTCACACCCATGTGCCCACATATGTGCAAGAGCCAATGTCCTATACTCTCATTGCTTACCAAAGGTACAAGTTCGTCAAAGATAAAGCTCCACAGGTTCAGCCACAGGAGGATGCCATTGCCGAATATCGAAGCGAGCGGCTTATTTAGCTTAAAGCCCGCGGGGGCGCCCATCAGCCACTCCACGTTGTCACGTAAGAACTTCACGACTACAATCGGAGAACTGACCAACAATAATATCCACACCATCCATGTTAGATATTAAATAAGCATTCTGCACACACTGCCCATCTTCATGCTGCTCACATGCTGGTGGTGTGAAAGATTGGAGTAACAATGCCACCCAAGTACGTCAGCGCTACCTGTCCCAGCACCATGTCAAGAAGCACAAAACATATCCAATCAAGAACTTGCAGTAGTTCCAGTCCTGTAAGAATGCACCATAAATGTTGTAAGTCGAGTGAGACAGCACACAGTTGCGTGCAAGAAAGCCTACGTTCTCGATGTGACAGCCCTCGCTGCTTACGTAAAAGGTAAAACCGCCGCAGACGTTTCGGTAGACTTGCTGCATTGTGTAGTTGATAAGACAGCACTGCCGTAAATGTCGAAATTTCCTACAAACAAAACATCCCACCGATAAGGAGAGGGAGACACAGACAGCACTTGAATCAGTACGACACACTCACTAATCGAAGCACCCGCCTATCTCTATGTCTATATATTAACTCGTACCGCCAAACTATCTCCACTACCAACAAGAAGCCACGATGGCATCTTCATGTCTTGTACAAGATGCTGAATAGTTGTTGTCACTGCTAGAAGTGGTGCAAATGGTACGTAAATCAAATAGTATCCTACAGTCTCCAGTAGCCATCCAATTGTCCCATCCATATAATCATCAGCAGATTCCTTGTCGTCGTCATTATGCTTATCAAAACTGACAAATTGTTCTCCAATCTGTTGTAAAAGTTGCGGAGAATGATGCATCGTAAAGTTTCCAAGAGCTGCCACATGGGCATCAAACAAGATGATGAGACGGGATTTTAAGGCCTTAATAGGTAGCAATTCAAGACCAATCGAAGCCTTTGCATCCAATGATACAGCACATAGAGCATTACTATCGTAGGATAAACGTCGGCAAAGTACAGTGGACGACGATGCAGCGTCAAGTGTCCACAAGTGTCGTGGCCAATACACCACTTCCTTACATGTCATTATTGTAGAAAATGAGACGATTGTTGGTATCAATTATGACCTAAAAAAGGAGACTATAAATAGCTTTGACCCATTTCATAAAAAGGAAGACTAGTACTAACCTTACAAAAAACGTACAGCAATTTTCAATTAACAGTTACATCGCGCCTTTCTCAATTGTTTGCTTGACTTATGTAGCCATATAGTACTACAATATTTGTATTGGATAGCATTCTATAACCTTAATTTGTTTGCTAAAGGTTGACAATCACGTATTTGCTAGCCATGATAATATACACCAATGTCAATGATAATAAAAGGGTAATATATTGCAAGAGATGTTTAGACATATGTCTATACAAATGTTGTTTCTCTGCCAGAAGCTAGAAAAACGGGTCATATCTAGCACTTTATTGAAAAACGATTGCATACAAAGATCAAGTATATACATGAATCTCTCTAAAACCTTGGAAACTTTATTTCACCCAAAAACCCACACCAAAACCCCAAATATCCTTCATTAGTCAATTTAATCTATATTTATCCCACACAAGACTACTACAATTACTACTGTATCGAACGATGGATTCTGAAGGATTTACATCACGTGCGTGGCTAAGCCATTGGGTATCAGGTGAAGAAGAACCCGTAAATAATTACTATGAAGATCATAAATTGATGGAAGGAGCGCTAATTAAATTGGGTGATTATGCTCATTTTCGATATTTTCTACTCTTTCGTAATGGTCGTTTTTGCTATTATGAGTTACCAATGCCTACAGCAGGACCTGGTGGTGGTGGAGGAGGAGGACCTAATGAAGGAGGAGGAGGAACTACTGGAACAAAACGTGTTCATTTGACACTTACATCAAAGAATTTACGTGGTGTGATGATGCTAAATGCCTCATTAAATACGAAAGATATAGCCAAGAGTGAAGACGAGTATGATGCCGATCTTCTTAAACGTGGTCTTGTATTTAATCGGAAGAAATTAGAGATGCAACTTACAGGATATTCTCCTACAGGACAACTCATGTGTTGGAAACTTCGAGCTGGTAAAGATGCAGTCTATCTCAAGTGGGAACGTGCATTTCGATTAGCATTGCGTCCTATTTGGGTACAGAATTCAAAATGTTGCATGGTTTGTAAGAAAGAATTTAGCTTTTTTATTCGTCCACATCATTGTCGGTACGTTATCAAGTGGCTAGTTTTGTACAATTGATTCAAGTTTGTACGAGAAGAAAGAGAGACTTTATGGTGGATATTAACGTGTTGGGCACTGATGGTTTTTATATGATTGCTACAGTAAGTGTGGAACGTGTATGTGTGATGAATGCTCGGTATTTGTTCCACGATTACCTATGCAGGGATATTATGACGAAGTTCGAATTTGTAGGGACTGCTCACCCGTTAAGATCCAGCGATCGGCGTTAAAACTGGGCACGTGTGTGTTAGTATACGGGATTTTGGTTGGTAGAGTGGTGCAGGTTGATGCTGCAGATGACTCAGAGGACGGAAGAGCATTTGTTAATGTAGAGCTTGTCAAGAAAGACAACCAGTTGCGACGGTTTCCACTAGAACATGTGGAGCTCTACTCTGACGTCGTGCTGTCAGCTAACCGCATTAAGAACGCGATCCGTCAACACTTGTCGTACACTGTTTTTCGGACACAGCTCAACTTCAATACATGGAATTTGCTGGAAACTGTTGAAGAACAACGCACAGTGCAGATGGTACGAATACTTAACAAGTCGGCAAGTATCAGTGAGTTGCAGTCAATGGTACCGATGCTTGGACCATTGGACATGATGCAGTTTCCTGAGAATGACGTCTCTGAACAAGATCGTGTGAAGAAGTCTCTTTCGCATTACCGAGGTGTGCATGTCTCGTTTCCGTTGCGGCTGGAAACGGTAAAGAGACTGATTAATCAGTTCCGCAATGGTATTTTGCTCCACCGCGTCTTCGTACGGCAAATTTTGGACGAGTCGCAAAAACAGTTTCGAACCATTCACCAGTCACCTATGAATGAGATTGAGATACCGATTGGTGTGCAGTTAGTCGTTGTCGGCGATTTGCATGGACAATTAGAGGATTTGCTGACGATCTTGGACAAGAACGGTGTACCGAGCAGCAAAACATGGTATCTCTTCAATGGTGACTTTGTGGATCGCGGATCGCACGGAATTGAAGTGATCTTGCTCTTGCTGATATTCAAACTACTGTACCCCAGTTATGTGTTCTTGAACCGTGGCAATCACGAAGAACGCATGATTAACGAGGTTTTTGGATTTGAAGATGAAATCTATACAAAGTATGGTACAGACAGTGATGGAGTGGCTGGATGGAGTGGTTTAGGTACTTCTCTCAACTACTCACCCATGAAGCTCTTTCAGGTGTTTGAGACAGTGTTTGGTTTATTCCCGATCTTCGCATTGCTTAATAAGCGAATCTTTATTGTACATGGTGGTTTAAGTAATCATGAAAACGTTACGATTGAGGAATTGCTCCAGCTTGACCACAAGCGTGAGATTCCTACTCAAGGTACAAGCCGTGCAGACGAAATCTTTACGCATTTGTTGTGGAGTGATCCACGTGACGAAGACGGGTGGAAGCCGTCAAGCCGAGGGGCTGGTGTAGAATTCGGTCCTGACATCACAAAAGCGTTTTGCGCACAAAATAAAATTAGTCTCATCATTCGGTCGCATGAATGTCGAGAAGAAGGTTTCGACATTCTCCACGACGGCTTACTTCTGACTGTTTTCTCAGCATCAAGCTACTGCGGTTCCCAGACTAACAAAGGTGCCTACGTTCAGCTAGAGTTAGGAGAGGACAACGATATTAAGCCACATGTGGTGCAGTTCTCTTCGCAGCCGCTTCAAAAACTGAAGGACGCCGGAAGAAACGAGTGGCGAAAAAAAGCACAACGATTGGAGCGAAGAACTCTGATGTCTCTTGTTGAGATGATTTGTGAAAAGAAGAACGGACTGCTAACCGCTTTTAACGAGCTGGACACTACCGGGTCCGGACACGTGACGAAATTGGAGTGGAAAGCAGTTTTGCAGAAGGTTTTGGGTATTCCAGCGAACTTTTTGTCGTATTTTAATCAACTGGCGGAGGCAAACCAGCAAGGTTGTGTCGACTACCAGAAGTTTCTCAATCGTTACACTGTTGAGCTGGATGGTGGCAATGTGGAGTGGAGGCGTAATCTGATCCGTAAGGTTTGGGTAGGGTTCTGTCAAGCACTTCCTCGTCCGTCTGAGACGGATGCTGAAAAGATAACATTGCAAAACAAACTTCATTTTGCATTCAATCTTTTCCAGTCATCCTCCTCTGGGGCTGCCAATACGCAACATGCGCCAAAATCTGCCTCAACAGCCGATGAATCCGGACCATCTTGTAGTAACTCGTTCCAGGTTGATAAACTGAAGGAAAACTACGTGCGCAATGGTCTGGTCACGTACGAGGCATTTCGAAATACTATCCAGGGCAAGTTGCAGCTGAGAGACACACTGTCAGAGCAACAGATTTTTGAGCTCATGCAACACCTTGATCAGAACCACGATGGCGTGGTCGATTATCAAGAGTTTTGCTCGTTCTTTGCCGAGTTTAGCCGGACCGATTATTTGCAAGAAATCTTCGAGGTGGACGACACGAAGGCCATATCTCTCCTAAATCGCTGTGCTACGCTCTTGCAGAACTCAAACAAGTTTGCATCGCTGCGAGATGCGTTCGATGCATTTGATCACAGCAAAACGGGTAAATTGACTGTGGATGATATTCTAAAGGGAACGCAGGAGCTGGGCATGGTACCGGAACTTGACAACGACGAAGCCCAGCTACTCTTTAACTCGATTCTACTCAGCTACTACGGCATTAACGAGCGGCATCAATGGAATACACGGGGATTAAACTGGATTGTATTTGAGGACACGTTTTCACCGGACAGCACGTTTCAGCGACGTCTGTGGTTGGCAAGCCTGAGTGCCTCAAACTCAAACCTGGCCGCTCTAGACGTTCGTGATTCGTTGTCGGGGGAAGATGAGACTGTTCAGGAGGGACAGGTTTCGAAGAACCAGACATGGGCTGACAGTTTTGTTGATAGCGTCAAGCAGTCACTGCATGAGCAACGATTGTATATCAAGTTCCTGTTCCGGATACTGGACCGTAAGAGACATGGATATGTGACCAAGGATCAGTTTATTGCTACCATGCAAGCCATCAACGAAGAGCATGGAGCACCATTGAAACTTCCGCAGCTCGAGCAATTGGCCGATGCATTTGCTTGTCCCAAGACTGCTCGGCATATTTCAACTGCAGGTGAAGAGATAGAAGAGACGCGTACGTATGTTTCTTATCCTGACTTTCTTCGTAGTTTGCGCATCATTGACTCAGGACCGACAGACGGTAGTGAGATCACCACACCAGAGGTGCATGATACCGGTAATGCAAGTAGTAGTAGTCGGTAACTAACGCATTCGGTATCACTGAAAAGGTATGAACCATATTGTGCAAATAATCAACACACACGTCGTTTGGGAGATCAATGACTGTTCTCTTGTTCTTTGCATCACGCAACATTCATACGACCTCTTGATCATATCTCCTCTCCACCAGTCAAAAAGGTATTGGTTGGTCCGTATGCATTTGAACAAGTGAGTAGCTCCATTTGACTCATTCGTAAATCTCTCTCTCCAGGTCTTTTTTTTAAAGTCAAGTAAGTTCTCCATTAGCAAGTAAGTAAGTACATTCACAGATAGTGATTTCACTATCATAGAAGCCGCACGATTGCTTTCTCTTCTTGTTTTTGTTTTTACTTGAGAGCAAGTTATCGCGCGGCTTTGGAGGCATCGTTTGTCTATTGTCGAGCACTTGTTGATCACTCGCCTTTTGACTAGAGAGGCTTTTTGAGTAAAGAGAACGTGTGTTTAGACATAGATGACGACTGACCTTGGCTCTTGGCTCTAAGCATTAATACGTCTGTATATTGTCTGTTTCATTACTTTGTTGTATCAGCTATGGTTCGTATGAGTGTACTAGCCGACTGTCTGAAGACAATGTACAATGCTGAAAAGCGTGGTAAACGTCAAGTATTGATCCGTCCCAGTTCCAAGGTGATTGTCAAGTTCCTGCAGGTTATGCAAAAGAATGGATACATTGGTGAATTCGAGATTGTAGACGATCACCGTGCTGGCAAGATTGTGGTGGAACTCAAGGGCCGAATCAATAAATGTGGCGTCATTTCGCCGCGTTTTGATGTAAAGCTGGTGGAGTATGAAAAGTGGATTAACAATCTTCTACCATCGCGTCAGTTTGGTCACATTGTTGTGAGCACTACGTATGGGATTATGGATCACCATGAAGCTCGTCGTAAACACACGGGTGGAAAGATTGTTGGCTTTTTCTACTAGTCAAATTGGAGACCAGACCATGAAGATAAGCCAACAAGTGCGATCGTAGCTTGTATTGTGCCTGTGATAGGAGAGGGTTTGACGTAGAGAATTGGCTAATGCAAAGTACAGCTTCTTGGCGTTCGTTCTCTGTGCATTTGTTTACCTGTATTGTTGATAGGATTGGAGCTGGTAAATGCAGCTGGGCAATATCGATGGGCTTTCCGATGGGCTCGACATTTGAAAGAAGTAGCAAGGTCTGCAAAGTGACCGTATGATAGACCCTAGTCGATCAAGAGATAGTGCTTGCGCCTCGTGATCCTTGCACAGTGTGCACTGGTGTTTTTCTGTCTGACTGTGTGAGGATGGTCATTACATTGCAATTACATTGCAACAGTCGTTCATGCTGTACTATGTCGATCTGTATGATGCAGTCAAATGCAGGGCACAACACCATACAAAATATTATGCCGCCAAAGGTCACTTTGCCGAGTGTTCGCTTCTACACACCCGTGTAAAGTGTCGAACTCGACTATCGAAACTCGAAATGATCTCAGCTAAGGGTTACTGCGAGTCTGACAAGGTTCATGAGCGTGTGCGGCCCTCATAGTGCAAGCAGTTTCACAACTCGTTCAGTTGAGCAGCTGATAGTTTATTTGAGCTTTGACCGATGAGCAGTAAAAGGTGCACGGCTAGATGCAGACTCGTACGTACCGCTCATCCATTACTGTGCTGCTGCCTACACATAATTAATCCGTTCCGTGCTCACTCAATTTCTTACTCATCCAATGACGCCATCACAGCTCCAAACGCAGCACTAGAAGCACGGTACGTCGTCATGAGCGTTGCCTTCGTTGCAAGCAATGCCGGACCGCTGAACGCACGAGCCACATTCATATACGGACGCAACACTTCCTTGGCAGACTGGCCGATTGGTGTACTGACCATGAACTTCAGCGGCTCGACCACACACGTCTCGTACAAGCGGTCGAGTAGACTGCCACGATGCACCACAAATACATTGTTGCGGTGCACACGTAATGCCGCTTCATACCCTGATGGAGTCATGTAGCTACACAATAAATAGGTGCCACTTGTCTTCTTCACATGAAGTTCTAAATCTTCGATGGGACCGAGCACTGACGACGGATATGAGCCAAAGCCTTCAAACTTCACCACATCACTCATACGTGGCTCCATGCCGTGTGGTTCATACTGTAATACAATACGTACTTCACCCAAACTCAGCTGAGTTTCTCGTGTTTGTTTCTTCTTGTCACTAGTAGGTCCTGCAGTAGCCATCGGTAGATCTCCACTAAGTGGAATCCACTGGTCTATGACATCTTCTTTACCTTCAACCAATGACGTAAAATCCAAAGTTGCTGTACCAATCACTGATCCATTTGCCATTCCCACTGCTTCTGTTGCTTTTCCAGTAAGTGAGTCTTCATTCATCACGTCCAGAATTAGTTCCAATCGAATATCCGAGTGATCACCTACTAAATGTCGTTTCAGGTCTAATTTTGGTACTTTGACTTCCAAAAATTCACGACGCCATGATGGATTGTTATTACATGGTATAGTAGAACTACGGACACTTTGTTTACCTACACGAAAAATGACGTAAGGATTACACGTACGAACCCAAAACATCGAAGCAGCACGTAAATTACGAGCAGCTACTAATCGAATACTTAATGTCCCAGCAACACCATCTTGATGGTTTAGGTGCTTTTCAAATAAATACGAAGCCATAGACGCACGATCCTGTTGTTGTTGTTGGGCTACTAATAATGCCATGGTCGGGTCGGTCGTTATGTATCTATGAGCTATTGGGAGAAGGAGGAGGAATGTTTGTAAGAAGGAAAAGCGTTATCTGTTTTTTTACAAAAACTAATAATTCAAAATTTTACATTGGGAAAAGATAAAAATCACAGTAATGCCTGGAAATGTTATAGTTGACATGATACCATTGGATTGGTGGATAAGACAAAGTGTCATATCACGGATTGGTGGAAAGTCTGCACTCGATACGTCCAACCAATCAATCATTCGTTCACATCTTGCCAGAGAAGTTACTGCCGCGCGGAGTACCGTATTGAGTGCTGCGCTAGTGTTTGACCGCCATTTATTGCAGTAGATAGACACAACAATGGCCAAGGGTTTGAACACGACAAAAGCGTCGGCTGATAATCCGAATCGTAAAGTACCGAAGCGACAAAAAGGCGGCCAATATGCGCGATAAGAGCACTATCAAGCGTCTCAATATGTATCGCAATAGTGGCCCTATCCGGAACAAGGCCGGTAAAATTGTCGGTGGAAGTCTGATGATGAAAAATAAAGTGGGTGGACAGGAGATTACGCGTGCAAATGGACGCGTACAGCCAGATCGTCGCTGGTTTGGCAACACGCGCGTGGTGGGACAGAAGGAGCTGGACAATTTTCGAAATGAAATGTCCCTTAAGGCTGCTGATCCTTACTCAGTAGTGCTACGTACACGTAAATTGCCCATGGGTCTATTACAGGAGAGCGAAAAGACATCGCGTATGAAGCTATTGGAGACGGAGAGCTACGCTGAAGTCTTTAACGGCAAACGCAGTCGCAAACGTGCTAAATTCGCAGCCACAGATTACGCATCTTTGCTTTCGAGAGCACACGAGAATGCGGAGAAGTATGATGCCAAGGGATCTGATCGTAACATTACTGTGGAGCAAGATTTCAAGGAGGAAGTATCCCACGACGTGTTCAACAAAGGCCAGTCAAAGCGAATTTGGGGTGAACTTTACAAAGTTCTAGACTGCTCTGACGTCGTTATTCAGGTTCTAGATGCTCGCAATGTGCCTGGCACACGCTGTGAGCATGTAGAGAAACACATTCGCAAAAACGCGTCACATAAGCACTTAATCTTTATCATTAACAAGTGTGATTTAGTGCCCAATTGGGTCACCAAGCGTTGGGTGCAAAAGCTGAGCGAGACGACGCCTACGTTGGCTTTCCACGCGTCGATGAGCAACCCTTTCGGCAAGGGTGCGCTGATTAATTTGCTTCGTCAGTTTGCAAAGCTGCACCAGGAGAAGAAGCAGATTTCGGTCGGACTGATTGGCTACCCTAACGTGGGAAAGAGTTCTGTCATTAACGCATTGCGTAAGAAGAAGGTGTGCAAGGTAGCCCCGATTCCGGGTGAAACTAAGGTGTGGCAGTACATCACGCTCATGCGTCGCATCTTTCTTATTGATTGTCCCGGCATCGTGTATGACACTGGTGACGACGAGATTGAGACGGTGCTCAAGGGTGTCGTTCGCGCTGAGCGCTTGCCTCAGCCGACGGACTTTATTCCGACCATCCTGCAACGGGTCAACAAAGAGTTTATCGTGAAAGTGTACGGCATCGAGGAGTGGAATGACGAGTGGGACTTTTTGGAGAAACTTGCAAACAAGTGTGGCAAGCTACTGCAGAAGGGTGAGCCTGATTACAACAATGTCGCTGTGCATATGATTAACGACTACCAGCGTGGCAAGCTGCCGTGGTTCATCGCGCCACCTATGCGTGCAGAAGAACTTGCTGCGCTTGAGCAGAAGGGTGACGATATGCCACTGAACGAGGCAGAGGCTGGCGAAGATGAGCTTGTGGAGCTCGATGATGGCGAGGATAAGAAGAGTGAGGTAAAGACGGAGAATGATACCGATACTCAGAAAGACCAGGAGCAATGATGAAATGATGATGCAATTGGATGAATAAATGTGCCTTGTTGTTCTGCTACTGGAAAGTGTTACCAGATGATTAAAAAACAGAGCGCAAAACTTGTTTCTATGACAACATCACTTCCGTCATGACACGTCCTGACACACTGATTTATGACGGGTCTTCCAATCTTGCCATTGACATATTTTCCCACAGTAGAAGACACACTTGCAACGACTACAGGCATGTAGTTCATTGTCTGTATAGTCAAGTGCCTCACACGTTTCGTTACTGCAGATACGTGTACCCGGTTGTCGAATGTCTAGTGCTTTAGTATAATCACCCATGGCCTCGTATACTTTACCAATCTCATCGCGTGTCAGATTGCCATCTCTTAGTGCAATCGTAATACCTGCAGCTTTATCTGTACAATCACGTACTTTGAATGCCGCTGTCAAGAGCTCCAGTGCTTCATCTAACGCTCCTAAACGCCGTAAGACACTACCAAGTTCGTGCTTTGTTAACGCTATGGATACTTGATCAAATCCAGCACTAGATGTACGCTCTAGTATATCACGTAATGGTACTTCAGCTTTCTCTAGTTCATGACTCTTGATCAATTCCATGGCCTTATGACTCTCAGTAACAACTTCCATATATGTTGTTGCATCATTCGACATGGTTATTGGATGAATGAATGAATGTATAAATGTATGAATGAATGTATCCACCCACCATGTCGTCCCCGATAATATGTTTGAACCCATATCAATTTAATCTTGTTTTCAATATGTATTTTTAGCTTTTGGGTCAGTTAGTAATTATAATTACGAGCTTAAATTCTTCGGATAATGGAGAGCTTTAAACTTCCATCTCCACGTCGTCAGAGCGTCTCCTTGTCCTCTGATACAATGAATAGTAGTAATGATAATGCTAACAAGAAGACGAAGAAGACGATGATGAGGAGGAGGATGAGGATGAGAAGGACTAAGAACAATCTTGAACAACACAAGAACAGTCACAATGAACACATGGCACTATCAGTATCTGACTTGTCCACAGTTATGGACATTGATCGTACTACTACTACTACTACTACAAAGCGTGATGATGATATTATAAAGCACGAAACACGTAAAGAAGTAAAGGATGCAGCACCTATGAAACTATCTACAGTCTTAAAAGATGAGAGCCATGTGATGAAATTTCATCTAACAAATCCATTGCAGCTCGTAGACTTGACCGACAGGACTAAACCAAAGCTAAAAGTATCAGAAAGTGGACGTTTTGAAGATCAATTTTATCATGCACATGATGGTAGTAAGACCATGGCGAGATTACGTAAACGTTCATATCAGAATCAAACCGTTCATACGAGTGGCAATGACGTGGAACAGTTTTCAGATGCTGATATCATTACAAGTGGATATTTAGTCAAACGGGGATCATTCTGGAAATCATGGAGACGTCGTTTTTTTATCTTGAGAAGAGATCGACCTTTACTGTGCTATTACACATCGGCGGAGGAACTTGCAAAGCTTGGAGAGATTACTATTGACGAGAATACGCACGTACAGCATACTCCAAAGGACGGGGTCCCGTATCGATTTACGATCAAAAGCGATCGACGTACACTGACGCTGTTTGCAGAGCAAGGTGAGGAGTCCATGGAAGCCTGGATTTCGTGTATTAATGGATGTATCACACAGCGAATGCGGTCATCATCACATGCCTCGGTAAATGGATCGTTTAAGCGCGTCTCGGAAGGAGGAACCTTTAGTGCTCAGCTGCAAGGGCGAACGTCTGAGAGTTTGCCCTTGCTGGATGATTTCAGCATGGATAGCGCGAGTTTTTCCCGAATGGAAAGGTCTCAAATCACGACCAGCATGATGGCAATGAAACGTTTCGCTACCGACACGACTATCATTCAGCAAGCTGCTAACGACTCTAGATTCGTTCGAGCAAGTGAGAAAAAACACAAGCAGCAACGGCATCAATCTCACCGGCATCGAAACTCTCGTCTTGCTAGCATTGAATCACCACCCTTCGATGTAGCAAAGACCACGCGCCGTCTGTATCGCTCTTCCAGTGCCGGATGCATCCTTACTCAATCGTCATCATTTTCCGCTGCCACTCGCACGTGCGACGACAACGGGCTGTCGATGTTGCATTCATCCTCATGTTCGACAAGTGATCGACAAGGGCCCCTTGCCTTATCGAAATCCTTACGTGCACCAAACTTGAGCTTGCAAGGATTCAAGCCACCCTCTAGTGTGGAGTTGGCTGTATCTGTTGGCAGCAAGGCGGTGCAAGATGCTCCACATATGCTGGTGGTTTTATTCAATATCCGACAGGGCCAACGGCCAGAGGAGATATCACGTACGGAGGTACGAAGCTCACTTTGTTTTAGATCTTGTGGTGGTGGCTATTACGCTCGCGATTTTAGCGCCTTGCTGTCAGTACCGCGCGCAGCTCGTTCAATGCTCCAGTTTGAAATTTTCTCGGTTGTAAACGCTTCATCAGAGTCGCTGGAACAACAAAAGTCGCTTGGTTTTGTGCGAGTCTCAGCGCTGGACGTTCTCTTTTCGCGTGAACCTTCAATGCTGCTCAAGTGTCACCGCACAGATATGTCCAAGCAGCTTTTCTATCTTGTCGTCGATCGGTTTGCCCCGCCTAATCGCAGTATTAATGTCAGTCACGCGTATACATATGCAAAGCATCATTTCCTCGTGGATGCACAAACAATGGAGAAGGGCAAGGCGGGTGATCTTATGTCTAGCTCTACTATGAGCATGGGAAGTTTGATCTATAGCGAAATGCTTCATAGTCAGATAAACTCATCGGCAGCTAGCCATGTGCTTGTATCAGAAGAATTGTCGGCGTCGTATGTCTCAGTGTCAATGACTGTTGCTTTTCTGAAGCATCTTCAACGGCGAAATGTCGCCCGTATCGATGAGGCAAAGCAGGTGATCCATGATATGAAACAGCATATTCGTGTGACTGCAAATTCGAATTTGTCTAGCGCGCTTGTGCAAGACGTGGAGGGTCGAATTCGAGACGTGGAAGTTGAAATGGCTCATTATATGCGTCTTTACGCCTCCTACCAAGATAACTTGAAGCGATATGAGACCATGTCGGCATCGCTCGAGGAAGGTCGCGAGCAGGGGATTACGGGATGTCTCAAGCGAAGCAATATGAAGAAAGACAAAGCAACAGCGTTCATGGCTACCAACCTTAACTGTCACCTTGTGCGTGGAAGGCGTGTGAATCTTGCTTGCGGTGCTGATCGAATCTATCGGGGACGAAGAAGTAGCTTAACATCCACAATGATTGACGATGCATCCACGTCTGATGATAGCGATGGCGAGACGTCGTCTACATCTGACTATGTCTTCTCGGTGATCACTCACGGCTGTACTTCAGCTCACATTATGGGCTTTAAGGAGGGTGGATTGCGTCGTCTTCAGCAGCAATTGGTATCACAGAGTCTACCAGACCGTCGTCTACGCGAGCGTATCGAAATGAGAGAAGATGTTGTGCGCTCGCAGGTGCTCGCAATTGCGGGTGCATCATTCCTTAACGCTGTGACCCTAGCCGCAACTCGTGGTGGACAGCATCGGCAACGTTTGCAGTTGTCCTGTTCGACGGGCTTCTTGCTTAGCGTTGAGTCTTTGCTAAGCACTGTTGGTGCCGAGAAGGGGATGCTTGAAGATATGTCAGAGGGTATTCGGTGGTTAAATAGCGTCGTAAGTTTGCAGCTTGTCCAGTCTGCTGAATTGAATCCCCACGTGGAAATGTCAAAATGCGTGAGCGTGACAAGTACACCAACTGGAGATCACGTTGTGGCTGCGTTTGCTGTACCTCCTGGTGTGTTTACAAAACTTCCAGAGGTGCTGCAACAGGGCCATGCCATTAAACTTCATGGCGTCATGTTTACTCAAGGCATTAACGAGATGCAATCAGTGGCCAATCATTATCTGAACTCGAGTCTCCAAGATGAACTTAATTTTGAAAATGTGCAGATGCTGCAGCGATATTTCCGAGTCTATCAGGCCGAAGTGATGATGACTAGTGGAGATGATGAGAAGAAGCGTGAAACCGATATCATTGCACTAGCAGAGCTTGAGTCTGATATTGAAGCACTTACTGGTCGTCTCAATATTCGCACAGAGAATGTGCAAAAGAAGTTTGTCAATATTTTGATCACGTCCAGTGATATTTGTCGTCGTCTAGGAGCTGGACGTACGACGTGTTGCAAGAGTGGCAAAGACCGCACAGCCATGTCCGTTACGCTGGAAGCCTCTCGTTTACTTGTGGATCATTTCCATGTTAAACAAGGTGTACATCTTTGTAATGCAATGAGAGAACGTGGTGTTCGTCGTGTAAATGTCTTGGCAAATACTGGCAAAACGAAATTTGCATTCAATTCCTTCCAGCTCAAGTATATTCCTGATTGTTATAAACCACCACTTGCATGTGCTGATTCACATGTGGCGTCATAGTTAGCAGAGGAAGAGGAGGAAGGAAGATGTACACTTACTCTCTTCATGTGTCTTCAGTAAAATGGAGGATATGATTGATGCTATACTGCATCTCGCTCATTCAGGACAGAACTCCATGGCGATGAAAACAGCGTCACCTGACGAGAAAAAACCTTGATACACGTATTTGACGACAAAGTTGCGGCCAGGAGCACGTGCTGTTGAAAGACCTTCCAAAGCTGCACAGCAATACGTTTACTTTGTCAGGTTTTCCTCACAGCCGAACTCTGACATTCACATATAGCAAAAGCACAGTAAAGCTGATGTCTAGCAACTGTTTTTTATATGCAATAATAGCATTGAATATGCATCCGTAAACACTAATGACTGATGCAGTCCACGTTGAAGTTACTAAATCCGGGTCTTTAAAACCCGTTTGACTGGAAGTTTTTTTCACTCATTTTTGAATTTTCAGTCTCTCCATCACATTGTCAAGTTGAAAAATGTTTCGTCATATTTGGAGACGACCGACAAAGGCGACAATAAGGATGAAAGTTCGTGAATGGAGTACGAGTCTTACCCATACTACGATTGAAAAGCTGCATGTACCACTCACTGTCTTGACAGATGAAGAACTCATGTTGAAAGATACGGTTGTTCGATTTGCTACAAATGTCATTCAACCACATGTTCGCAAGATGGATGAGACTGGAGAAATGAGTCATGAGGTTATTCAAGGTCTTTTCGATACGGGGGTAGGATGGTTACATACGTCGTGGACGCTTTACAGTCCAGAGGGACAACTGTTGACCAATTTTGACTTTTTCTTGTCTATTTTTGTATTTGATATGTAAAATTTGTTCTAGTTATTGGCTGTTGAAATTCCAGTTGAATATGGAGGTGTTGGTGCATCATTTATGAGTCTCATCCTAACAATTGAAGAGCTTTCATGCATTGATCCTAGTATCGGATTACTATGTGATTTGCAAAATACCGTTGTGAGTAACGTGTTTTGGCGTTATGGCACAGAGGAACAACGTGAGAAATATCTTCCTCGACTCTGTAGTAATACAGTCGGTAGCTTTTGTCTTACAGAAGCTCAAGCTGGAAGTGATGCGTTTGCACTTCAAACAAAAGCAGATGTATCAAATGATGGAAGTTATTACACGCTGAATGGAGAAAAAATGTGGATCTCAAATGTTGAACATGCTAACGTCTTTCTCATTATGGCAAACGTTGATTCATCCTTAGGATACAAAGGCATTACTTGTTTTGTTGTAGAGCGAGGGACACCTGGACTTTCATTTGGCCCCCCCGAGAAGAAACTTGGACTCAATGCATCATCTACGTGCTCTGTGATCCTTGATAATGTCAAGGTTCCACGCGAAAACATTATAGGTGATGTTGGTCAGGGCTACGCAATTGCCATTGGACAATTGAACGAAGGCCGCATCGGCATTGCTGCTCAGCAGTTAGGAATTGCAGAAGGTGCTTACCGCCACGCAATGCCATATCTTTTTCAGCGGCAACAGTTTGGTCGTGCTATTGGTGACTTTCAAGCAATGCAGCACCAGTATGCGGAAATAGCGGTGGAGCTTGCAAGTGCTCGTCTACTTGTCTACAACGCCGCTCGACTCAAAGATGCCGGTCATGATTTTGTTCAAGCTTCCTGTATGGCCAAACTGCACGCGTCGCGCGTAGCAGAACGGACCGCCTCGCGATGCATTGAGCTGCTAGGTGGCGTTGGGTTTTCCAAACAGCTCATGGCTGAGAAGTTTTACCGAGACTGCAAGGTCGGCACCATCTATGGCGGCACGAGCAACGTTCAACTCAGCACCATCGCACGCTTGATAAAGCGGGAGCTCGTCTAGATTTGGTTGAACCATGCTAGCCAAACAGAAGCGGTCGAATGGTAGCTGTAAGTTTCTTGTCATAGCAATGCTTTGTGTTTGCCTTCTCATCTTGACCCTCGCCATATAATATTTTGATACGAGAAAGTAGTTAGCATCATACTACATCCATGACTATTCAGACAACATTGCTAGATACAAGCACCACAATGGAAGAAGGTTTAGCATACTCAAAAGGGTTCTTCTGAAAAGCTTTACATGAAAGTTCATATACGTGTGTATCAAGTACTTTCACGTATTAATTACAGACAAGCAAGTCTTTTCAGAGTTACTAGAATCTCATGTGACGAGCAAAGCAAAAATAAGGCTGCTCTACACTACAGTGTTTTCCATTAGCTACAACAAGAGCCGCCACTCGTTGCTCTTGTACAGGATTATCAATCTATCGAGCAGTATGACCTGGAATTACACGTTCATGTGCTCGTATAAGTCGAAAACATTTCACAGCAACTGAACCACGCGGGACACATTATGCTGGCGATGCATTTCATGCAGTGCTATTCTAGCCTTGTCATGCCCTACGAGTGATAGGTGCCAAAGTCTTTTGCTTTCCTCTCACTTATTAGCTTTATCTGGCGCGTGGTCCCTCGCAAATTTTAATTACACAGGAGCCACCTAGACTGCGTGCTCGGTCCTCATTTTGATTTATTTTATGAAGCTCTTTAAGGTCCGAGGTCGCAGAAACCTTTATGCGGGGAGCCATGTCGGGTGCCTGTCCTCGTGTGGCTTCGGCCATGATCGCCAGGTCCTTTGAGGTCCATATCATCTGGATCGAACTCGCATGAGCCGACCGATTCCATTACCACATCAGTCATTGTGTGGTGTCTTTAAGGTTGTACATCTGCACTCTGGCCGTTATAAGCCGTCAACCTTTGCGCTTCTGTCTCTCTCTGGACATCCTTCTGTTAAAATGAGCTTGTGCTCTCTTGCAAAAATTTTGCCATCACCGTCTGTAAATTACCTACCGCATTGGTAGGTGCTCCTCTCCAGAAGGCTCATCACGGGGCGGGTTCAAATTCGGTAGTTGTCCTGGCTGACTTATGATTACTCTAAACTCCAACCTATCAGGAGCATCGCTTTCCAGTTGTTGTACGCGCGTTCGTGAGATTGCTGGTCTTGATCCGCGTTCACGCTCGGGCCTAAAGCAGGCATACCAGTCGTGTCCAGTGACATCTTTCGTACATGACTAGTAACCAGGTAGCCCTTGCGACACCTGCCCCGCCGTGACCTGAAGGGTATTCTGTGGTAGACCTCGCATCGAATATGGGTCCTCGGTCGACCATTGCGTGTAAGAATGGACCTCGGTGTCTTAAATCGTCATCTGGCTGTCTTCTGACGGTGCCTTCACGGTGTTCGCCGGAGTCAAGTCGCAAAGTACCGAGGGATTTCAACAAAGCTCCCCAAACGTTTGTGAAGAGTCTCTTTCGTGGTCTTGGTACCGTCAAATGAATACAAACATTTATTTGGCTAAGATATTCCCGTAAGCCCGCCTTCGAAGGAGGATACCTAGCGCGTTATTGCGCCTGTTACCTCTCGCAGCTTTGGAGAATTGACACCAGTCCACCGAGCTGTCCAAGCAAAGGATCTTGAGAGTCTTCATGACTAGGTCACGATTTTTAACATAAAATCGAGCTTGAGTCGATGGCAAGCCATGGTGACGTCAGCATCCGGCCAGGTTGACGGTCCTGACATTGCGGGGTCTATTGACTTGGTGTCGACTGATGCCTTCCTCCTGAGATTTCTCGGCTTGACTAGAGCAATTTTTATATTCGTTGTTGTTTCAAGACCGTAGTCTTTCGATTTGTACCTTCGACTGATAGACCTCTGGGGCATGATACACAAGGTGTTCTCTACGATACATATATGAGGGTATTTTTCGTTTTTTTTCCAATAAACTCAGCCTTGACCATGCTGATTGAACCCCTCCAAAGGCCTGGTGGGTCCTTCAACCCTTTGTTGTTTCTTTCGTAGTCACTGGCGATCGATCCGGAAGTCACTGTCGATCGCCGGTGACTACAGAAGAAATAGTTTTGAGAACCCATTCCACCACAGTGGTGTGCGTGCCTGAATCTTGGGATGTACCGTGCTATTTTGCGTCTTTCGAGGATCCAGGCACGAGCACCATTGTGGTTGAGTGGGTTCTCAAAATTGTGTTATGGCATCCCAAAACACTCACTATGCCGGACTGCAACTGTCGTAGGACGTACTCCGATGACGCGTTTGGAACCTCTTTCACCTTGTCTATCCGTCGGCTGAAGGACCAATTACCCCTGGCCAATTAACATAAGTAAATAAGGTACGAGGTAAGGATAGAGTGAAGGAGGTAAAGGACGGATATAATGTACTACTGAATTTGCAATCCACGTGGCACGACTTTGCACGCTTCTAAGAAACTGATTAAGTACCCACCTATTCCGGGACGAGAAACACTTCGGCCACCCGTAGAAGAAAATCGTGTGGTGAAGTGTTATATAGAATGTTGAGATCCCAAGGAGGTATTTTGCCCGTGGATTCGCTCAAGTAGCATCCCCATCGCTCTCTATCGGCATCGATCTCCCTATCCTAGTGGCTCGGGGGCAAATAAAGTCCAGGCGGTTAATACCCCTAAGACAATAAAGGAAAAGGCCTGGGTCGACAAGCTAGCTTCCCTGAAGGATTTGGTTATAAGTTCACTCTCGGCCAAGTCGATCGAGTGGCCACCCACTAGCCCATCGAGTAATGCATATTCACTCGCTTCTCCCCCCGCAGGTCGACCACTTTTGAGTTCGACATCCACATCCTCACCAAGTCTTCCAAAGAGTGCAGCCCGTCAGCTGGGAAAAGAATTAAAAAGTCAAGCTGCCAAAGGACGTGACCTTGGACGATGAATAAATAAGATGTTTGGCGTGGACGGCTCAATCAACTGGCGTCGATGCTAAACAAGCCGCTATATGGACTTAAGCAAGCGGGACGACTTTGGAGTAAGTTACTGCATTCCAAGTTGCATCAAGGTGAGTTTACGAGTGAGCTACCGACATGTGCTTGTACTATAAGTATGATGGAGATACATGTACGGTGGTGGGAGTCTATGTTGATGGCCTAATGGTTACAGGCACCTCACAAAGCGCTGTTGTTGATTTCTCGAGGACATAAAGACATTATCGATCAAGGACCCAGAGAAATCGCGAGTATTGTGTGGGACATTGCATCGCACTTGACGACTCGAAAGAGTACATTATGGATCAAGAGGTGAACACTACCTTGCCATTGAAGGAGGTCGGATTAGAGTCTGAAAATGGAGCGCGCGCACCGATCGGAGACGAATGCAAGGAAAGGGCCAAGGGCGATTGCAATTTTTATCGGCTACTAATGTAAACGGTAAATTGAGTGTGAAGTTATTGCAGTTTCTGATGGAAAGTCGACTCTGGATTGAAAGGTGCACGCGACCGAACATTTGTTTCGCGGTACTCAAGGAAGGCAAGACAGACGCACAAGCCGACAACCCAGGATTGGACGATGGCTAAGCGTATCGCGCGACATTTGAAGATGTCAAAGACGTTGAAGTTACACCTAGTGGTGTGGGTTCTACAACGGATGAAACACGACTTGAATGTTGGAGCGAAGCTGGTTTTGCTGCTGATAGGACTGATCGGAAATTTGTGCCAGGATGCGTTATCACCATTGGTGGTGCCGTGGTTATGTGGCTGTGCAAAAAGCAGTAAAGTGTATAATTAAGGCATGGTTGTGCTCTGCTTCATAGGCTGGACGGGAGTTTTTGGGTCGAAAGAAACGTTCCAGAAAGCTGAGGCAACACGCACGTGAATTCATGTCCGTATAAGTGGATAATTGAGCCGCGATCAAGCAACTCGAGTCAAAAAATAGTATATCAAGCGCGAAACACGTATGAGTGGATGATCAAGCCGCGATCAAGCAACTCGGGTCATAGAATTGTATACTAAGCGCGAAACACGTAGACATACGTTTCAAATTTATCCATCATAATGTTCAAGAACGTGTTATACAACCGAAGGATATTAACTCCGGAAACATGATGACGGACCTATCGACAAATTCGTTGTCAGCACCAAGGACATGTGAGCTGCGCGCAATGCTCAAGATGAAGGCCGTGTGGGACAACGTCTAACACATCTCCTCCTCAAAGCTATGATTTTGATAGGTCATGAGGGTGTGGAAGCTGTACTGCTAGACCTGTTACAGGTAATGTGAAATTCCCTGATTGGCCAAGCTTGTTGAGCTTGACAGATGGAACAGGGTGGCAAGGAGGCATTAACGATACATGGGATAAGCAGCTAAGTTCGTTACATGGGACAAGGAGCTAAGACCGTTACATGGGATAATAACCTTAGGTCGTTACATGGGACAAGAAGCTAAGGACGCTATATGCGATGTACAACTTGACTAGATCCAGTTGCAGTGCAGGGCAATGCATGTTATAGTGTTGATTGAAAAAATTAGCACTAATAAATCTTGCTTTTACTTCTACCTTCTTTGCAACAAGTGCACATCTTTCTTTATACACCAAAGCCTTTGAGTATCGATGGATCTGGCAATCATAGTCACCAATGGTGGCAACATAGTCACCAATTAAAGCCTGCATTATCGACGAGCCAAATCGGTGACTATTCCGTATAATATTCTACCATATCATTCATTCATCAATATTACTTTTCATTGCCGAATGAAAATGACTATTTGACACCAAACACACTACATGTATTTTCATTGGATCAAAATAATGCTATTCCTTAAATAAGATAATCCAGAAATAAGATAATCCAACAAAAAAACGATCTTTTATCTTGAAAATATTATCCACCATCTCTCTCCTCCTCGCTCTTGATTATATCATATAGTAGATGGTTCATACGTCTTCTCCTCTTGTATCTGAGCTCACTCCATTATTTTCAAGAACAATCAACCACAACTAACACTTTCCTCCACCTCCACCTCCACCTCCTTCTTCTCCTCTCCCTCAGTGGTTCCTTATGACCATGTTTCTCAGTGTCTTTTGTATGCCTTTCTGTCTAATGTTTCTATTGTTTCTATCCTGTCTTTCATCTCTTCAAGTGACTGCAATGACTTCTTATCTCTATAGTGGTCTCTTCAATTCACTCGTAGGTAGCTTTCTAACTGCAAGTGGCTATTGTTGTCAGAAATATGCTCATTTACAAGTCTCGAGGAATTCCGCTCTAGGAACAGCTACAATGCAAACAACGTATCAAATTGGACTGGGATTACTAGCACTGGGCACAATGTCTGCTGTTATTAATCTCGGCATCCTGGGACAAGCGATTCAAGCGCCTTTTGCAGCGTTTACACTCATTTACACGGCACTTTTAGGTCGTTTTGTCTTGCATGAATGCTATGGAGTTTATGATTTCGTGTCCAGTCTATTGATTCTATCGGGTCTTGCAATTCATATCTCTACGGCTGCTCAAGATGATGGAACAATTATTACGGGACACACAGTATCATATACACTCGAGTCACTTGGTCATTTATTCATGCGAGATTCATTCTTGCCATTGGGTTATACACTTGCTACACTCATGTATGCAGTTTTATTACTACGTCGAGTATGGACGGATAAACTACAACGTCATCCAATTGGACTATTGGCATTTAGTTCCTGTGCGGGAGTGATGGCAGGTTTTACGTCCTTCGCTACCAAGTCTGTTGTCGAAGTGACCAAGACGGCACTAAGAGACGAAGATTGGTTGGTCTTTGTCAATCCATTCTTTGTTCTATTGGTGCTTGCTATTCCATGTGCATTAGTACCGCAGCTGTTTTTCCTGAATAAGGGACTCGAGTTCTTTGGCACGTTGAAATTCATTCCATTGTATCAAGCTTTCATCATCATTGGTAACATGAGCTGTGGATTGATTTTTTTCAATGAAATGGCCAACTACAGCACGACGGCACTGACATGCTTTATGGGAGGTGCGATGATCACGATCTGTGGTGTCTGTGTATTGCTGGTCAAGGGTGATGTTCGGACGAGTAGTACGGACGTCAAACGATCGAATGCAGTGAAGGCGGAGATCCTAGATTACGAAAGCAAGGATAAAGCATGGCTCAAAACAGACTTTACATTTGAGCAAATGAAATGGGCCACAGAGTGTGACGGATCGATATCAGACGCATTGCGCGTGTGTCGCGATTTCTGCGAGTGTCAAGAGGCTATTGTGGAGCTTTTAGTGTCCGCACGCAAGTCAATTTACTACTCGACGTTCTTGTGTGACTTTACTCAGGTACTCCACACTACAAACAAGGAGCAAACGGGTAGCACATTTGTGTCACTCGTGCGGGATGCTGTTAATCGTGGCGTTGATGTTCACATTTTGTATAACCCAGTGCGTGACTATGGAACTAATTCAATTGCCGATTTGCGTCGCATCTTGCCGCAAAAAGTGCATTTCGCTTGTTCGGTCAGTGATTTGGGTCCGAGCTGGTTTACGCGCTACTTGTCAAACAACTCTCGCTATGCTTTCCATCACCAGAAGTATTTGTGCGTTGATGAGGAAAATATCATGGTCACTGGCTGTGACGTGAACACTGAGCGGGAGGGCTGGTTGCGTAAGAATCATCTTGGGTACTATTGGCACGAGCTCAGTGTTATCTGCCGTTGCACCCGTGAGATGGTTACATGGGTCAAGTCCAACCACCAGCCCGCAGAGAAAAAGCGTTGCTATGATCAATTCATGGAATCCCCGCCGTTTCCGCTTGTATCTGGAGGTTGGCGAGAAGAGAATTGTATGGTCAATATGATTATGAACGCGAAGCACTCCGTGCAGTTGGAGAGCCAAATCATGATCTCGGGTGGCTCTCTGCAGCACAACCGTATCTGCCCTGCAATCGTTGCTCGTATTAGCCAAGCTTGCCGCAAGGGCGAACCATTTCACGCCTTGATTCTGACAAATGCAGCACAGAAAGATGAACCGTCGTATTTGGCACGCACATACTGCTCGCTTTCCATCCAGTGGTCGCTGGAACAGCTCGAAGATTGCGCGGTAGCTCACGGTCTTACGTTGGATGAGCTGTGGCAGCATCTTCAAGTGGGGCGTCTTGAGCACGACGGTGTGTCGATCAAAGTACATTCCAATATCCTCATTGTGGACGGAAAGTATGCGCTAAGATCGTCTTCGAATCTGGCCGACCGCAGCCTTAGTGCACGTCCGAATGACACAGAGCTGGGTGTGCTGTTTTCAGGGCCTCGTGTGAAAGAAATGCAGCAAGACCTTCTCAACATGTACTTGGGTACGACAGGCGAGAGTTACTCATGGAGTCAAGTATTTCAGAACATCCGGGGCACTGGAACGAAGAAATCAGCTGGAGTGGTAATACCGCTGGAGAAGAAAACATGGAGTCCTATATTCACGTGGTTTATGATGAATGTTTTCATCTACCTCAGTGAAGGCGCTACTGGTGGCCGAGTCAAAGTGTCTTACGAAACCACGGTCATTGGTGCTGATAAACATGAATACGAGACCTAAAATCATGCTAAGAGTGCCGGTATGCATAGAGGATAAAAATACTCATTGTATCTCAGAATACTTGCTAATAGCCCATTTCCTTGATAAGGGTCTTGTAGGTTGGCTCTTCCTGTGTTGCTATTGCTGATTCTGCGGGTGCGATCCTCCTACAAGTGAATTGACATTAGACTCATGTAACATGACAGGTGGAATACGGTTCTCGTACCCTTCTTTCGACCGCCGCAGTTCCATGCCAAAAAGCTTTGCCAACTCATTTTGAGCAATACGCACTTGCGGAATCTGTATGACAGGTTTGTTTACACGGGACGAGATATGAATTAGCTTCTCACATATAGACGTTGTCAAAGCTATGGCATACCGAAGCGTCCCATGCCGTGTCACTTAAGATCTCGACCACATTGTCGGACTGCAGTAAGAATTGAGCATGAAAACAAGTTAGTCAAACTAAACATGATTGAAAACACGTGAGCATCACGAACCTTGTCTTCGTGAACAATTTTGTCGTGTAGGAGGAGTCGCGTGTAGAGCCTTTCAGCAGTCAGCTTTCGCACTTTTGGAAACTTGTGACCCAGAAACAACACGAGAGCTCGCAAGGTTTTGCTTTCAGTTTCAGGGTCACTTGGAAGTAAACCAACCAGTACACTAATTGCAGCACTTAGCTTTGAGATTGAGGCACACCTTTGAATCTCATCACGAAGTGCATCATATAGACGTCCTCCAAAGCCTGCTGTTGTTGTTCGATTACCGTCGTCCGTTTGGCGTATATCAAAAAGAAAGCGCAAGAGGTTGGACTCCAGCAACAGGGCCATCGTTTTCATAAGTGGGATTGTAACACGATCATCCTGGTGGTGGTGAGTCAGCAATGTCACCAAGAAAAAGCTGAATCGGCTGAGCAAATTGTAATCCTTTGACTGCAAATGTGCGCGCACCCAAACAAAAAGAGCACTCTTTGAAGCCTTCACGACACTTTCAGTCAAGCCACCGACACTGATGACGAGGCCCGCGGTAATTTCCTCCAGAAAGCCCGGTATATCCATCATTTTCACAACTAACGGAAAAGTATCATGGGCTACGGACCAGTTTACTGTCAACGTTGCTGGAAGAATCTCTTCAAGCTCGGAGCGATTGGGGATATTGTCAATGCGAGGAGAAGTTGAGTGAAGCAATCGGAATAGTATGCCTCCTGATGTCATCCTTATGTTATCCAGCTTTTCAGCTAATTGCTTGGCAAGAGCTCCAAACTGTATGACACAAGACGGCAAAGTTAGCGCATGCAAATACTCGTCACATCGATTGTCAAAAAAGCACAGATTAACGTACAATTGCGACAACAGTATTGAGGGACAATCGTCGAGCAAACGCCGTCGACGATGCTTGCTCCGATCTCGTATGCGCTGCGATGCAAACAGTCCCTGTATCAGAACTCTGGACTGCTTCCTCTGCTACATGGAGAAGGCCTACTCCGGTAGGGCCAAAGTAATAATAGCCAAAAGCTGGCTTGTCAAATTTGACGTAGCATACTGGGCCAAACTCAGATGCATTGCCAACTTCGTCAGTCTTGCGTTTTCGAGCTGACAAACTATCAATTATGACACCGCGGCCATACTTTGTTTGCACGACTGCACCCACCGGCCAAAGATTGTGTTTTCGCGTGTGTGTAGTCTCGCCAAGAAGTAGTTTCTCGATGCCAATCATTGATTCTTTGCGGACCCAGGAGCCCACATCTCCGCGCTCGTCTAGCCGATAATCGTTATGGATACATCGAACGAGTGTCTGGATAACATCATCTTCTATGCCGTCTAAATCAAGCTCAGCTGGAGGTCGAGAGCTCAGATCCACCAAAGCTTGAACTGCAGCCACTCGACTCCCAGGGTCCTCATCTTCTGTAGCACGTTCTTGAAGCAAAATCGATCGAAAGATCGCAGCAAACGCCTCTTTTAGGCAAGGCTGGATCAACTCCTTAGCCGCGACACCTACAGCACGCAAAAAACCTCGCCGTGCAGCAACATTCGGATTCAGCACTTTGACAGAATCATCGTTCTCTTTGGATGCTACCATGATTCCTGAGTTAATAAATCGTGGTATCAACTCTTGCATGTATTTTACGTGCAAGGGGCTGCCCTTTTCATAAATCTTTGGGCAGTAGTAAGCAGTGAAAGCACCAAAAGCATCAATAGCAGCTTCACGAACGCTTTCATTAGGGTGCACAAAGCATTCTTCAAGCATCGCCAGATATTTCTTCACATGAGCAAATCCAAGACTAAATCGAGAAATCGATATCACTTCAATCACATTGCAAATAGCACTTCGAATCATCTCACCACCGCGTCCACGAAACAAACGGCGTCTGTCAACTTCAATGGGCAGCATCTTGATCTTCTTTTGCAGCTCTCCATCAATATACACAGGGACCTGGGACAGACACATGAGAAGGTCCGCAATACTGATCACAGCACCATGACGAACAATTACTTCGACATCTGGAGAGAGAGAAAATTCAAGTAGTCGTGGAAACAAGTGAATCATGGCATTTGGCGGATCTAATGCACCTATCTTACCTAGCGCAGCAGCAGCAAGACCGCGGATCTGAACATCCCAGTGACCTATCTTAGAACTGATGAGATGCTCTAATAACGGATATCGATATTCCGGATACTTTGCGACAAAGACACTCACGTCCAGATACGCGTGACGTACATTCGCCACTGAGAAATAATCTGCTTTGGTAAGCAAATCAATACCGCTTGGAAAGTTCGTGCTTCCTTGCCGGCCAACGTTTTCTTGAAAAGCTGCAGACGCAGCACGACGGCAGTTTAACTCGCGATCAAAGACGCAGTTTACCAGCATTGCTGGTGCAAGGACTTGTTTTAGCCAAGGCAAGAGGAGAGAGGGTTCGTACGCGCGTGCAAACGACCAACACGCATAGCAAGCAGCATCGCGGACATGAGAGCCAATGCTGTATGTACCCTTTCGAATATCGTACTTCAGTGCATTAGCAACACATTCCACTGCTTCTGGTAAGCGCTGAGGTATCAAGACACCACGGCGAGCAAGTTCTGCCAGTGCCAGACTAGCACCATGCCAAGCACCATTGTCTTCCGTGGCCACAAAGAATTCGAGCACAGACTGGACAATATCGTCTGCAAACTCATACGGCAAACGGCCAGTGATCCGCCCAATACCCTTCGCTGCCGACCATCGCACCACTGTATCTCTGTCTCGTAATCCACACAACAGCACCTCAACTATCTGTTCCAGCTCTTCCACCACTTCAAGCGCATCATCATCGTTATCTTTGTTAGTCTTATCGGCATGACAAGTTTGCGAGGTTGAAATCACAACGTTGCTCTCAGCTAGTCCCGATGACTGCAGAGTAAGCTCCAACGATCGTAACCCACGGCTATAGCGCCATGAACGTACTTTTGGTGGCAAGTGAAGTAGTCCAAGGCGTTGCACAAGCTTGATACTTAGTTTGCGATGCAACGTGCTGCTCTTTGGACGATCCAATCGTGCATTTCCCTCCGTCAAGTGAGCTACTAGCCGCATCACCGAGGCAAAATAGATACGACTGGCTTCAATATGTTGCTTTCGTGGCGAGTTCTTGGCAATGTGAGCAAGACAGAGCATAATTCCAGTCACTTTAAATTGCAATACCCGCATATCCGTATTTTCCGATGCAAGAAGAAGTTCTTGATTCGACCATGTGAGAAACTGGATTAAATAATGATGTTCCATGTCAGGTCGACTAAGTAATCGGGATAAACAAACTGCTGCTGCAATTTGAGTCGGACCTGAATCCTCAAAATACTTGAGACAAAGTGTCATAATACTGGATACAATGGGCATTGAATTCTTGTCACTCACGTCATTCATATTTGTATGACACGTTGAGGAATCAATCGTATTGAGATCAAATGGTACGAGACAAAGTATTGAGAGCCATAATAAGACCACATAACGTGTCTCCCATGTAGTATAATCACTTGAATCTTGAGTCTGGAGTAATTGAAGAATTGGTTCAAAATGGATCACATCATGTGGTAGATACTTGAGAATTGTCTTGTAGCCACGGAGTTTACACAATTGGTACACAAGTTGAAAGAATTTGTCCAGTCTTGGATCATGAGATACTTGAGATGATGATAGTACTGGATCATTTGTTGTATGAGGAGGTCTTGATAGTATTGTGCTGGTCGCTAGTAGATAGAGAATCTCCTTTATAATAGGGTCCAATATCTCATGGAAATAAGGATCGAGTAGATTTGATTGTTCTAAATATCTGTCGAGCTAGAATAGAAATTAGAAAGTTAGAAATAGTTACGATCAAAAATATCATTTAGAAAGTAGAAGTAGACCAAAAAAGAGTATTCACGACTAGATATGTATACTGTATACTGTACAATTCGAATGATAGTAGAGTGAACTGCTAGAAACTCATGATTGATAGTGCCCTCGGATGTTAAATGCTTTGTACAGATTAGTTTCTGGATCAGATCAGATACTTGCTGATGTTCTACAAAATAGTGCGTATCGTTACAACTTTCGTCTTCCATGGCGTTCACACTTGTCATCGTGTAGTCAAAGAGCCGTGATAATAATATATCTAGATTATATCTCTTGAAATTGGAATGTATACTTATACTAACATGATAAAGTTGACAGTATTTGCTTTTATTTAGAAATGAAAGGCGTTGTGGTAAAAGGGTCTGTGACTATTTATTCCCTTTTAATTAGAATATAATGTTTCGATGAAGAGTATCTAGCATTATTGCGCCACACATATCAAACACTAAATTAGTATTAATTTAATTTTGCAGATAAATAAATGTGTTCTTATCTGCAAAAAAATGTATTGACTCATGGTTTCATCGCGTTTACTATTTCTACCGGTATTTTCACAGTACATCCTTTCGCCCACAAAATAATCATGTCATCGACCTTGGCGACAATCATGGCGGAACTCGTGCAAATAGCACCGCGGCTCCAAGACTATGAACCAAATGACGATACGTGGCAGCAGGTATTTGATACTTGTATACATTTACATCCATACACTCAAAGTCTTTAAATACTTAGCAAGCAGTGTGTCGATGAGTGACTAGATTCAAGTCATACACAGCACAAAAATCGTTTCTTGACTGGTTTATCCATTACTGATACAGGCAGAAAAGAAGGCGCTATATGCTCGTGAATATGTGGAAACACTCGTACGATCACCAGAGGGAGTAGCGCAATTACGAGGTCGTGGCGTCTTACAGGACATGAAGAGTCTTGTACCAGATGTAAGGACCGGATTCCAGATAAAAAATACGGATAAAATGGGATAAATTGAAATACCGGTTTTTTTTCCTGCGACTAACAATAGGTCACACGGGAAGAGATTGCAGAACTGAAAGTATGTGATTTTGTACTGGGCATGATATTTGAGAAACCCTTTGGTATATTTCAGCAAGTGTATCGTGGGTTTGGTGCGGAGGTTAGTAGTCAATTTAATTGCAATGGTTTGATACGTATTTCGGTAGTATTTATCTCATGAATTCATGATTTGTGTGGGTGTTGAAAATGTAAACAAAAGTATGCAAAGGAATTGTCCAGTGAAGCTCGCAAGAGCTCAAATATCATCAAATCTTCCTATGTGAGTGGTGTACTCCATGCACAGTCAAACTGCGTTGTATTCGACAAGGTGTCAATAAATAACCAATCCATCATGTTGCAGGTTTACGGTGAAATTCTATTCTTCCCGTTTGCCGATATCATCCGCTGGGTAGCTCCATTCCTGCCCAAGTTTGCTATTTTCTATGACCTGGTGCGTTCTGCAACGACAGGAAGAAATGACTGTATTTAATGTGACCCATGTCTTGCATGTGATAAAACAAAACAGGGATCTGGTACTGGTAAAGCAGTGATCGCGGCAAGTTTGGTGCATCCGTTTGATCAGGCCATAGGAATTGAGTTGCTTGAGGTGAGATGACTATCTCACCTCTGCTTATATCCTGCGGTGTTAATCTGACTGGCTGCATCGTCACATCATCACATACAGCCCCTGGTTCGCTGTGCTGAGAAGCGTAAGGCTGTCTTGGACAAGCTCAAGACTCCGCTTTTGCAGACGGACATTGACTTTATTACAGGTAGCCTGCTGACGTCGAAATGGGTGGATGGTGACGTCGTGTTCTGTCACGGCACGTGCTTTGACGACAAGTACGAATTGAAACTGTTTGCCAGATGACAGTGCATGATGATGTTGACGTTAGCGGTTACCGTGTCAAACATGTCAATGTGTTTGCTTTCCCATAGAGAATGGACTCAGATTTCTCTAGCAGCAGAGAATCTCAAGCAGGGCGCGTTTTTTATCTCGACAACGCATGTATTGCGCACAGGACTGTTTGAAGTGTTTAAGAGCGGCAATTTTACGATGAGCTGGGGAGTCGCTACTGTCTATATCCATGTACGTGCTTACAGCAGACGTACACGGAATGAAAGCGTTCATCAATGTGTACTAATACGCTTCGGCCTATTCTACTGCTGCATTGCATCAGCGCCGGCGCAAAATTGGCCGCTGGGCCGCTCAAATGCTGCGAGGTGGTCGCTCCGCACGCACGGACCTCGTACAGCGCTCTCCAGCACCACAGATAGAGCAGAAAGAAGAAGGCCTGACAACTCGTGCGAGCAATGATACCAGCAAAGGCAATGAAGACGGAATGATTATCCAGAATGTAAACCCCACGTAGAAGGGAGTTCGAACTAGAGTCCGATGCACTGCAACTATATTTCTTGTTTGCACTGGACATTGAAAATTGTTCTTTGTATTTGACCAGCACGTTCACGACTGTGCTGAGGGTTCGCTTTGTCTGACCTTGTCTAACCTCCATTGCTTTCACTGACAACGTGTAACACAATGATGTGAGGCAGCTACTGAATCCAACATCAGCATCTACAGTGCAGCATACGCGAGTCAGAGGACGCCATTTTCTATTGATGCTAGATTACTTTTTATTCTTTTGGTGAGAAAGTTTCTTGTGACGTTTCTTGATATGTTTCGGGATCTTTGTCTGCCGCTTTGCCTTCTTCTGCTCTTTGGTTTCTAGCTTGCGTGCCTTCTTGTTCAGCTTTTCAAGAGCATTCTGCTTTTCACGTTCGTCACGCTTTTGCTGCCGATACGCTGCTCGTTGTTCATCCGTCAGCGGTTCCTTTCCAGAAAGCGACGCTTCTTCATCGCCATCGTCATCGTCATCACAGTTACTGTCAGAATCTTCGTCGTCACTGTCGCCGTTGACATCGCCATCACCGTCGCTGGAATCAAGCTCTTGGTCATCCTCCTCATTCAAGAGGTCCATAATACGTGTGCCTTGCATGACCGGAGCCGGAGGAGTCGTTCTCTGTTCAGCTTCAAGGCGCGAGATTGCCGTCACCAACGCTTTTTCCATCGTTCCTTCTTGATATGCAAGCTGCTCTCGCTCCGAGTGCAGTACCTCGCCGAGCGACCGAGGAATAAACGTGCTCATGAACACAGCGTCGTCTACCTGTTCCTGATTCGTGCGCTCCACAGGCCGGTCCGCAATCTTGCGCTGAATCTCGTCAAGATAGTCGTCTACGTCCTCTTCAGCAATGCATGGGTCCGTAACAAAATCAAATAGCTCCTGTGTCGTCATGGGGTTGAGCGCGCCAGTCCTGCAAAAGTAGTCCGTAATGTTGCGGCAATCCTTGCGCAAAAAGTCGTTGGCACTCGGATGCTCGTGTTCCACCGACTGTGACACATCGATAAAGTAGAGCTTTGTCTGGTAGTATAGTATATTGTACTCACTCAAGTCTCCATGCACAAGGTGGCACTTATGATACATTGTGCGCATCATCATAATGCAGTAAATGTAGCATTCTCGATAGCGATTGTCGCTGATCTTGGCATCCTTTAGACGCGGAGCTGCCCAGCCGTCATGACCAATAAAGTCCATAAGCAGCACATGGGAGCGCAGTAAAATGGGTGACGGACAGTAAATCCCAGAATCTTTAAGACGACGCAAGTTGCGCATCTCCTTCTCAGCCCAGAGTTTGACCATCTTGCGTGGATTACTCTTCGAGTAGCCATGACGGAAGCGAAACTCACCTGAGACATACTTTTCACGGTCCTTAAAGACCAAAATAGAAGTCTTGTATACTTTTATAGCACCTTCTTTTCCATTAGGAAGCCTTGCATGGTATACATTTGCCTCTTTCCCCGTACTCAAACAACCATTAATCTCTGTAACAATACCGTGATTCAACATTTTATACAGGATCATACGCGTACGTGGATCTAAAACTTGTTCAGTCGTAGCACGATCATCTCGTCCCGTGTGACGTGTTCGTCCACTTTCTTCATTGCGCAGTGTACGCACTAATTGATTTTCAGCCGTTTTTGACAGACAAAATTCATCGTCTTGGTCTTTCATACTCTGTGGTAAATTCAACAATGACTATCAACCAACCGAGAGCACAATCGGGTTGTAAGATGGATACATTTTAATATTATGTAGCACACATATGTCCGTCTAAGTACGATAGCCTGAACCCATTTTTTTAATATGGACGAAGAAAAAGTACAAGCTTATGCAGATTTAGCAGCCCAAATGATGGAGCTGCATGCGTCGATTGCAGTACTGGCACAGAATGTAGAGAAGATGGCAAAAACAGATGAGGAGGTTACTGATATGACACGTATCTTCAATGGAGTGTACGAACTGGTTAAACAGAGGACAACATGACGTGATATGTATGACAAACACTAACATAAAACATGATGTATGATGCATGATAGGTTGAAAAACGCAGCAGAGCAGACAAACTTTCGACAAGCGTCACTGTCTGAATAAGTCAAAGAGAGAGAAAGAGAGAAGAGACGACATGTGGATTGATCTATCATATATCTGTCCATTGAGTGGATGGATCTTATTATTGGATAAATCATGTGAGTCGATGCAAAAAAATGAGTCTGTAAGTCTATCAAATGCTCATTGAAAATGCGTTTAGCGGATGCACGAGTATGCTGCAAATTGCGGTGTGGTAGCCTCCGGGATGGTCCAGTCGAAAATGTTGGCCTCGCGCGGTGCATAAATCTTCACCTGTCGGACATGAGTGTCGCGTCCGTTCTGGTGCATTGCATGGATGACGATTTGCAAGAAAAAGGTGCGGAGTGGGGCCTACAAAGCAAGCACGCAATCGTCAGTTTTGATTTATCCACCATTTGCCACAACTATTCTATCATATCCAACTTATTAGTAGTATGAAACGAACCTGTTCTGAGCCTTTGCTCACGTGCAAAGGTATGGAGATCCATCCATTGGGCTCTACAACATGCTGCACGTGGATCTCCTTGAGGTCATGCACTGTAGAGCCACTGCGGATGGCAATTTTCTTCGGTGTGTAGCTCTCATCAAGCTTGTAGTCTAGATACATTGCTACTTCCTTGATGGTCATTTTGCGGGCAAACTGGATATTGATCAGGTGTGGCTGCTGTCCGTCCGACTGCCAATACGTGTCCATATTGTCTGTCCATCAAAGCACACATTTCGGTTAGTATCGGTCACTAAAACTGCACATTACCAACAGCAAATAGCACGTACTATCACGGAGCTGGTCGACGCCATTGCCAGGTTTGGCTGAAGACAGGAACCACACAGCGTCATCTCCTACCTCGCGTCTGTCTTCACCGTCGAATGCAGCTTTAACCATTTGTATGAAGTGTACAATGGATCAACTAGATGATTGGCTAAAATTCAAAGTTCAATCGTCACATTGACTTTGTCAAACCTTTCAAAGCTGTTGCCATATGTTTACTGTGATTAATACCCGACAGCAGTAATCTTTGCCAAGCGATTGTCAAAAGGTGCTCTTTACTAACACTTGTTGTTAATCACAATGCGACCAGAAAGCCCACACAAGAGCAACGAATTAATGAGATGTACCACATGTGCTCATATTACATATGGATAGAGGCAAAATAGGACGATATATTGCTCGATAGTTTATTAGAACTTGACGGAAGCATTGGGCAAGCTAGTTTTATGGGAAGAAGGCTCCCAATGTACAGATGCAATCGCTCTGTAGGTGCATCGAGGTCTACGACAGTACGTCGTGTTGGAGAGTCATCCATTAGGTTGCTAGCTGAGCAAGTAAAGAAGTTGAATGAATGAACTTGACAGGAGGAATTGAATTTATCAATTAAACCGACAAGCGCTTGCAAGTCGTCCTGTGCTAATTCAGTGTAGGGAATGTCGTGTCTTTAGTCCAATTACTGAAGCAGTGCAGGCAACTTGAACCACAAATCGACATGCAACAGACTAATGAGCAAACGTGGGGGCAGTATTGCAAAACGCAAGGAGTTTATCCTAAAGCATGCAAGTTATTGGAAATCAAGCATAACGTGAATTACTGTAGGCGAGATACGAAACGACATCACGAAACTACGGCGAGTACACATTCAGTAAAAATATAGGACAAATTTATCGTTCGCATCATGATGAATTAAGGACTTCAATGGCGTTGCATTCATCAAATCAGCAGCAGCCATTAGGCCATTCCATTTACGAACATCATCATCACTCTCAGCATGCGAGTCCTGCCTCTTCTTCCATTTGCCGCAAACGTTCACACAGTGAATTCCAGCAAGTAAAAGATCGTCGAGTATCTTCTCGTGATCCACGTCTCAATCGTTCTAGTAGCCGTCTATGGATCGTCGTCCGCTGGAATGACTCAGATATTCTCAGATCTGTAATGTGTTTTTTTGATTGGATAAATACATTTCGTACTTGAATGAAACGTTTTTTTACTTCCCCCAGACGTTGTTTTAAGGAATAACAGCGCAATCTGTAGGAATCAGTGACTAAATTTGACAGTAAAAAGAAGGCGACGAGAGAGAGAAAATACACGCATTTTAAGCTGCAGTTGAGGAGGACAAGGACGGGTTTTGTGTAGTCATTTGCAACCATGAAGAAAACGACCTTGTGGAGGTATTTCTGACGTAATAATGAGTTTTGGGGTGACAATAAATGACGAATTTATTTGATTCTTTGCAATGTTGTATGGTAATTTATAATGCTATTATAGAAATAATACCACGGGACAAAATGAAAAAAATTGTACAGATACTTCGACTGTACTGAATGCTCCTACAAACACTACGAAGCCAATTACAACTACAACAGCAACCACAACAACAGCAACAACAACAACAGCAGCAAAGACAAAGAATACAAGCAATACTACCACGAAAGCTACATCTCATACTGTCAATCGAGGCAGTCGACGTAGTTCAGGCAGTGCGACACCTGAAGGGGACGAAAAATTACCACCAGGATGGACACGGAAAGAGAGCAAGTCACAGAAAGGTCGATACTATTATATCTCTCCTGCTGGCAAGACGCAGTGGGTACCACCTCCTTCTAAAATTCCAGTTGCAAAGATTAAGAAAACATTTAACTGGCTAAGCGAAGTGGAGATTTGTTTTCAGGAAGGTCGACTGGGTGTAAGTTTACGTGAAGTTCATCAGATGGAGACGATCTTGTACCCTCAATTTCAAGCTGAAGTAGACGATTTGCCTAAAATTAATGGTAAAGCCGGCCCTGCAGAGCTTCATAATTGGAGTGTCAAGCCACACAAACGTCTGACGATCGGCATGCGAGTTATTAGTATTGAAGATACATCGCTGGCCGGATTGACATATAAAGAAGTGGTGCAAAAGTTAAAAACGGCGTCTCGACCGGTACGTATAAAGTTTGCTGACGTGCAAAAGGGAACTGTGGAAGAGAATGGTGGACGTAAGTCGGGTGGGGACAGCGCTAGTAATGGAACCGCCAATGATCTAGCAGCATCTGGGTACGGACAGTCGGCTGCATACATGCAACAGAAGGAGGAGTATACGCGTGTGCTTGTGGTAGGAGAGCTCCATACTGAAATGTGGACAATTGAGAACAAAAAGTTGTTACGATCGTTGATGAGCATGCAGCACAAGTGGAGTACTGTGTCGAGCGAGTTTGATATCCTGAACACGAAACGAATGGAGCTGCGGAAAGAGAACGAGGTGATGAAAAGTGACAAGGAAAAGTACAAAGTCATGATGAAAAACCTTAAGCTTCAGGCGACTTATGCTATAGAGAATCCGGAGCTTGTGCGAGCGAATGAGCTTGCCAAGCGAAACACAGAGCTAAACGATGACATTTTGAAGATGAGTTCTGGTAATAAGCGATTGCGAAAAGAGAGGGATACACTGCAGGCCCAGCTAGATGAACTGGAGAAACAGCTTACAAGTGTGGAGAAGAAAGATAAAGACGAAGAGGAGGATCGCGTACCGGAGGAGGATATTTTTGGAATCGAGCCCTTGGCCTCGCCGAAGGAGCAGCTGTCAGCAATAAAGAAAAAGAGACGCGGGCTTGAAGACGAGTTGAACAAGGAACAGCGCAAGGCCAACAAGGTACAGAAAGAGATGGAGCAGCTGACGAAGCATTACACCAGTCTTGGAAACGAGGAGTCAGGGCTTAGCTCTTTGACCTCTCACCAATCGCAGAGTGATGAAAAGGACAAGAATGCGCAAGTCTCAGGCGGTCAAAATGATAAGACGAGTAGTAGCGGTAATGGCGCAAACAAGGCTAGGTCGGAGTTTGCTGATCTCGAAGCGAAAATATTGGAGCTGCGCAAAAAGCAGAGATCTGTGGTAGATACGCTATCAAAGGCTGCTCAGTCAGGTGACCAAAAAGCTGGCCAAGGAATGTCAACGGCGGCGCCAAAAGATTAAGGACGAGCTCAAGGATGCACAAGACGAGCTTCATCGACTTAAAACACATGGCAAAACAGGAGCACCTTCTACGCGATCTGAATCTACTCGCAAAGAGAAGGCTTCGGCGGAAGCTGCAACCGCGTCAAATCGTCACGTTTCGTCGTCGTCCTCGAAAAAATCGAAGCGGTCAGGGTCGATTCACAAGGACACATTAAGTCCGTCAACCCCTGACACAAGCAGTGACACTACGGGTAGCTCACGTGCAGGAAAAATGCCGACGCTAAGTGGCTTCTTGGAAAAGGGTCCAACGGAATGGGCTGACCGTGGTCTCATTAGCGGCATGAAGACCATGCGTGGTGCCCGTGAGCGATGGTGTGTGATCACCGCCGATGGGTTCCTCAAATACTACAAGCGTCGTGGTGACTCAGTCGTGCGCGGTGAAATTAACCTTGGTGAGAAGAGTTTTGAGGTCCTCGCAGACGACCTACGACACGGAAAGGAGTTTGTGCTGAGTACAGATGAGCAGCAGTCTCACTTCTTTACGAAAAGTTCACAGGAGCTTAACAACTGGGTGAAAACGCTACGTGCTGCAAATGCCTATTTGCTCAATGCTGCTGCTCCACCGCTGCCTCCATCACGATCGACACGGGGTAGTGGTGACAAGCATGCGCGTACCCGTAACGACAGTAAACAAGCGAAGGAGTTCAATATTGACGGACTAGAAGATTCCTTGCCCGAAGAGGACGAGCAATTTTATGGGCGTGCTACCTTGGGCTTTTAACAAATAGTGGCAAGTTGTTGTGATGCTAATATATTGGCTGGCTGGTATGTCCATTGTTGCTGGTTGCGATTAACTGCCTCGAGGTCTCAGAGGGTTATTATACCATCAAACCAAAGTATCAAATCACATTAAAATGCATTTTTCTGTCCGCCGAATCTGGGCTCGCAAGGCCTTCTCGTCGCGTCCTTCTATGAAGAAGCTATCACCGCTAGATTGATCAAAACTATCTTGCAAAACGACTCTGGAACAGGCGGATCTTGTAGCTATCAGTGCAGCTAGCCTATCTGTACACGGACCAACATGACACCAAATCACGGCGTCAGTGAAGCTGGTAGAAATAAGCAAGAAACATGGCGATGCTTTTACAGCACAAAGTACTTGTTACGCTCTTCCTCGCTGGCAGCTGACGACGCCGCTCCCCGATTGTCATGGCTAGGATACCACTGGATACCATCCGTGCTGTGGTTACCTGAGCAACGAGATGTGAACCCTTCTTCGCTTGTCTTTCGACTGCGGTGGGAGTTTCTGTTTCCATAGCGATACCATGAAGTCGTACCGGCTGGGCGACTATTTTCACCAGCGTCGTGCACCACACGCGAGCTCAGAGTCTTTGTGAACTGCTGCAATGCCAACGCGCTCTCTTGCATCTGCTTCGGTTCCTCCCCAGTAGTCCTCATGTCCGTGTTTCTACGTGGTCCTACGCCACGACAACGGCTTTTAGCCATTGATACCATATCTGTCTCAACGGGGACAGAAATTGCCTCTTCTTCAGGTTTATCCACCTTGTGAACCATCTCAAAGAATAGGCCACCCTTCTGCACCAAAGCATCATAACGACCCTCTTCTGCTACACGTCCTGCATTGAGCACAAGAATCTGGTCGGCATTAACAGCCGTGGATAAACGATGCGTCACCGAGATAATAGTCATGTTCATCTTGCCCGACAGGCGCTCCAGTGTAGACACAATCGACGCTTCGGTCTCCGGATCCAAAGCGCTCGTAGCCTCATCGAGCAACAGCAGGCTTGGGCGACGGCAAAGTGCACGCGCCAAACAAATACGTTGTGCCTGGCCACCACTCAAGTTGCACGTTGCATGCTGACCCACCACCGTCTCAAAACCGTCCTTAAGTTCTTTAATGAAGTGACACTCAGCAAGACGGGCAGCCTCTTCGCAGTCGGCATTGGAACCATTAATGTTGCCGTAACGGATATTGTCGTAGATAGTACCGTTGAGAATACCTCCATCCTGGAAGACAACCGCAGTCTGATCCATAAACGATTTCTTCGAGAAATTGAAAATGTCATGGCCGTCCAGGCGGATACAACCACCATCAGCTTCTTGAAACTGCATCAAGCACGCTAACAGCGTACTCTTTCCACAACCAGACGGTCCAACAACGCACGTGTAGGATCCACGAGGAATAGCCGCAGTCAATTCATTCAAAATGTAATTTTCAGATGCCTTATCGTACTTGAACACAAGTTTCTCAATACGAAGATCCTGCTCCATCTTAGGAAGCGGAGGCAAATCCTTATCACTATTGTCCTCACCAGTGCTCGATCCCAAGCCTACAATCACGTCATCCACACGCTGTAAACTGCTCGCATTGCCGATAGCGACACGCATGAAACCACCGAGAACCGTGACAGGGTTCGAAACACGACTTAACAATGTGATAAATCCAAAGAATTCACCTGATGACAATTCCTTGTGCCACACCTTCATGGCCAGTGAGGCTGTCATGATAGCCACAAAAATGTACATTGCTGACTCAATGTAAATCTGCACAATGCTCGACCAGAAGTCCTTCGAAAACTGACTCTTCCGCAGTGACGCGCACGTTTTCTTAAAACGAGCAATGAGTGGGTCCTGAATAGCGTAAGCACGCACAACCTTTTCGCAGCCGACAGCATTTTGAAACTCGGCAGCGACGTACGCGTTTCTAGATCCAAATTCTTTCGATCGCTGAGCTGCAAATCCCTGCGGACCACTCGAAAGCAACACTGCAGTAAATGCAAACGACATGATGCCGATGCTGACGTCCATATACAACGCGTAGCCAAAACCAAAAATCACAGCCAGCAGCGGGTTTAGCAGATTCCAAAATACAGCCTGCCACAGCGCGTTCACACGCGCGACATCACTCGAAAACAGATTGTTGAGATCACCTTCCGAACGCTCTGCAAAGAATCGCGTGTCCTGGCGAAGAATAATGTTAAGCAATTCGGACTGCATCGACTCCGTGGCCTTGGAAATCATTTTGGACTGGAAATACCCGACAGCGTAATCACCCAGCACGAAGGGTACACATAATACTAACACACCCACAACACCAAACTTGAGCATAGCCTCGTTTGGACTGCCCGAGTCCAGTGTGTCAAAAGCATCCGATAACTTGGCCAGATAAATAGCCAGCGCCGGGCTTACCGAGGCATTGATGCATACCACAAAGAAGCAAAAGATAAGGTCAGCCATTTGCGTGGACCAGTGCCACAATGTACTCCGAACAACATCGGAAATACCATAGGCCAGCGTGGACGACGAGGCGTCGATGTCACGCAAGTGGGACAGAAATTCCGTTGCTGAGAGATTTGGTGGACGATAGTGCAGTGTACGTTCCAAAAAGTTCATGAGTTCGTCACGTGTCATGTCGCCTTCATCTCGTCCGCAAATAATGACAAGATCAGTCTCCATCATCTCAATGGCAATGGCCGAGATGCCTGGAATCCGTGCAAGTGAAGCTCGTAGTGATTCAATGCTGACTCGAATATGGTCACCATTTGTACGAAACTTGTGCAATTTCTTGGAAAATGTGCGTGCTCGTGGTTTGAGAATCAGTCGAAGCGCTACAATTGTCAAATAACCAAGACAAAGCCACTGTTCGTTCTCTTCCGTGACGTATCTTGAACCAAGTAGTACAACCATAGTTAGTAAACATAAGAGATCAGCAATATTCGAGTGAGATCGAAAAAGTGCCAAGCGTAGACCGAGGATACGAATAATCATGTCAATAAAGTAACACAACAGTAATCCAGATGAAAAGTAACGTGAAGCTTTTGCTGCTACTTCATCATGAAAAGAACCTTTCTCGGCAAAGGAGACGGTTAAAACCTGTGCAAAGAAGTCTAAAAAGAGAGCAAATGTCTCGGAATAATGCCATTTACGTGAATCAATGACACGTAAATAGAATAGACGATGACCATTACCAGGTGCACTTGCAGCACCTTTGATTGCACGTGGATCTGATGAATCAGGAAGTGGTCCACCAATTTTTTACAAAACCACCAGTACTATCAGGTGGTACACGTTCAAAATCTGTCATTTCACTACTCATATCCAGTGCCGAATGGACAAGAGTGGACTCAAATGCTGCGGCCTTATGCTGCATCCACTGGGGAGGAAAAGAACAATCGAGTCAACCCAAAGACACTTGACGCTTATTACTACTTCACGAACACGAACGGGGTGAATGGAGGAATGAATGTAGAAAAAAAGACGTTTCACTGAGGTTTCGTATAGAAACTGACTTGATAGGGTTTTAAGGGAAACGCAGACAGCAAATTAAATTATTACATGACGATTTAGCTGAAATAGGTAGAGAATAGGGTACTGACAGATTACCACATGTTTGGATACGTGACACTGAATCTATCCAATTGTGAGTAAAAATAGAACGATCCAAACCCTAAGATAACAACGAGCAATGCATTCTACAAGGTCTTTTTATCTATTTGTTGCTACTTCAAGGTATGTTGATGCTATCTGTACCCATAAAATAATATTTGCTAGCCACTTGTTGTCGCACAAGATGTGAGATGTCCAATTTCTACAATTACTTTATTTCTATACTTGCTTCTTGCTCAATAGACGATAAATATGGCGTCACCTAGTTGGTTGGTCACATGTCTTGGCTTTTTTTTGTTTTCTCTCTTTTTTCATATTTCATATTCTAGTAATATATTTTACTTACAATAGTTTACTTACAGTATTATTATTATAATCTATCTGATCGTGGACCGAGACCAAATGAAGCATTTGGCTACATCTCGTACCACAAAATAACTGCTTTCTTATAAGTTGAGGAGGAGATTGAGTAGTGAAAGTTTTGAAAGAATAGGTCAAACTAATGATTGATGCAAAAGGTTCTTGTTGCATGCATTGTATGTAGACACGTTGTGGTAGTTATACTAGCAGTAGTAGCAAGATAGATTATCTTCAGCTAGCAAGATTTATCATGTCCAAGTGTTTCGTAAGCTTTCTGACGCGTCTTGCAATGGAAACATTGTCGTGAGCACTAAAGAATCCAGTCTTATATAGAAGCGTCGATCATTCGTGTCAATTTGATGCTTGCTATTACATCTGCTCTACCTCGGCCAAAACTCGGTCATCTAAGGGACTTGTAGGCTTTTAGATGACCGAGTTTTGGCCGAGGTAGTGCAAATTCAATATGGTCCCGAAACGCATACTACAACGGTTTACCATATGAATTCATACTTGGAAGCCAAGGTTAGGTCATTATTGTCTATGGTATAAGTCAGACACATTCAAAGATCGAACAGACTTGAGAGAAGACTGCAATACAGTTGCTACATACAGATGTAGCTGTGATAGTGTTTTTACAATCATCTAGTTTCTATATGAATGATCTCAATATCATTGTGTCCATATCATGACTGGATATTCATCCTTTTGATTACCGGTATAATAAATAATCTGTGCTCAATTAACAAAAACAGAAGAAATCAGCCAATTAACAAGCTTATAGTTAATAAATTAGTAACTTGTTTGTTTTATGAAACTTTACGACCTACATTAATTTATTTCTAGATAAAATAATAATCATTTGGACCAATCACTGATTTTCTAATCGCCATGCCATCCATTTTTCAACCTTTTCTCAATCCACATGAATCAATATCGAGATTATGGCGGGTCTACTTCGCGCTATGCAAACAGTGGCAATGGACGGACGTTTTCCATTTCAGACGTTGTATTTACGTGTGGACATACAGCACTTAAGAGATGGCGACAGGTTTCTCCACCACGTCCTGTTATCCCATCGCGTCGTTCTACTTTGTCGAATAACGCCATCACAAAGCGCGCTAGGTCCAAGTCAAAGTCCCGTCCTCGTATCATATCTCACAATCCTACAGTGAACCATACAAGTTATTGCGGTCCACAAGCGTCTGATTCGATTAAACCTTTACGAGTATCAGCAGCTACGGCAGCCAGAGGAAGATCTCGCTCATCCACCACCGGTCAACAGAAAGGCCACTCACAGTTGATAGCCCATGATCAAAGCAATCCATCGCCTGTGTTTAAACGTACGCGGTCCAAGTCTGTAGTGCGTGGGAGAGAAGATACGGTGACGGCCATGCGACAGAACCAGAGAAAACGCTCCAAGTCAGTGGCAAGACGCAATCAGAGCTCGAGACTTGTTAATGCTAGTGACGAACAAGAAAAACGACTTTCAAGGACGGCTTCCCGTAGTGGCCAACGTAGCAGTAAAAGCGCGAGTAATCTTGAGGAAATTGAAGATGCTATTGCAGACACCGAGCACGAATTAGCGCCAAAGAAGAAAGAGCTAGATGAGTTGAGAGAGAAACTGGCAAAGATGCAGAAGCTTATTGAAGTCAAAGAGCTGGAGGTATACGATCTTCAGGTAGACTTGGATGCATTGCAAAAACGTAGGAAGAGACGTTTGCCTTCGCATCGGAGTGCCAGTAGTGAAGAAAAAGAGTGTTCTAAGAGGTCTAGGAGCAAGAGTACACAACGTGAAAGTCAGCGATTAAGCAGTCGACATCGAGGTACCAAGCGCCCTTGCATCGTGGACGAAGAAGACGACAACAGTGATGATGACGTTATTATTATCAATCCGAGCGAAGTAAAACGGGAACGAGAGAGTAGTGATGCAGTATCGAAGAGCACGGTAGTGCCAGATGAGGACACAATGCCTGATCACTTTTGGGGTCGATCTCCAACACCAAAGCTACTGGCAAATCATCGTTTCCGGGCAATTCCGGACGGCAGCCTTCGTAAAGGCCGGCACCTAGCGTTTAACCCGATTCAGCCTCAAATTTTTGCCACAAGCCCGGACGAGGGAGGTCTTAGCCTTTGGAGCTATCAACGTCAGGATCAAGCTATCACTAAGGTAGTGTCTCTGCAGCCATCGTCATTCCGCGAGAGTAGTCCATGTGCGGAAGCCATTGCATGGAGCCCAGACGGAAACCGTATGGCCATGGCATTCCGTGATGCTCTCGATGAAAAGGGAGAGTTTTGCATTGTGCAGCTTCACCAGCTCAAGCTTGAAGACAGCCGCACGCCACAATCACTTCCGCGTAACCGTATCACGTCAAAATGCACTACTTTACATCCAAGAGGTATTTCTACAATCGGCTGGCTGCCAAGTGGATGTGGATCTGAGACCACTAGCGGTCAACTGGTTACTTCGGGCAACTCGGACCACGCCGTCGTGTTGTGGAAAGAACACGAAAGTTGGCAGAATGGCGGTATGGATCTAAAGTGGAGCGTCCTGCACCGGGACCACCGTAATGAAGTTCGATCGCTTTGCGTTCATTCCAAGCGTGATTGCTTGTACACTGGTGGTTTTGACGGGTTGTTGATCCGGTATGACTTGAACAAGGGGCTTACGGAAACCGTGATGGAACGTCGTAAGCCGAATATATCTAAGATCAACTCGGTCCTGGAACATCCACACAACCCAAATTTGCTGTTGGTCAGTTGTGTGGAGCAGACGAGGCACAGCTTGTTGCTGCATGATCTTCGTCAGCGCGATGACGCCAATGGAATGACGTTGACGTGGGAGAGTGGTTCAACGAGTCAATACGTCGTGCCGCGGTGGTCGCCTGCAGGATATCACGTCTCATGTGGTAGCAAGACGGGTGTGGTGAACATCTGGGATGTGCGTATGCGAGGTGACAAGTATCCTACAGTGCAGCCGCAGCAAGCTCTTCGTGTGCACCGTAAGTTTTTTCTGTTGTTGAAAAGCTTATCTATGTATTTGTGACGCATATTTGCCTCGTATATTCATGTATATAGACAAAACGGTGTTGCATGCAACGTGGCACCCGCGCTACGACGCAATGTTCAGCGTCTCTCACGACCGAACGATTGGTTTGTTGACCTTCCGGTAGGTATGAATTGGCGATGCATCCATAGTGACAAAGTGTGTTGCAGTGTTGACGTTGCATACTTAAGTATTGTATACCGTCCATTAGCTTTTGGCTTTGTTGAGCATGAAACCATCTCGTAATGCTTTGTGTCAAAGCGTAATCTCATTACCATATTGCAGCAGCATAACTGAACACGTATTGCATCAAGAACTTGTTCCAGCTACCAACAAACGAATATGGCAGTACTTGAAGTCACTCAACCACAAACAACACGTCAAAATTTTGCTACCATCGACAGCATGATTGGGGTCTAAGATGGGAATGACGCCGGTCTCTCGCCACATTTTCCTTGTTGATGACACCATTCTGTCATCTTCAAATGATCATGGCTGATCCCGTTGATCATCTACGATTGGTGCTCGACGGCAATCGTTTGAGACCATCCAAAGCACAAGATGACGTCAGCAATACTGTTGTCTCCATAATCGTTCATTTGCGGTTTTATTGAGGCACGGAGAAGCACGAACCATGGCGGCGTTAAAGTTACTAGAGAACTATTACACATGGGCAAATGTCACTGAGGTCAAGGTGCTTGACTGGGTTGACCCTGATGGTGGTTGGAAAGTTCATCCCATGGCAAATTATCCATTTGCCAGTTTTGCTAGTGTCTTTGCCATTTGTGTCTGCTACGTGCTCTTTGTCGTGTTCGGCTCGGTGAGTTATCCTCCTTGCATTTAGTCGTATCGAATCGTGTCTCACTAACTGGTCTCCTTCATGGCAATGTCTATAGATCTTGATGAAGCTGTGTGTTCCAGCACTCAACACAAGCGCAATTCAGTTCATTTACAACCCGATCCAGGTTATTGCCTGCTCCTACATGTTCATGGAGACAGCCATTCAAGCCTATCGCAACAGCTACTCACCAACACCATGCAACGCCTTCAAGGCTGATGCCCCAGTAATGGGCAATGTCATGTACCTCTTCTATCTATCAAAGATACTGGATTTGTGCGACACGTTCTTTATCGTCGTTGGCAAGAAGTGGCGTCAATTGTCGTTCTTACACGTCTACCACCACCTTTCAGTGATACTCATATACTACATTGTCTTTCGCGTCGCGCAGGACGGTGACACGTATGTGTCCGTTGTGCTCAATGGTTTCGTGCACACCATTATGTACACTTACTACTTTGTGAGTGCGCACACCCGTGATATCTGGTGGAAGCGTTACCTGACACTTATCCAGCTCATCCAATTTGTGACCATGAACGTGCAGGGCTACCTCATGTATTCTCGTCGGTGCCCTGGCATGCCACCGATGATCCCGCTCATCTATTTAGTGTACGTGCAATCACTTTTTTGGTTGTTCGTGAACTTTTACGTGCGGTCGTATGTCCTTCGTCCGAAGAAGACGCTCTTGGCGAAGAAGAACTTGTAAGCCGTCTAATAACGCAGTATAGAACTCACTGGTTGGATGAGCAATACGACAAGTAAACTGTAGTAAACGTTGTTTAAGCTTTAAGAAACAAAGGAGGCATTTCAAGCAGAGCTTGGTATGGCCCAACTACGTGTTAAGCTCTTCGGTCAGTGCGTATGATACTGTAGCAGATTATAGTAGCTACTCGCTATTTACACGTCGCAACGACCTTACTTGAAGTCTGTGGTCTTGCATATGCTTCTACTTGTGATATCTTGATCGGAACGAAGTGCTACCGCGAGCTTCTAGCAGCATCTAGAAGGCCGAACGGTCGATCGATAGCTCGCTCACACGTGAGGCTCAAGCGATATCAAAGTCGTGCTGCACCATGTAAACATTGACTTTTGTCGTGGTACGTCACGACTCTCCGAATCAAAGTTCGTTTATTGTGTTGTGATCACTGAATATATGTACGAACTGGTGGCCTGGTAGTTCATGAGTCTGTCTATCTATTGCATGTCGTTCGAGTGGCTCTGATTGTTTGAATACATACATATCCATATATAGGTCTACATCAAGTACGTCTGTTAGTTCTACGACTGCGTCATCGTAAATTAGAATTGGTTTTGTAGAAGGGGTTATAGTAGTGATGACAGTGTTAATCTTGGGCTGAAATTGACACATGACATCATAACTTGAGACCGAAATTCATCAGCGCAGGTCGTTTTGCCCTTTCAAACCGATTTGCTTGGTCTCACTATGGATACGTCGTCAAATCACCCCAAGACGATGTTTTTATCCACAGCTTTTTATTTGGTGGAACGTGAAGCATCAGTCAGTCAGTCATTTGGACTTTTACCTTATCTTAATCATACGCCATCAATTAGTAGAAGAAAGCGAGCGAGAAAATCATGTCAACGGAATTAATACAGAGCTATTATGATTGGGCTAATGCGACGGAAGTCAAACTTCTTGACTGGGTCGATCCTGAAGGTGGCTGGAAGGTTCATCCCATGGCCAATTATCCACTTGCTAACTTTGCTAGTGTCTACGCCATTTGTATTGGCTACCTACTCTTTGTCATCTTTGGCACAGTGCGTGTGAATTGCTCAATGTGTTTATTCCTATTGTGACCTCCTCACTAACTACTATGTTACATGTACGTAACAGACGCTAATGAAACTCGGTATTCCTGCTATCAAGACCAGTCCACTTCAGTTCGTGTACAACCCCATCCAAGTTATTGCCTGCTCCTACATGTGTGTCGAAGCTGCCATTCAAGCCTATCGCAATGGCTATTCGCCAGCGCCATGTAATGCCTTCAAGGCCGATGATCCCGTCATGGGCAACGTACTGTATCTTTTCTTTTTGTCGAAGATGCTTGACTTGTGTGACACAGTCTTCATCATCCTTGGCAAGAAATGGAAACAGCTTTCTATTTTGCACGTGTACCACCACCTCACGGTGCTTTTCGTGTACTACGTTGTCTTTCGTGTGGCACAAGACGGTGACTCGTACATTACCATTGTGCTCAATGGTTTCGTACACACTATCATGTACACTTACTACTTTGTGAGTGCCCATACGCGCGATATTTGGTGGAAAAAGTACCTCACGCGTATCCAGCTCATCCAATTTGTGACCATGAACGTGCAAGGCTATCTTACATACTCGCGTCAATGCCCGGGTATGCCACCTAAGGTGCCGCTCATGTATCTCGTGTACGTCCAGTCGCTTTTCTGGCTCTTCATGAACTTTTACATTCGTGCGTATGTGTTTGGCTCTACGAAACCTGCCGTGGGTGATGCGAAGAAGAAGCTATAAGAGGGTTGAGATACGGTAGTTTTAGCCTAGTTCTTTATTGCACATAGTTTGTCTTCATCACACAAGTCAAATGACAGCAAAAGGTGAAGAGAGATACAGGATCAAGAAATACATTCGTTCTAAAAGCTAGTCGAGGCGTACAAATTGCGTTTGTACAGTACAAGCAATCAATATACTCGACATGAAGTCTGACATTCCACCACGCACATGCAGCAGATGGCATCATTTTCAATTAATGGAACAATGCCATCAATGTGCGACCCGTGTAATGAAAAGAACGAGATCAAGACGTCGTACAAAGTCGCTTTAGGCAAATGATGATTCATGTCATCTCGTCAGATACTGCGTGACATTGCTGTCATGTTAGTAGTACTCACTCACTCACTCACTCATCCTAGCGGTGTGTGACAACTTCTTGTCGTTGTCCTCCTTATGAATATTCGTCCTCTTCATCTACCGTAAGAGCTATCATGACGGTGACGGCCCTACAATCGATCTGCGCCCATCTACACCGTCATAATCTTGAACTTTTTATCGATCATGTTATCAGCGCTGAATCTCGTGACGTACTTGTTCTTACTTTATGAAGAGACGTTTTTGAGTAGATGAAAGAATGGAACCAGCTTCCTTCACCGCCTACAGTGACACGTCATTCGACTTCACGGCGATCACAGTGCACCTGTCAAGATCAAATTGTCCATGCACTTACGTTATCCTACCGCAAGTGTGAGTGAGAATTAACATATCGACGAGACCTATTGAGTTGGCTGCGTCAAAGCGGCTCGCAGTAAAAGCATTCACGAGAGCAGATGCCAGAAATTGAGCCGTGTAAGCTGGCTGGAACTTGAAACATCATCAACTGTTGCATCGTTGCCTCGTATTGTCAATCAACGCATGACATCAAACTGAACTTGTGGTCACTACGACTACCAATGGAATCAAGATCATCTTGGCGCTCTTGGTCCGCTCACTCGGATGATCCTCAATGGAAAGTTGTAGAGATACTGCGACGAAGTTTCACGTAACTATTTGCGACTTTCATGGTAACTTCTACTTGTTCATTGTGCATCTGAGCAATGAAGCAAATTCGTGACGACTTATCAGTGAGGTTTGAGCAAGACATGAAGCAATGAAGTATTGGTGAATCTAAACTCATCATGAGAATCAACTGTCAGACAACCTCAACCAATAGATTCTCGACTTGTTGCGTTGTCACTATGACGAACCTATATGAGGTTGACCTACTTAACAAAAAGGTTCGTCATAGTGGTTAGCAAAGATGATGCTGAATCGATTAGCTGTTCTCCCGACGCTTCATTGCAGTCGAACTATCAGTAATTCTATTACTCGTATAACGCAAGCAGTTTGTTATCAGAATGGATCCACAACCTCGCAGCTCGGCCGTAGCACTGTTCACCAGCAGCGATCGTATGTAGTGGACCTCAAGCATAGCGGTGAATTTACACTGAAACACAACAAGTACTTGTCAATTTTAAAAGAGGAATTCCCACTAGAATTGGGCGGCTCACTACCAGAAGTGACCATTGAGTGGGAACAGTGGGGTGACTATTCATTGTCTGGCGATCGCACCATCCTGGTACTACCGTCCTTCTCACACTCAAGTCACGCCGCCTCCAACCGTGACGATCCGTGGCCGGGCTGGTGGGAGAACATGATTGGTCCTGGGAAGGCCATTAACACATCCTATTTTCGCGTCATTTGTCCGTCCGTACTCGGTAGCCCATTCGGTGCCACTTCACCACTCAAGGTCAATCCACTTACAGGCAATAAATACAAGGCCTCGTTCCCGCAATTGACGCCAGCCGACATGGCGCGCTGCCACGCTAGAGTCCTAGACGACTTGGGTATCGATCGTGTACACGCTGTCATTGGTGCCAGTATGGGTGGGATTCAGGCTCTGGAATTTGCAGCTCAGTTTCCTGATCGCCTGAATCGTCTAGTAGGTCTCGCGTGCACGCACCAAACTACCCCTGGGACAGTTGCGTTTCGTCGAGTACAACGGCGTGCTATCCTTGCTGATCCCGAGTACAAAGATGGCAATTATGTGCCTGGTGTACCTCTTGAAGGCATGAAGGTGGCACGTGAGCTCGGAATAATATGCTACCGCTCGCGTGAAGAGTTTGATGCCAGGTTTGACTGGAACCCAATCGGTCCCATGCACTTCAAGAGTGCATCGACATTTGAGGTCGAGAAGTATATGGACTATCAATCGACCAAATTTTCTCGTCTATTCGATCCAAATTGCTACCTCTTGCTATCCAAGGCCATGGACCTAACAAATCTCGGTCGTAATTCGCTAAATCTGGCCAAAGGTACCGGTCGAATCTCAGCCAACACTCTAATTGTCGGCATTAAGCAGGATCTACTGATTTCAATTCAAGAACAGCGCAATTTGGTGAACATTCTACAGTCATATGGCCGCAATGCGCGACTTGTCGAGGTGGACTCAAAATTTGGTCATGATGCGATGTTTCATAGTCAAATGCAGCTGGATATGTTCTCACCCCTGGTGCGTGAGCACATTGAAGATCAACTCACTCATATCCTGCCACTTGAACAATATCGCTATAGTAACCTGTAAACTCGTACGAAAAACATGCATGCAAGTATTTCCTATCTACGTCTATTGAAATTTATATATAGTTTACATGTAAAATACCACAATTAATTGGCAATGCATTATCTATCTGACGATTACGAAAAGCAGCTTTAAAATGTCTGCTAAAACTCAGCGAAACCTCGAAAAAGGTGTTTTGAAGTCGCTTTTTAGCAATTGTAGCAAAACTCTATGACATTTAGAGATGGACATGTGGCTACTATTTCTGTAGAACAGCACTGCTGTTGCTACATCATATTGCAAGCTCTTGTGTCTTATGTTGTTTGTTTTTTCTACCGCTTATTACATACTACTCATGGCAGATCCAATGGTATCATCATTTTTCGCGTAGGCATGCAAGCAACCATCTGCCGAGAGTTGAGAGGCAGCAAGGATCCGTACAGTCATAAACGGATCTACCACGAGATTCAAGAGGCCTGATGCTAACTCAGCTCGTGGATCCATCTTAAACACTTGACCAGTCGAGTTGAAGTAGAATCGCGATGCAAAAGGAAAAGAATACGTCTTGCCAATGAGACATTGGACCATCTCTTCATCAGCAAGCAACGGCTGGAAAAAGTATCGGACAGTGTCGCGTGAGATTCGTAAAGTAGAGTGTCCAACACATTGGATAAGATACACATCCGGGTCCTCGCTCTCCAGTGGTTGGATCTGCTCGCAGCACAGCTTAAACTTGGCATGATAGCGGGTGTAGTTGTGCCATTGCATCAAAAATGCATCCAAATTACAAAACGCTGATGACTGTACATCCGGCAGCATCATACTTCGTAATTGCGCCTCTAGTTCCCACGCGTTACTGCGAGTTAGGTCGTATCCATACGTGAAATTCTGGTAGTACGCACGCACTTTATTGGATGCAATTTGCAAGTTATTTGTCCGTCGTGCAAGATGCAACGCCGAAAGTAGCGTCTGTCGTCTTTCCAGCGCTCGAATCTGTTGATGCATCAAATGGACCTCTTGTGTTGCTAAACTTTCTCGCCGTCGCTTTGTCTGGTTCGCATCAATTTTCAAGTTCTGAATACGTCGAAAAGAAAAAATGCATGGGACCAAATTTCTTCAATGTGCGGCATTTCTTCGACAGTCGTCGGGAACGTCGTCGTCGTCGATGTTGTAAAGTTTTACTTGGTATTATCGTACGTGCAATAGCATGTTCTAGTGTTGTGATCTGTTGACTGATTGAATCCCCTGAAGATAATGATAGGACAAGTGCTGTAGTGGTATCATTGTCATAAGTAGTCGAGTTCTTGTCGATATGCATTGATCCCCAATGAGGGGGGCATTTCGTAGTAAGCCTTGAGAGCATTATAGATAACAAGAAAATGACTTATAGGACTTTATATTGATCTCTATCTCTATTGAGCTTTTAGATAGATAAGAGGCTCATCTGCGACTGATTTATTGCTCCGTTTACGGGCTATAGAGTATTTATCGCAAATTGCAGTCATAAAAATGGTATATCTCCCAATTTTCAGAAAAACCAATTTTTATTTCTAATTCTAGGAAAAACTAATCTTTATTTCTAATTCTATATAAAACCCAATCTCCATTTCTAACTCAAACGCCAGTCAATTGATTGATTCATGTCACCATGAGTGAGCTCTACAAGGAAGCAGCGACACTATTGTATAAATTAGAGCAACGTCAGGCTGGACTCAAGACATTGGCATATGCAGAATCTACAGTACATAAACGAAGCTCCTTTGCACTCGTGTGCGAGACGTTACGTTACAAGCCACTGTTGCGTGAACTGCTCATGGCTGTACCCGAGTGCCACAAAGCGCTCAAGATGTCCAAGGACGTTAAAAAGCCACCGCCTGCACTTGTTTTTGTAGCGCTCTATGACCTTCTATTCGGTAGACAAAAGATACAAGGTGGTGGATACGTGAAGAAGACGTTTATGCAGTATCAGACGGCGTTCCGAGCGGCACTGGCGAGACTCAAGATTAAACGTAAAGTAGCGTCCAACGAGGCGCTTTTGCCACTTGAAAATCGAAAGAATCAGCACCTTGCAATGCCTCGTTACGTTCGTGTCAATACGTTGCTAGCTTCTATGGAAGAGATTGAGGCATTTATGCGCGAGTACGACGCCAAACAAGACCAAGATGTGCGAGATCTGCTCGTGTTGCCGTCGGGCACGGAACTTCATGAGCACGGGATGGTTACGAATGGAAAGCTTGTGCTACAGGACAAAGCCAGCTGCTTTCCGGCTCTTGTACTACATGGAGAGTATGCTGATGCGACGGACAAACAGGGTGACGTGATCGACGCGTGTGCCGCACCTGGAAATAAGACTAGTCACTTGGCCATGCTACTACAGCAACAAGATGGAAATGAAGAGGATGGTGCTACCCGAAAGCGACGAGTGTTTGCTTTTGACCGATCGCCCAAGCGACTTGCACTGCTGAAGCGACGTATACAGCTTGCAGGAGCTGCTGCTTTGGTGCATGCTGAGCTGCAGAGCTTCCTGGAGGTTTGCGTTGACGATGAAAAGTATCGCAATGTGCGAAGTATTTTGTTGGACCCATCGTGCTCTGGTTCGGGGATGACAAACCGTCTGGATCACTTGCTAGATATCGCAAGTGCGCGTGATACGGTGCTGGAACCCAATGATGGCGCAGAGTATGAACAAGAGACTGCCAAGCGTCTTCAGGCTCTTGCAGACTTTCAGCTCGAAGCGTTACGTAAGGCTTTTTCATTTCCGCAGGTGGAGCGTGTGGTATATTCAACGTGCTCTATTTTCCAAAAGGAGGACGAGGAAGTTGTTGCGGCAGCATTAAAATCCGAGGAAAACACTACTGCAGCGCGTCCTTTTTGTGCTGAAACCAGCTCTATTGTCGTGGCCACGTCGCGGTCTTGCGGTCGCAGGCTTATCTACTGAACAAGCCATGGCACTTGTTCGTGCGAACGGCCTTGAGGATTCGACAAATGGTTTCTTCGTGGCGTATTTTGAACGGTCTGACAGTGTTGGTGGCGAATCGAGTGCAGCAAATGAGAGAACATCGACTGCTGCAAGTGTTCAAGATACCGCTACATCACCTGCTTCCAGTGCAAAAGCAAAGATGTTGCATACTGTCAAGAAACGCAAGGTGCTGTCTTCTGTCAGTCAAAAAGACAATCGAAAGCGTCGGAAGCGTGAGAAGCGCAAGAAACATGGCAATTCAGTATCAGAAAAGACAAAAAGTGACGAGGTAGAGTGACAGCAATCGAAGCACCTGTTGTACTGCAACTACGTTCACATGCTCTCACACGTCTGCATGACTCACATGCCAGCAAGAAAACACGGATCAGGTGGGGAGCATTCGAACTTGCTGTCAAAGATTGCCGACCTTGATGTGGTGCTATTGTGCTTGATGAACGATATATGCACTAAGATAAACGTTTGTGTTGAAAACATATACACCATTAGATGCAAAATCGCGATCTTTCGACGAAACGGCCGCATGTTCAAAGACGACACAGAATAAACTATTCGCTTTGAATGACATCCCGTCTGTTGCGCTTACAAGGCCCAAATTCAACTTATACCGAACCTTCCACGACGCTCTTCTTCTTCTCCTCCACGGCGTCCTCCTCTGCGACCGCCGTCACGCCGGCTTCGACATCCTCGTCGCTTTCCGACTCAGATAGTGATTCGGACATGGCGTTGTCGTTGTCCGCATTATCACCAGCTGCAACATCAGTAGCCACGTTCTCGGACAGGGTCGCTTCGGACTTTGCCGAAGCACGCTTCTTGGCAATGGCCACGCCAACCACGCCGACGATGCCCACCGCTGCACCGATGATGCTGCCAATGTAGGCGGACTTGGTGACATCAATATGAAGCCAGTCCTTGGCCTTGGCAGCATAAGACACGGACTGCTCCTTGGATTCCGTAGAAACGGCCTCCACCTTCTCCCTGTGTGGGTTCTCCTTGTGTGGTTCCTCTTCCTTGTGTGTCTTCTCGGTCTTCTCCTTCTTCTGTGCCTCGTTAGGCTGCTCCTTGTTATTCGTCTCCGTGACGTCCATCTTGTCACTTTTGATGATATCGAGGTCCACATTGCCCTTGTGCACCCGCAAGCGTATCAACTTGGCTCCCTCGGGTATTTCAATGATTTCATCAACGTCCTCGTCATCTTCTAACTCCAGATCCTGGGTATAGCTCTCATCATCGTCTAACATAATGTCCAACGAGCCACTTTCAAAATCAAGAAGTGAATTCAGCTTTTCATTACAGTCAAGAGTGGCTTCGGCAGAAAAGTCGACGTTCGTTAAGGACGTAATATCCACTTCCTGGTTACCATCAGCGCTATATTCCATGTCTTCACCATCTTCTAGCATCACTTTTGCATCAACTGGACCATCGACATCTAGATTCAAATCTTTGGAACTCTCCATCTCGATTTCCTCGGAATCCTTTAACTCGATACTAGCTTCATCCGAGTCACGTAAATCAAGACATAGAATCATATGAATCATATGAATCATATGAATCCAATGCGTTCTTGTCCACTGGTTGCTCAACCACTTTTGGAGCGTACTTGATTGTATGATGAATACCCGTTAGACTACGACGTGGATACGTACGAAAGGCTAAAGTCTGTACTATGTTAAAGGTAGTAAATAGTACTACACATAGCATTAATACGAGTGTCTTCTTCTTACTTGATACTATAGTCATTACAAGTAAGGATCGATTTATCTTTGTCTTCTACAGTCAATTAGGATTCCGAAAATGCCATTTTTTCACGGCTGCATTCGATGGAAAAATATCAGGTTTGAACCCACGGGTTGTTTGTTGTTGTTTTGGTTGATGGATTGACCTCTATGAATTTCAACGATCAAATTCGAAAGGGTCGTCAAATCAAACACACAAAGTAAGTTGCAATGCAATTTCATGGATTTCATTCAAACTCTGGAAGTAAAAAAAAGGTTTTAATATGTAGAAAGTAAGAGAGAGAGAGAGATCTTATGTGCCTTATAATATCTAGATCTATTCCAATCTGATTCTTAAAATAGATTCATTGACGACCTTGTATCTATCGATCGATCTGTGAAGATTCAAAGTGTAGCCAGATACGAACGAGTGGATGATATGAGTTTTCTATACTTGGTTCAACATCTTTCATGTCCAATGGCGCAATGAAACCAAACCAAATCATGAAGCGAACAAGGTCTTTCTTCATTGTCAACTGACTGACAGTCTGGAGCTATAGTTTTACCATTCTTGTGCATGTTGCCGGATTCTACTGCAAGTTGCAACTAATCAGATTAAAGTAGATATTGCAGTAGTCATTCATTGCTGTATTCTAGTAGCAAAAGCTAAAGCTAAGCAAGATATATTCCGAGCTATGGTAAGCGCATAACAACGTCCTTGTTCAATTGTTTTAGTCAGGTCTTTCATCAATGGCATGAAGCAATGAGGAGGAAGCGAGCGACTAGGTTTAGTTGTTTAGTCTAACGGAGGGACGTGGTGGTGTAACTATATCTTAAGATTCGTAGGGGAGACAAGTGCGTCAGCAAACAACACGCGATCGAGATGACCGTGCTGCAGCTCAGCTTCATCGAAAGCCATGAGCGTCACATGGTTTTTCCTACTTCTAGCTTGGACACGTTGTCTTTGACCAAAGTTGAACAGTCACAGTGCTAGAGCTATAGAATACGCGGCGACGGTGCGTGCAGCAATCAGTTTAGATTGGTGGTCGTGGTCGATCGTACTCGTCCATGCATCCGTGTGGGGGGCATTGACAAGCTTCCCACACCCTTATTGTACCCTACATAAGGCCACAGTAGCCTCTTCACGAATCGCAACGTGGAATACAAAGCAATGACAACCGGTCTGGGGATACTCTCCATTCACAATGCATACACCGAGCTAGAACCCAGCCTTCTATCATCGCCCTTGCACATCACAATGCACTACATTTAGCGCTATCTGCAAAAAAGACCGACATACCTGCTGCATCTACATCAACCAATCGTGTGCTTGCTAGTATCAAACGTGACTTGATTCGTTTGATCATAATCGACACATATTCAAAGCTTCTTGACAGCTGCTGAGTATCATCAATCAAGTCAAGTCCTTTTGACAAAGTAGTAAGTACTAACTCTCCATGCTACTTTCTTTGCAACGATTAATATCAGCCATTCGATATCAAGTTGATTATAGTAGAGCATGGGTCGTCGGGTGTATGGCATTGGTGTAGATGTAACGCTAGTGTCGCGATTCGAGCGCAGCTTTCAACGCTTTGGGAAGCGCTTACTCGTACGTACGCTCCATCCGAGTGAAATTACTGAGTTCTATGCCCGTCCAAGTACAAAGCGTGCAACGTTTCTAGCTTCCAGATGGGCGGTAAAGGAGGCAACGTTCAAAGCCTTTCAGTGCTACCGTGTTCGATTCCCAGAGATTTACACGGTTCAAAGAGGTCTCGAGACCTCGACCATCTGTACATCTCTACCTGTAACAAATGACTCGAAGGCTCTGCGTCTTCAATTCTCGGGTGAGACGCAGACTCTTGCAAAGCGATTACGATTAGTGGTGAGAGATTGTTTTCAAAAGCATTTTACTGCTTCATTAACCTCGAATAACGTCTATTCTCTGACCACTCATTCGTACTGTCCGATGCTTCTGTATGACAGGAACCACATGTTTCAATCTCACACGATGGCGACTATGCTATGGCCTATGTGGTATTGCAAGAAGAAGTTGACGAGGTGATGAAAGCAGGAATGTCCTGAATCTGGAAGAACTTGTCTTTTGACTTACTGTCCAGCAACAAATGCATTGTAAAATCCAGACTATTCAACTCGCGCGAGATTGTGTCGCAAGCCCAAGCACAACGTTCAAAGTTGCTGTGTTTCTGATGTAGACACGTTCATCATTTATTCATTGCAGTGGCAGTTGTGGTCGTTAAATGCAGCTAGAAACAATGTTCCAAAAGCATAACCATCATCCTGTTCTAAAACAAGTCCTTCCGGATGCCACGGCTACGATCACCATAGATCTCGTGGATGAGGCCAATGACACGTTTCACTGCTGGCAATGAAAAGGTCGCTGCAGCGCATGAATGCCGCCGTGCTTCTTCCAGCAGCTCGTCCCACTTGACAATAGCTAAAGCGTCGGCAACGTTGCGGAATTCACGTTCATATTGCTTGCCCTCAGAGTGAGGGATTCCTCGTTGTGAAAGCCAAAAGAGGAACGCGTTAGGCACACGTTCGGTAGCGTCGCGCTGGTATCGTGCTAAGTCGTGTGCAATCGAGCCTTCCCATTCCATGTACTCGCCAATGCGGGTAAGGAAATTCAATCGCTCAGGTGTCACCAGTTCTGAGGGCAATGCCAGCGAGTCAATCAGCAAAAGTAATGTCGCTTGCCAGCGCGTGGCTTGTACTGCCACATATGCAAGAAATGTCTCCTCGAGGGGCTGATTCGTAGCGGACCTCGAATTAAAGTTGTTGTCGGAAAATGTTCCCAACTCGTAGCTTTTAACTATATCGTTCAGCAATTCCCACTGCTCCTTTACTAGACGGGCTTGGAGCAGCTTAAGCGGCACCTCCTGTTCAATGTGGTAGTGTAGTACCTGCCACAGAGCGAGAAATAGCGATAAACCGGTTGAAAGAATCTCATTACCAGGCTCCGCATTCTCTACAATCAAATCGTGGAAGAACTTGGCATCCAACTCGTGCATCTCGCCATCATTGGTCCCGTTTGCAGATCCGCTACTTGCCTCTAGAAGCTTACGCATGAACGTGCGCACTTTTTGCGGGCGCACCTCCATGAGTCGGTATGCGATGATATTGATGAGAATGGACAGCAACTGCAGTTTGTTCTGCAACCCGATGTTTGAGCGGGATCCTAGCAGATCACTCTCTCTGATTGACGCGGATGTAATGATAGAACGCATGGAGGCCAAGAACATGAACATCTGCTCCAGCTGATTGTAGCCTTTATCGCCCAGCAACTGTTGCTGCAGTGTCGTCAGCGCTTTGTCGCCCCTATTAGCAGCATTTGGCGCCATGATAGCGATGTACTGCGGGTTCTTGTTAATAGCTTCAAAAGCAAGGTTGAGGCTAATCGTGCTCTTTAGCTCCGGAATAGGAACTTCTACGTAGAACATGGACGGCACCGTCACAGAAACTGGAGTAGTTGGTGGCGAGCTGCTCAAAATCTCATAGAACACCGCATGAGCGTGTAAGTACTCTTTCGCCGTCTCCACGTCAATAGACTTTCGCAGCAACATGTAGCTGCATACCTCCGACACAAGTTCACTCGGTGATCCAGCAGCGACAGCAATATTTCGTGCGTGGAGAGCCATGTGACCCTTCTGAATACCTGTCACTGCGATAGCGCGAATTGCTGCAAAGTTTTGAGCGAGCCCAACACTCACGAGAATGCCGCTTAACTTTCGAGCCGTTGGCTGTTGTAGAATCGCAAGAGTAGCAGCGTAACCAGGATGGGTCATCAGCGCACCACCTTTTGATCCAACTGCGATAGGTAGTTCCAAACTGCCACGTAGCACATGCATTCGGGAGCCATCGCGGGCAAGACCGATCTCATAACGCGACAGCGACGTATATTGCCCCGAACGACTAGCATAGCAATGCGCAGCCGACTCGATGGCACGCCAATCCTGGCCGGTGGCCACGGCTACCGCATCGACACCATTCATTATTCCCTTGTTGTTGGTCACTGCGCGAAATGGATCAATAGCAGCAAAATTGTAAGCCTCGATAATACGGTCCGCCACATCTTCACCGTCGACTCCCTTCCAGCCGAGTTTTTTCAGGGGAATTTCAAACTCAGCCCGAGCACGACGCTGCATACATAGATTGGTAAGAATCCGTAAGCCTACACGACTTTGCGTGATCTTTGACACTTCTTCAGACAGTCCCTCAGCAACTGTGTTAACAATATTGGCACCCATGGCCTCACACACATCCACATCGATGTGCACGACTAGAAATTGGGTCCGTAGCTTCGATGCGTGTATCACGAGCTCATCCTCGCACGGGGTGTACCAAGCACTGCCACCCGCAGCAGTGGCAGCAGTCCGCGCAGCCTGGCTAACTACGCGGCAGTAAATGTCGATGGCACCGCCACCACGCTTCTTCATGTTGGGGCAAAGATTTGTGTTAGCAATTGACAGCAGTCGCTCACGGTTGCATTCGACTGCTGCAATTGCTGCCGGGATATCCTTGGTGCCCACAAGCTGGATCTGGGACGTCATGACGTTGCCGGATGCCGACGTGTGGAAGCCCCCACCCGCAGCAGCCACAAGCTTTGCCGCGCTAGAGGCCGCGGCCACCACGGAAGGTTCCTCCACGGCCATGGGCACAGACAGACTTCTACCATCAATGACGAAGTTGAGACCGAGGCTGTGCAAAAAACACGTGACACACACATTAGACACTGATACATGTTTGACCATATAACATACATACGAACTCACCCAAGCGGGATGCCAAGCACGCCGATGCAATTTTCGATCATGAGGTTTGCCGTGCGCAGTGGCAACTCACCGAGTTTAATTGCCGGATCCGATAGAGGTAAAATGTCAGCAGACGCGTCTGCACCAGCCAAACCCTGTTGCATTTTAAGGCTCTTGAGTTGCGGGTACATGAGCGCTAGAACGTCCGAGCGCTCGCGCAGTGTCTTATTGTAAAACCCGGACCAGACCGAGGGCTGCGGTGCCACATCCTGCTGCTTCTTGTTGGTCCAGTCCTCACTGGCATCATGGCTCGGCTGCAATGCATCAAACTTTTTGCTACCACTAGTATCAGTGCAGTTCTTCTGTACTTGTGCAGCCAGTACAGCCACTTGCACCGCCTTATTGTGCAACGCACAGTCGAATGCTATGCCGCGTGCCACCTTAAGTGCCCCACGTAGTAGCTCCAGCGTTTGATCCAGCGCTGCATCTAGCTCCATTTTGGCGGTCGGGAGTGATCCAATTACGTCACCGTCTAGAAGTTGGTTGGTCATTCAACTACCGGATATTACTTAATCAAGAGCTAACGCAAGGTCAGTCAGTCAGTCGCTGTAACATGCAAGTCACAAAGTGTGAAAAGCCACAACGATGGAAATAGAGCAACATAACTATTGACTTTTAGAAAGAGCAACAGAAGCGCAACATGTTAGCTTGCAAAGAGCAACATTATAAAACGTCATTTTCTGATAAAACTAGAAGATATTTCTTCTCGCACGACGCCGGAATGACTCGGATCAATGCCGTTTTCTGCTTGTTGGCAATATAAAAGGCAGTTTTCGTGTGCTACATGCGTCACATGGAACTGTATCTTACGCATCAGTCTTGGGATATTGTGACAGACGATAATGTCTCCCAAATAGTAAACAACATATAATGCTGCTGGGCAAAATGGCAAGTCAGTCACAAAAAGACTCGCACGAAAATCCATTGACAATGGCCGCACTTGTTTTTTGCTTCTCTGTCTGTCTCCTTGTCTCGAATATGGTATGCACGTCGACCTTTATTGCTGTTTTTTCAACAAGGAGATTACTCGAGTCTGGAAGTAACAATCACGAGGTAGACATGAAACCATGTCAATTCGGTAGTAAGCGTAATGAACATGAGGATATGGAAAGGCTTTGCAGACAATTGCTCAGGTCAGACGTAGAGAATTGTGATGATAGGTATTTCAATTCGTAAGAACTGATCCTTCATAGACATGAATCAGTGTCATCTATCACGAGAACCAACCACAATGAGAAACATAGTGATTCAAGCCAAAGAATGAAATTCTATGCGTCGATCGGTACCTTTGTCTCTTTATTAATTGAAAACACTAGAAGACGCAATAGCAGGTCACCCCTTCTCATCAAATGTAGTATTCCTCTTAGCATGAGAGAGCTTAAATAGACTTGAGGTTAGAAGGAAGCAACGTTCAGCTCGTGAATTCTATTCATTCGGTTCATATCTTACAACAATTGGTCATATTTACTAAATGACGGACGAAAACTCGTGGATTCATAGGACTGTGCAGCAATTGCGTCGCCAATTCAGCAGCAATCGCTCAGTATCTGTCTACGAGGCATTAACGGCTCACATAGTAGATGCCACAACAGGCGGTGCCTTGTTTCTAGGTGGCGTCTCAGCAGCGCAAGTGGTCCAGAACCTTCTCCGGATCGGCTCAGCTTCGGGATTCTTACTACCTCAAGCACTTGGTGCTGCTGCCGTCGCGTCGTCCTCTGTCCTGGCGTTGCACTTTGCTTTCATCCCGAGGGAAATCTATCAAGAACTAGCGGCACAGAGCCGTCAAGCTAATGAACACCGAAGCTGGAGCTGGCTCTTGCTCGGCGCTAAGAACCTCCAGCCGCCAAAGGCGTGGAAACAGGTGCAGTCCAAGGTAAAAGAGCGATGGGAAGATCTTCCACAAGCTCCGTATCCGGTCTATATGGTAACGGGGTTGCTGTGTTTCAAGTTACTGGGAGGGCGTATGAGTGCCCTGGCGCCCTCTCCTTTCGCCAATCTTGGAGCTTATCACCTCAAGAAGGCATCGCTCCCGGCAACTGTTGAATATGCCACTAGTGTAGAAAGAGGAATCATCCAAGAGTTTGGACGGCTTTATGGATGTCATACGTGCGGAATCAAACGCGGCGTACGATATCATGCAGACCACATGCCGCCGAAACTGTAGGGCAGCGGCTGAGATTGTGTAGCTTCTTGTGCCGATCCTGACTGTTATTGCCTTCTTGTTGTCTGACATGTAGGGTGGCCAAGCGCAGAGATGAGCACCTCTTTCGGAGAATACTGCGCTGGAAAACGACCTTCCGCTTTTACCCGCAGTGCGAGTCCTGCTCAAACCAACAGAGCAGCGTAGTGAAGCAATGGAAGTCAACGCTAAAGATGCACCTGCTGTCGTTCCGAGCATACCATGCTACTGGCCTGTGGCTGGTACTGTTGTGCACGGGTAGCCTGTATGTTGGAGGCTCAAACTTTCATGAGACGTCTGAGGTGTCTGCTCACATGGATGTAGCTAACGAGGCTCCCAGCTCCTTTACTTCATCGGATTTCGTATTGTTGGTGTCACTACGTGAGAGGGAGCGTAAATTACGCCGAGAGCAAAGAAGTCAGAGGAATCCGATTCAACTTGCTGCGATCGATAGAGAGTTGGAAGCAGTTGCGGAATGCAAGAAGGCCGTCAAAGCTGACATTAAACGGCAAAAAGTCAATTAACTAGTATATTGTCATCAACACGCACTTTGCTTGCGCGGCAATTGACAACGAATCGTTACGGCTACAAAAGTATCTTGGCGACAGCACGGACAGAATGATCGTATTTCGTTGATTTACCGCACTCACGCGCAACAAACAGCGCAAATACTGGTCCATTGAATAATGCACAGCATCCCGCCTGCAACTATAAAGAAACAAGTCCAGAATTGCTCAACGAGCGTACGCGGTATCGTACGATAAGCGGATGCAGTTCTTTCTGTATGAAGACAGTCTTAGGTTGAGCGCGTCGTTCGTTAATACCGCAGAAATATCGGAAGACGCGAAACTGGGTGAGCATCATGTGGCCTACTTTACTTCCAATCGCTCTGCTTTTCATAGACTGGCGACTTTCATATTGCCAATAAGACAATGTGTCCAAGGAAAAGATGACTAAAACATACTTCTAGACTCAGGACAAGCCGCGTAGGTCTGCTCCATCATGACACTGCCGTGAGGTAGCAAGAGTTGACAACATCATCCACTGGATCCCATAATTTGTACCTATTCTGCTGTGTCCTGCTTGATGCTTTCAGTGACATTCCAGCACTTTGTCACTGCAGAGAAAACTACTGCATGTCACGTGGTGACTAGTTTACCATTTCTATATCGAAAAACGATGTGATTTTGATAGCTACGAACTCGTCCCAAGCGCTGAACACTAGATACGATGAACGCGTGATGTCGAGTTTCTGCTACAAATCATACCTAGTGTTTTGCGTGCATGATCGCCTTGCAATAGTCGATTAAATGCACCTGCATCAAGACAGTTTTGTCACGACGCATGTCGTATGATTCAGTCAACGAGTGAATTTGGCTTTTCGTGGTATTTACTATTGGCGACCAATTGCATAAATTCATGTTTCAATTTGTTGAAGCTTCTATCGTAACATTTGCAATATCTAACATGATATTTCACATTTCACTTCTTCTCTGCTTTGCTCGACGGTCGCAATGACCCCCCGCACTGCCGTGACACTTAATATTTACGACCTTGTTGAGGCCAACGAGTATATCGCACGTACGTAACTCCATCTCCACTTGTCTCACCATCTTTCTCTCTATTAACCAACATGTTAATATTCTCCATAGCACTGGGTCTAGGTATTTTCCATAGTGGCGTTGAAATCGCCGGTGAAGAGTTTTCGTATGCGAGTGGTGCCGGTATCTTCTCTTCAAGACCTCGACAAGCACCTGGTACGATATTGTAGAGCTTGGACATCGTAATATCGACTTTATGCGCTCATGTGTTACCGTTGTAGGTGCCAGGTTTCGTGGATCAATTGCTATGGGCATTTTCGAAGGGAGTTTTCAAGAAGCCCATCAACTGGCGTATTCTTTAAGCTCGGACTTTGAAGGAGAAGCTTACAATTTATTTACCAAGTAATGTGATATACAAATAATAGCATGTTGTGAATACGAGATTGAGAGGAAAGACAATAACACGACAACTTGTAATGGACGGATGACCCGATAGAAACTGCAATACGTACGCAGATGCACTGTGTCAAGTGCTGTTGAATAAATCAATACCTGCTTATGTGAACCGAGCGGCCTACTTTGGGTCATTTCTTAGCTGTCTCATGCCGGCGGACTTGATGGATCAAGCACCAGTGGGTGTTCCCAATACGCCGTCGCGGATCATGAACGCTGCTTCGAGACGCTCCGATAGTGTCTATACTCCATTTGCAGGTGCGTTGCTAGCCTTTGTTGTGATTTCAACGAAAGCTAAGAGGAGCTTGATATCAGGGTCTGGTCAAATTGTTGGTGGCATTGAGGAAGCATCATCGCCGGAGCCATCTACGCAAGCTGACAGACGCAAGAAAGTCCGCATGGCAGCTTTGCGGCGAGTAGGTGCGTAAGGACAGTGGTCCATTGCTCACTTGGTAAAAAGTGTAGAGTCATGCATAAAATCTCTGGCGAATGCTGAATATAAACAGTTCTTGAACAAGTGACTCGTATCAAAAGTTCAGCAGGTGTTTTCGCTCGGTGACGGGACTGCATCTTACACAGAATACTCATGGCTGCAATACAGCCATGCACAAGGTGCCGTTGCCAAGTCGTTCGCTAGATGAGCACATTGTCTGAGGATTGCTAGCTAATGTCTACTTTTATCGTCGTCATTACGGACTTTGTGCGAGCGGAAGGAAGTTCTTGAATCTAGTATCGCCAATGTTAGACTGCCTAGTGGTGGCCACCAGCGTTTCGTAAAGGTGCGCTACAATGTATCTGTATATTTCGTCTTGATGCACTAGCCGAACCGTAAACAGCGTTGATCAAGCAACTTACTTCGACAACGAAGATGAATACGATGGTGCAGGAATTAGTCCGGAGCACACTAACAATGAGTATTTCGACTGCTCGAGAAGAGATCAAAAAATTTGACGTTCTCGACGACCTCAGCACTGTAAATGAAAGTTGCCGAGATAAAGTGAGCCGCGAAGCTAGGTAATCAAAAAGAAAAAGCTGCGCAGAAGAAAACCAAGACTGAGAAATTAGACAGAGCAAACGAGTCAAATGCTCTTATTGCCTTGCATTCTTCTTCGTTTGTTTGGCAATACCGTGGGGCTTGACGTCAACACCATCGATCGTCATCGGGCCAGCTGTCAACTCCATAGACCAAGAGTTCTTTTAAACGGAGAACACCATTTTCTTTGACTCATGCTTTGACAGGTCTCCCTCCTTACGCATGCTGCTCGTCATCGTACGACTCGTAATCATCCTCTTCATACTCATGATCGTACTCATATTCCTCAACGGGTGGCGCTTCAGGAACAGCCACTACCATGCCATCCAGCTCCTTCTCTAACACAATCGCCGTGCCCAGACGAGAGTTGGCAGAGCGGTCCTCTACGGGAACGTACGTGTCGATGATATGACGCTCCTGATCATTTGCGGGTGGAAGCTTAGAAATCCACTCGTTAGAAACCACAACGTGCGACTGTGGAGACGTTGTGCCCTCGCCAAACAGCGACTCGGTGTAGAAATCGGCACGTCGAGCATCGTACATACCACCTCCACCCATAGCATCATCCTTGACAAAGCCTACATTATTCATCTCACAGGCCTGACGCAGTGTCTGACCAGCACGTCCCTTGATCATATGGCGATTACCGTCGTAGTCTACTAGAACTACATTCACCCTGTCAAGAGCATCAAAATAACCATAACAAGTATGAGATGTAATGAGAAACAATACGGAGAGAGAGAGACCGACAGATAGAAACGCACACTTTATCAGATACATTAGGCAACGATGCATCGGCTACAAACCCGCCAATAAAGCGGCGGCTTATGGCACGCGATCGCGCTGATGATCGAACTGCACGGGTCAGCAGCATATTGGAATATTATGTGACATGGAGAGCCACACGAGTTTTAGCCTGGTTTTAAGCACGTAAAAGTATACTTTTACTGGCAAAAGACTACATAACCACATCGTAAATATAATAATTAGCATACAAACAACTCATCATGGCAGGGGGTATGTATACGAAAATGACGTCTTCCGGCTCATCTCTTATTGCCAATCCACGCACGATTTCCAAGGAGTTAGAAGCAAAAATTTCAACGTCAATTGCCAGTGTCATTGCATCGAGTGATGTGGCTAAATTGACAACAAAAATGGTGCGCCAAGCAGTGGAAAAACAAGTGCGTGTGAGTCTTGCGACCCATAAAGATGTACTGAAGCGACTTATGCATCAGGAATTACGCAAGTTTAAGTCAAAGAAAATGGCCAAAAGAGTCGTGATGGAACCTTGGAAGATCGATATGAGACGAGAGAGCATTGTCAAAGGTCTCTCGCGAGTCTACCTGATGATGCGTGAATCTCCTGTGACCTTTCCAGACTGGGGATTACACGCTATACAGTCACTTTATGACCTGCAGGCAGTAGAAGAGGGTGAAGTGTTGCGATTGGCAACACTCTATGCTCGACTTATGGGTGCGTTGTGGCTGAAGGAAGACCGACATGTAGATTGGATACCAGGCTCCATTCCTACGCCTACGCAGCTCGTGAACGCTATTCGAGCTGTTTACGTAGTCGAGAGACTAGGAATCTCTCATGCAAGACGTGTTGAGCTATTGGACTTTTTTGACCGATCACCTGCTGTCTATGGCCCTAAGGTGAGAAAGTTGAAGGCCACATGGTATGAATGACCGACACTGAACTAATTCAATCAACATTGTTGTTGATGTTGCAGGATCTATTGGGATGGAACCCCGCAGAGAGTCCACCACCGTCGACTGACGAGAGTGGAGCCTCGATATATGAGCGACTGACAAGAGCGCTGGTTCTGTGGCAGCAGTCACACGGGCTGGGGGTCTTGATTGGATTCACTTTGCCGCAGTTGCTTCAACACTTGTTGTTGGTGTATCCATACAAGGGCCCTAGTGATCTTTCACCCGCAGAGTACGAAGACCAAGTCCACTTTGTCACTACGCTGGTGTTTGTGCTAACGAACCATGGAAGGTTGCGCTGCGAGACGGTAAAGAACTCATTGTCTGAGCTTTTATCCACGATTCTAATACCAATGTTCGTTCACATGCGAACAGGAACTTCTTCCTCATGAATACTTCTTCTTGCACCATCATGTTGCATATCACCTTGCGCAACAAGACGTGGCTTTGCTTGGTGAGACATTACGGGTAAGAGAACAGTGCTTGTTATAGCTTGTCCCTCACTGACAAACGAAACTCGAACGTAGGCTTTACGTTGCTTTGAAGGTTCAAGTGATCTTGTTCAAATGCGTCGAGGACTAGCTTTCTTGTTGCTCACTCAACGCGAAGATGGGTCTTGGGTGACTGAGTCGGCACAAAACGATGCCAATCAGCAATATTTCTCTACTATGCAAGCGCTGTGGGCACTGTGTGAGCCTCGGCGAGCGGGATTTGCGCCTGCCTTCCCAGAGGCTATTCCGATTTTAGAGCACTATTTGAATGCGGATATTGGGGGCGTTGATGTGAGTGATGATGCTTGTACCATGAAATCTGTTACCTGAGTTCTTACGTTTTGGCTTCGTTGTTAATTCAGCAGAATTTCTTTGCGGGGAGCAACAAGAGCAGTGCAAGCAATACTAAAGATGCACATGTTGATCCTGAGGTAGCCGCAGCAACAGCAGCTGGTCCATCTGAAAACGAAGACCTAGCAACACGCATTGGCTTTTTGCAGAGCTTACTGGATCAGAATGGCAACGTGAATAGCGTTTCAGCCGCACTTGCAACACATGTGTTAAGCACCCTATCAGATATGATGCTCACTGTTGATATCCTCAAGAGCACTGGCGTTGGGCGCACTATTAACAAATTGCGTAAACATACAGCACCTTCGGTAGCGAAGGCGGCAACTCAACTTGTGGCGAAATGGAAAAAAGACTTGCTGTAGGCACACTATAATCAGAATTTTTAGTCATTTGCTGTTCAATATCCATCTTGTCATCATCGCATCATGCGCTTAGCTGTATTTCAATTGCAAGAAAAAGCGACTACAAAATCACCAGGGGCTGATAGATGCTAATACTCTTTTTGCAGCTTTCCAGGCGAAGTTAGATAGACTTTGTGGCTGCTCAGCCTCATCAAAAGATCCGTAGTGTTCGCCGGCCCCAGAAAGCAACGCCTCTTCCAGATCATTTGGAACACGTCCGGGTCTCGGAGAGCAGTCGCTGTAAGGTGAGTTATTTTCTGCCGACAATAACCCATTCGGACTCGATCGTTTACGGTCCTCCAAGTCATATCGGTGGCGATTCGATCTGTCTTGAGAGCAGTTTCTTCTTGCAGCCTCAGTAGATGACCGTCGGTGAGCCGTGGACCCAATAGATAACCGTGTTTCACGAGGTCGGTTTGCCACGAAGTAAACAGAAAATAGAAAACAGCTCATAGCGACCCCAAAAGCAACCACTAATTCAACGCACATGATAACAGAAAGAATACGATGATCAACAGGCGGTGTGTCTGGACTTGGTGGTGGCGTCACTGTTGCGACAGAATGAGTTAGTTGCTAATGTTGTGAAAATAAGCTTGACACGCGTACCTGCAGGAAGCAGAATATTTAGAAAGGCAGCGGCAGCTAGCGTTGAGCCCAAATAAGCATCGTCGAACACTTCAACCGGTGCACCATTATGGGAGTCGTAGACTGCTGCTAGAGCTGCTGGCGTAGGTTTTTCCATTGCTAACGACATTCGAAACCATGAAAAATATGGTCGAGTAGGTACAGTTGCCTCGCATATCATGTCTCTCGTCTTGTTACGAATGTAATCAGCTAGTCCTGGGAACTTGTTCTGGTCATCATTACAATGGTGTTAGTAAAATAAGATAAGCTGTACAAAGATCAGAACTAATCATGCAAGCGTACTCGAACAAACCCCCGTAGTACATAGTAGTTGTACAGGATCCACGTTGTAGGTGCTGAACGGCCGTCGATCGACCCAGCAACTGTGGTCAAGTCCTCTTCGGAGCAGGCAAAAAACACAGCCGGGAATTGAGCACAAAAGAAAGAAAACGAGCTGGGTTTCGAAAGAAAATGCTCCATTGAGCGCATCTTCTTCTCATCATCCAATTCCACAGCATATCCAGGTAGAAATCCGCGTAAGGAGTAAGTTGCGGTCAATGACACACGGCTAGAATCGGCGAAAAAGTTAACGGATGTATTCCATAGACCATGAGTGGTGTTGCTGCCAACAAGAGCCTCCTTTAGCCCTTTACTCATTGCGCGAAGCTTAATCACATCCTTCAAAAGATCGCTTTTTGACAAGGTGAATCCGTTGCACACCGACGAGTGGTCCGCCAGCACACGCCCGATATTTTCAAGACCCAATGATGAACGCAGCATCAAGGCATTAAATTCCACGTCTTCAACACCGAATCGAACAGTCTCACCACTAGCAGCAGAATATGCAATAGGCTCCACCACGGTCGAAACATGACTGTAAATATCACTGCTTAGTCCTCTGCGGTACGTTTGCGAAGCGAGATATATCATGGGTTCATACATGTTATCTACTGCGTCCTGTGCCGAAAACAAAGTACTTGCACCGGCTGCAAATCGGTTCCGGGCTTCCTCAGGAATCGAGCTGACAACAGCCTCGTAGTCCGGCGCCTTCTTCAAGGTAGTAAGAAATCCTTTCCAGTGCGGTGATAGCGACGAAAACGTTTCCCAAGGATGCTGCAATACAATCGTTAGCCACAGATTGTGTTAGCTTGTACTTAAGCGTCTTACACAGCCCTACATTAGGACACATAGCCGTTTTATCTTTACAACGTACATGTGCAGTTAACAAACCGCTAGAAGCAGAACTTCGGCGTGAATAGAACAAATGCTTCTGCAATCTTTGTAGTGGCTGGTAGATTTGGCATAAGAACTGAACAGCAGTTGTCTTTACACCCAGCACCGAGTCATACGGCGCTAAACGAAAGATTTCCCATGCTACGTCTGCTGCTACCGGAGGAGCCGAGATCGTCGAGGTGTCGAATACTACCTCCTTCTCTTGGTGCTCCATCAGCGACGAATTCTTCCAAAACGCAGGTCCTGGGTGGAAAGTTCGATTACTGGGTATCCATCGTAAATTAGATGGTACGGTTGGACCATAGACTAAATGCGGTAATAATCCATCAGGCTTCTGATACTCGAGGATGCGCTGAACCTGTATCGCTGCCTGATGAAAGTCCTCGTGAGCAAGAGCTTGTGCTGCAAGAAGAGCTTCTCCAGGTTTCTATGCCGTTATTAATATCAAACGTTAGGAAGGTTCACTACACTTGAAGCTACAGATCATTGCTGACGTTTTACCATATATTGAAACCCTACTATATCGCTCGTGCCGGCCCCAACTCCACCGAATTCCATGTCCATATGTGCTTCCAGCAATTGTATAGCATTTTGCTTCAGCTTTCTCTCGTCACAAGTCGAAGCTGCTGATGATAGAGTAAGGAGGCTGCTTACTATAAACAACAGACGCATGGAAATTCTAAGACTAAATAGGGAATTTAAGTGTCAATCAGTCGAATTTAAGCAGACCCTTTGCACTTCTAATTGATCTTTAAACGACGTACTTGATCAAGATGGGTACATCCTCGACCAAGTCGATTGCCACAAGCTTAGATATTATCAGCCAATAAAGATGTATGCACACGTGGGACTCATATAGTTGTAGACAAGCTGGTTTAAGACGGAGGGCAAGAACTATAGCTATTCGCGTGCTGTATTCGGCCGATATGCGACCATGTCTAAGACTTTAGGCGTATAGTACACCACAAAAGCGTCTGAAACATGGAAGTGATTCCTTGTGGGAGAACAATGGCAGAAGCGTGTCAGCTTGTCATCAAGAAATGCACAAGATTGTACTTTTCATTACGACGAACTGCTTTGTATTTCTTAGATTTGTACGAAATTGTGACTGAGATGCGCAATGCTGAGACGATAAAATCTGCGCTCGGCACCGAAGGCGTTGCCTTCTGCACTTCACTAACCTAGCCTGGGGCGATGTTTTTTTGCATCCAAATGAACATGTGACGGTAACTTTCTTAGTGTCTTACACTGGTGCAACTTGACAACGGTTTGAATTGACTGAAATGGACCAAATAGACTATTCCTGGAATTCAGTTTAGGAAAAAACTTGAGACGAGACAAATAAATGGACAATTCATTTTTTGCATTTTTTCTTCGTAACAGCAACAGTCATGACAAGATCTCCATCCCCCAAGCGCCTGTGCACCGGTGACAACAAGCGTGATGAAAACGGATTGGAAAGAGAGAAGGAGCTGGAAAGGGAAAAAAGAAAGGAGATAGTTGAAAATGTGCAAAAGATTGAAGAAGAGCTCGAGCAGTTGAGCATTGAAAAGGTTGAGGAGGTCCTGGCCGTTGAGACCAAGTACATAGTCAAAACGCGTGATGTGTATGTCAAGCGCAATGAGTTGCTGTCTGAGATTCCCCACTTCTGGAAACAAGTAGTACGTGCTGTTTATCGGCTAAATGAGCTTTGAGTTGCTTGACCATTACGCGCTTACTCATGTGCTGCTTTGCTTGTGCAGTTTCTGAGGCACCCGGTGGTGGGCAGATACCTCAACAAAAATGACGGGAAAATGCTCATGGAATATTTGCAGACGTTCGACATCTTTGTTGATAACATCGGTAGCTTTAGAATACAGCTGGTGAGAACCTGTGTCTCTTTTGGATAGTCTAGAAAAGTACTAATATATGGCCGCTGCTAGATTTTCCATGAGAACCCATATTTCTCTCCTACGATACTGTGGAAGCAATTCGATTTATTAGAGGAAGAGGTGAGAGTCACCGCGTCGAAAATCACCTGGATGGAGAGGGCTTATAGGACATATGCGATGGAAAACTTTTTTTTCCAGGTATGATGGGATTGTGCTAGCTGGATCGGGCTTACGCCTAATCAAATGTTCGTACTGCGTGTTTTTCAGTGGATTGTCTCGACAGATGGTGACCAGGGCTTAGCAAAGATCATGAAAGAAGAGTTGTGGAAGAACCCTGTCAAGTACTTTGTGACGAATGTACGTTTTTTGATCTTGGCCTTCAATGTGTAGACTCGCAACCTTATTAAATGTATTGCTTGTGTACTAGAATAATGACAATCGTGACAAGGACGAATCAGACGTGGACGAATCTGACGAGGAAGAGGACAAAGATATAGAGGACGAGGAAGAAGAGGACGACGATGCAGATGCGTTGGAATCAGTGTGAGACTGAATTGAAATTCCAGTTTAGCAAAATTACAGTGGTTTCTTATATGTTTTTTAGGTTAAGAAATTTTACGCTAAGGTTTTTTAATTTACATAATAAATCCTTTTTCTTTCTGGAACAACGCTTCGGGCTTGAGCACAGCTTCTCAAAATGAAGCGCTTACCTTGGTCAATGCATCGCTTCGAGTCAGTCGAGTGCTCATATCAGCTGGCCTTATTGCAGCCTTGCAGTCTTTCATCCCAAAGCGCTTCAAAATGTCATCCGCATAGCGTCACTGGCACATCGTCACGCTATTGTCATCTCTCTGTCGACCTCTGGCCGCACTTCCATCAATGTGTGTCTACGGTACTTGGCGTTCTTGTGGGAACCAGTGGATGGTTTGATTGAGGCTGAGGTCGAGGCCCAAATTTTGCCATCGCCGCGTCAAAGTATGTTTGTAAATTACCTACCGGGTTGGTAGGCGCTCCTCCTCGGGCAGCTTCGTCACGTGACGGAGCAAAATTTGGTACTAGTCATGGCTCATTTCTGATTGGTTGAAACATTCAACCTATCAGAAGCCCGACTTTCCATTGGCTGTACACGCTTTGCTGTTACGTAAGCTCGCTGCTCGTCTCCTTCGTCTTCCTCTCGGGCCTGAAGCAGTGCCATGCCAGTCGGTCCTAGTGCCATTCGGCTCACGTGACTAGCGCCGGACGACCCTCGCGACGATTGCCTTGCAGGGACTTGGGGGCCATGGGGCAAGGTGGGCGGTGGTAGACCTCGCATCGACCATGGGTCCTCGTCGACTATTGCTTTTGAGGGTGGACCTCGATGTCTTGGAGGGTCATCTGGCTGTCTTCAGACGGTGCTTTCGCGGCGCTTGCAGGAGGTAAGTCGAGTAGTACTGGGGTTATTCCCACAAGGATACCCAAACGTTTGTGAAGAATCTCTAACGTGGTCTTAATATTTTTCAACCCAAGGGAAAACAAGTCGTCTGGCTCGAACCTGCCTGCGACCATACCCGCCTCGTGAAGAAGGGACACGAGCTCGGTGATCGCGTCTGTCACCGTCCGCAGCTTGGACAGGGTCGACGCAGGTCCACTTAGCTGACCCAGCAGTCGGATCTCGAGGGCTTTGGTGACGGGGTCGCTCTCTAAGAACGCGCCAAGCTTGAGTCAATGCTAGGCCATGGTCAAGTCAGCATCCGACCATGTCAAAGGTCCTGAGGTCGTGGGGCCTATCGACTTGGTGTCACCTGGTACCTTCATCCGGAGCTTGGTTGGCTTGAACATGGCGACCGTAATTGTTGTAGTTTTTGTAGTTTGTTGTTTGTTGGGACAATAGTCTATCCGTTTTCACCTTCGACTGATTATCCTCTGGGGCATGATTAAGTGTCATGACCCAAGACAAGTTTCCCGACGACGACATAGGGAGGGTATTTGGTTTCTCTTTAATAAGTTCAACCTTGACCATATTGACCGGACCCCTCCAAAGGTGCGGTTGATCTTTCGGTCCTTTGTTGTTTCCGTCTGTAGTCACTGTTGATCGGTCTTCCAGTGACTCTTCTGTCTTTTCCTCAACATTTTCTTGAGCATCTTCGAGTTCTTGGGACTCGCGGTGATATCCCGCGTCTTTCGAAGATTCGTGCACGCGCACCATTGTGTTGGAGTGGGTTCTCATAACTGCGTAATGAAACCCCAAGTAACTCCCTGTGCCGGACTGCCGACTGTCGTAGGGGGGTACCCTGATGTCGCTTATGGACCTTCTCTCGCCTTGTCTACCCGTTTACTGGCGGGTTGCACTCTTCGGAGGACTTGGTGGAGATCAGATATGGGCCTCGAAGGAGGTCGATCTTGGGTTGCCTCGATTGGCTATACTCACTCGGTAGGCTATTAGGTGGCCACTCGGTAGGCTAGTAGGTGGGAAGTGGACCTTGAGTATTGTGAGACTCCCATCATGCTCGCAGACATCGTGACGAAGGCACTTCCGGGACCTCGTCACAAGGACTTGACGGCTGCACTCGGTATTTATGCGAGTTCGCATTGAGGGAGCGTATTGAGGGTTACCGGTACAATCCGAACTCTAAGGCTCAGTATTTAAGGCAGAGTTTTTAAAGGTAATTACGTCATAGTTGATTAAACGAGTAGCTTGATAGGAAGATCTACATGATTTATATGTATAAGCGCGTTTAA